AAGGGCAAATGTATTATTCTACACTGGCTTCAACAGATGTGTTAATCCTTCCTAGCAAACTGTCAGACAGGATGCAATCACACATGAGAACTAAAGTTCACACGCTTTGCAAATCAGTGAACACCCAGCTCGGAGGCACCAAGTTGCCCCGAAGATTGGAGGTGTGTGTCATGCGACATCACACACATCTCACGACACCGTGCAGCCTTCTGCAAGGCTGCACCAGCCCTTGCAGCATGGAGGGACTGGGCCCCCTTCAAACAAATATTGAGGGAGCCGAAGACACCTCGCCCCCTAGAATTGGCGTGCCTGACCCAGCTATTTGATGGGATCCAACTTCAAGTATGGCCCAAAGATCATACTACTTCCTGCTGCCAAGGCAAAATACTCTCCCTGAATCCTGATTTCCCACTACCTGAAGTTTTCCAAGTGCCTAGCACAGTGTTCCACCAATAACAAGGCAAGTTGTGCTAATTCCCCATGCGAATTCCCCAAGCTAATTCCCCCAACTCACAACAAGGGGGAGACCTCAATTCCATACCCATCATATGCAGCTTGAACCATACCATTTTTAGTTTGCTGTGGACATTGAACTCCCACCAATAGAGATGGTAGATATAGAAGGAGAAATCATCATCACCACTGCTGCTGGTGTAGGACAAGACGTATCTCCCACACTTAGAGAAGCCAAGGAAAATGTGCCTGCAAAGAAAAATGCCAAATTAAGACTATCAGGTCCATGTGTAGAATGACCACCCATGCAGCTAAGGAATAGCCAGCACAATGACAGTTCATCACAGAATGAGGGACATAGTCTTACCCTGCACACAAGAAATGTTCATCAACAATGCTCTTCAGAGATACACAAACTCTTGGTGGTAGCTTACGGAAGAGGCGAGGTGAGAGCTGTCCACTGATCTGCAAGGGGTATCAAAGACAGTAAAGAAGGTTCTCTTAAAGATCTCAAGGCCATATCTAATGTACAAAGTACCACAAATGGTCAAAAGGGGGAGTGGGCCACATTAGAGTTACATGGGTGTTAATGGGGCTTAATCAGTGGCAGAAGCATCTGGTGCCGTCTTTGTGGTCCTGACAAGTCACTGATTCTTGACAGAAATCAACTGCAAACCTTACATCACAGATGAGCCATACCTCTAGTTGCACATGAATATCCCTGCCCCACTCAAGAATCAAGATGGCACAAATGAATAGGAATGGACTTAAAGTGGCCAACTTCTCACTTACACTCTTTGCTCTGGTGTTAAAGGAACAAGGAATGATAGCAGGTGCCAACGACCCAATAGCTGGCTTGCACTCAACATTAAACTATGGTTTAGTGTTAAATGCATAAGCTGGAATGAGACTCACACACTCTTCTCTGCCTTCTCTTTAGCAGTCATAAGGAGGATGCAGCTAACACTTCGTTTCATTTCAAAGAACTCTGGGTTACATTATACAGTCGTACCTTGGCCTTGGTTGATGAACGCCTTGTGAGTCAAACGTTTTGGCTCCCAAACACCGCAAACCCAGAAATGAGTGTTCCAGTTTGCAAATGTTCTTTGGAACCTGAACATCCAATGCGGCTTCCAAACATTTTGGAAGTCGAATGGATTCCGTTCGACTTCTGAGGTACGACTGTATATGATCCAAAAATTGTGGTTGAAGGAAGCCACCTTTTTATTCATAACCCATGCTTTGAAAATGGCTTGCTTACTTTAGAAATGGGGGTGGCGAACTAAATTGAAGAAAAAGTAATGCGGCTTCACACAGCACAATATGGCTTTACAGAAGGCAGCAGCAATAGCAATAGATTACTTTTATAAGTAATTTTACATGCTCACAGAGAATAGGTCTGACCAAATGCTTTTAATGACAATAAAAAGGAACCTCTGTGTACAGATGTAATATACATCTGATTAACAGGTGCTGAGGAAAACCTCCTGTTGTTACCCATCCTCTATATGCCCTGCCTGCAAGTTTTCCAGGAGCATCTGACTGCTGGATTAAAAGGATTTTGGTTCAATCTAGCAAAGAAATTATGTTCTTTATTAGAAGGCTCCCCAAAAGACTGGCAAAGCAAAGGACAATAAAGCTTTGAAGTACTTCATCCAACAAGCCACAACATAAAAGATTAATAATGAATTATATCTGCAGAAGAGGAAAAATGGCTGGGAACAGATGATCTGTCCTCGGCTGACCACTAACTGTGAATCTGAATGCCACTGGTCTCTGCAACTCACAAAAAATATAAACCCCTCTATGATATTAATTTTACATCCTCCCCAATTTTATGTTCCTTCCATCACAATACTACTTCACATTCTCTCAATATGCTTGCTCTTTCCCTACACATGCGTCTGTAGATTACAACATCTTTGTCTTACCCAGAACCACCCAACCAGTGTTAGAAACTGAGATATGAAAGCTAGGAACTAAAGGGCACCTTAAACCAAGGTTATGGGAGCAACAACAGAATGCCTAGGTGCGCTTTTTTATAACAAGAATACTAAGCTGAAAATCAATGAACTGCAGCTAAAATATTATGTCCATTTTCCACATGGTCTAGTCCTTCCTCTGCCCACCCCCCTAATATTCTTAAGAGGGTCTCTTCTCCGGTCTTCAGAGTGTAGCTGGAAGTGAGAAGGCAAAAAAGGTCCTCCTTTCCTTCCACTCTGCAGTTTCAATCTGAAATCTTAGGTACAGTACTGCGCCCAGAACTCAGAAGCTACTCATGCTAATGAAATTCCCTGTCACAAAATGCGCCTAGAACAATGGAAGTTTCGAACATTGCACACAACCCAATGAGGTAAATCAGACAGACAGAAGAACGACTAGCCAAAGGTCACATGATTAGCTTGATGGTAAAGCAGGCATTTGAACATATGCCTCTCTTGTAGTAGCCTAATCCAACACAGCCAGAAATACCTCCATACACCATTCACCTCCACCAAACTATCCACTTTCATAGATAAATAATCTTTTAGTGGAAGAATTCTTAATGCTTTCATCACACACACAAAACTATGTATTTATTTCAATTATTTATATTCCACCTTACATACAAATTTGTCAAGATGGCTTTAAAGTAACATTAAACTGCATTTTTATAAATGAATGAATAAAGACCAGAACATAACAAACAATGTATAAAAGTAATCAGGATCCTTCCCACAGGGCAGTTACTGGTAAAAAGGCCCTGAGGGGTAGGGATGGCCAGCTGTGAGGTGCTCCTTGCATGCATCCTCCTCTCTACTGGACTTGCTTCCACTGGAACAGTTGATAGCAGATGGGCCTGTGGAGTGAAGGGCAGTGGGAAGTCCAGCTACAGCAGACTCTGAGGTTTTGGTTTTTGTATAATTATTAGCTGCATGTGTTTCCCACCCTTCCTTAAAGTGACATTCCACCTCCATCTTTCACAGACTCCTTGCACACCCCCAACCACAGGCAACAGCTCATTCCCCCATCCTAGTCACTCCTCGCCAGCCTCCCTAGTGTCACACAATCTTCTCCAGCACTTCCATCACAGTCTGCCATTCACTCTCCCAGTACACCTGTTTCTCCTCATGATACACACACCTATACCTACAGTATTAGCAATTCCAGAGGGGTGTGTGTATTGGTTTGTTGAAACAGAAAAGGCTAAAACTTGGTTAGCTTTCAGGGATTTCAATACCCAATGCACAACATGTGCAAGGTGTTTTCACATGGTTCTAACCTACCGTATTCCCATCCCATCTCCATACATTTATCTTACAGATTTTTTTAAAATTTAATTTGTATCCCCAAATCCAATTCATACCCTCAAACATGCACACCTTCCCCAATTTACATTGAACAAAGGCCTTCTTGGTGGTGGCTGCTCCCAGATAACTTTGGAACTCACTCCCTGGAGAAGTGAAGACTGGCTCCCTCCTAGTATGTACTCTATGTGTTCTTTTTGTTTTTATGTTGTTTATGATGCTACTCTTGAAAACCATAAAATACATATTTTATTTTTAAATTGGCTCTCTCCATATTGTTGTTCTGCCAGCAGGTGAAAAGGAAATTATTCCAAAAAGCTTTTTGAGAACTGTCCATTTTTAATGAGGGCTGCTGCTGCGATTGTTGTTTTCATCTGTATGTTTAGCCTAAACGTGTATATACTTATAGTTTTCATTCTATTGATGTTTAATTGCTTTTTAATTATTATTCCCTATGTTCTCAGCCGAGTCCCTGTCAGGGAAAAAGGCGGGTTGTATATATAAACAGATATAATGATAATGGTAACAGTAGTAGCAGTAGCAGTAATGCAACTCAAAACATTGCTGTTTAGACAAGCCTACCAGATGAAAGCTGAGGTAATTTTAATCTGCTTTAGCATTTTAACTTTTGCATGCTTTAAAGTAGGCTTGTGAGGTCGTCGTCCCCCCGACATTCATGTTTTGTCTTCCTGTAAACTGCTCTGAGGTGCTTTTTTGTGGGTGGGGGGAAGCAATCAACCAAGCAGTGTGTACATTTTATTACATAAATGAACATGCAGTATAGACATTTCCTGCCTTCAGCGCGGAAGGTCTCGGCCGTGGCACCAACACCGCCACCCGCACCCGCCCGCCCGCCCGCCTTTCCGCCCCTCCCCGCAGCCCTTAAGATTTCCTCTCCATCCCCGCGGGGTCTTCTTCCCATCTCGACCCCACCGCTTCCCACACGCCGCCCGTCCTCCGCCTTCCACCTCCGGCGCTCAGGGCCAGGCCTCGGCCGCCCCGCCGCTTTCCTCACCTTGACGCGCTCGAGCTGCCTCACCACATGCTCCCGCCTCCCGCCGCGCCCGGACTCCGCCGAGCCCCGCTTGCCTCCTGACGCGCCGCCGCCCCGCTCCGATTTCGAGCTCGGCGCCATTTTCCTCCTCCTCCTCGGCCGCCGCCGCCGCCGCCACCGCCAGAGCAGCAGCAACAGAAGCAGCCTCCCCCTCCCCCTCCCAACGAGCGTCCCGTTCGGAGCCCCGCCCATCGCCTTCTCCTCATTGGCCAGCCTCGCGGGCGAGGAGTCGCTTGTTCGCCGCGGCGCTCTGGGATTCTTATGCGCTCCTTTCTCGCTCTCCATTGGTAGCCGCCGCCGCCGATCATCTCCGCTGCCTGCCTCCAAATCCTGCAGCCGCGCGTGCTGAGCTTGCGATTGGTGGGGCCGCTTTTCAGTCCGGGAAATAGCTTTCAGTTGCCGCCGATGAGAAACGATGCGTGCCTTAATGCCCCGCCTTAACGGGGTTCTCAGTCCCGCCCCCAACGTAGAGGAAGCCGATAGGGCAAAATAAAAACGTGCGTGTTGCCCTGGCAACGAGGCTTCGGCCTGCGGTCCTGTCAAGCGAGGACCACAGGGAGCGGGAGGGAGCCTTCCTTGCCTAGGCAGGAGTTGATAGAAAGTTGAGGGGGTGCGAGGGTTGACTGAATTCCCCCCTACCAAGACAAGGAAAAACTCCCTGCAAGTGGAAGATGAGCACGCAGGCAATAAAAGCACTCAGCTCTCTGGCTAGCTTTCTGCCTGCAGGGACTTTAACCACCAGGGATGGGGGCATTCAATCTAGTTGCAGGAGAGGGAGAAATGGAAGAGAGCTCCATGGCTTCAGCTGACAGGACACACACACACCCTTGACATTTGGCTCCCCCATCTCTGAACAGTTTCCATTCAAGCTGGTCAACTATGCAACTTTGAGAATTGATGCATAAGTTTGCCGGTTTCTCCTTTTCCCTATGTTGTGAACCTCCTTTCGTCTGTACAGAAAAAATGGGTGATATTATCATTGTGGTAATTATACAGAGTTGTGCGGAAGTTGCCCCAGGACATTTGGCCTTTTGAATATGTAGTTCTCTTTTTCCCTCCTAGAAGAAAACAATGCAACACACTTGGTTTTAAAATTTAAAAATAACATATGACTTTTACTTGCTGTACTTGCTCTTGTCAGATTGAATGTACAAGACAGGCAGGCAATACTTACGGTAAAGGTAAAGGGACCCCTGACCATTAGAGGTCCAGTCGGGACTGACTCTGGGGTTGCGGCGCTCATCTCGCTTTATTGGCCGAGGGAGCCGGCGTACAGCTTCCAGGTCATGTGGCCAGCATGACTAAGCCGCTTCTGGCGAACCAGAGCAGCACACGGAAACTCTGTTTACCTTCCCGCCGGAGCAGTACCTATTTATCTACTTGCACTTTGACGTGCTTTCAAACTGCTAGGTTGGCAGGAGCAGGGACCGAGCAACGGGAGCTCACCCCGTCGCGGGGATTCGTACCGCCGACCTTCTGATCGGCAAGTCCTAGGCTCTGTGGTTTAACCCACAGCGCCACCCGCATCCCAATACTTACATTACTGAAGAATATTTACATTAATTTGTACCTGAGACTGATCAGTATTTACTGACTGACTCTGAGGCAGACAGCAGCATAGCACACAACATGCTTGCTGCTCTCACAGTTAAAACTCACACAACAGTTGATAACTAACTTGGGGGGGGGGAAGACTGCCTAAGGCAGGGGTCAGCAAACTTTTTCAGCAGGGGGCCAGTCCGCTGTTCCTCAGACCTTGCGGGGGGTCCGGACTATATTTTTTTGGCGGGGAAATATGAACGAATTCCTATGCCCCACAAATAACCCTAAGATGCATTTTAAATAAAAGGGCACATACTACTCATGTAAAAACACGCTGATTCCCGGACTGTCCATGGGTTGGATTGAGAAGGTGATTGGGCCGGATCCGGCCCCCAGGCCTTAGTTTGCCTACCCCTGGCCTAAAGCATATGGCATTACAATATTCTATGCTACAGCATTAACCTTTTAGGATGCACCATTCCCAAAATCATTTCAGTGCTATCATCAAGTAGTATGTTGATCTAGGATTCCACAAGGCTACACACTTTCTGCCAGAGGTGTAGCCACTGGGGGGCAGGGGACAGCTGTCCCCCGAACTCAATACAAATCAATACAAATATGAGGTTCTGCCCCAGCAACAAAAATCCTGGCTATGCCCGTGCTTTCTGTTTCATTTTTGTTGCTATTTAGATTTGTACTCATTCTGAACTTAGAGAGCAAGGTGACTCACAGTACTTATGCTATATAAGACTTATTTCTCCCTCCTAAATGTTCACAATCTAAATTGCATTCATTCTGTTTTCCTCAAAAGCTCTCTTAGCCACAATATTAGAAGTTCAGCCAGAATGTGTACTTCAGATGAAGAAAAGTACTTCCAGGGCCAAGAAGACTGCTTGAGTTGAGACATACAATTTTGGCAGCACAAGTTTGATGAGGCAGAGTAGTAGATAGATACAGTGGTGCCTCGCAAGACGAAATTAATTCGTTCCGCGAGTCTTTTCGTCTTGCGATGTTTTTCGTCTTGCGAAGCACTGTCCGTCGCAACTGCGCCTCTTCAAGTGGCTTTAAGAAAAAAGCGAACAAACTCGCAAGACGTTTTCGTCTTGCGAAGCAAGCCCATAGGGAAAATCGTCTAGCGAAGCAACGCAAAAACCGAAAAACCCTTTCGTCTAGCGAGTTTTTCGTCTTGCGAGGCATTCGTCTTGCGGGGCACCACTGTACATAATTTTCAGGAAGTGGCCCTTGCACTTGTAAGTTGGGTTTTGCTGTAGATGAGAATGAGAGTGAGAATGACTAACTTCTATGAAGAAACTGCCACAGGTGTAAGCAAAGCATACTGTGTGCTCATTTGACACTGTGTGTATGTGTGCATGTGTGACATGATGTCTGACAGAGAATTTGTGCAGCTGGAAAATCTGCTTTTAAAACCCCCTGAAGGGATGCTAAAAAAAGAACTTGAGGAGCACATTGCTAAACAAAAACATGAAGAATGCCACCAACAAAAATTCATTTAAATACATTAGTAGCAGGAGATTGGCTAGGGCAGGGTGTTGGACCTTTAGACGACAACAGAGTAAAAGGTGTGCTAAAGGGTTTTTTTGCATCTGTCTTCAGAGCAGAACATATCGGGCAGATTCCTGGGCCTGAACTTTCACAAGAAGGAAGTCTGAGGAATTGAGGCAAATAGAAGTATCAAGAGATGAAGTTCTAGGGCTTCTTGATAAAATAAAAATTGACAAATCACTGAGTCTGGATGACTCTTCTAGCAAAAATACATAATAATAATAATAATAATAATAATAATAATAATAATAATAACAACAACAATAACAATAATCATGATCATGATCATGATCATAATAATTTATTTATACCTCGCCCATCTGGCTGGGTTTCCCCAGCCACTCTGGGCGGCTTCCAACAGAATATTAAAAAACAATAACCTATTAAACATTAAAAGCTTCCCTAAACAGGGCTGCCTTCAGATGTCTTCTAAAAGTCTGGTAGTTGTTTTTCTCTTTGACATCTGGTGGGAGGGCGTTCCACAGGTGCCACTACTGAGAAGGCCCTCTGCCTGGTTCCCTGTAACTTGGCTTCTCTCAGCAAGGGAACCGCCAGAAGGCCCTTGGCACTGGACCTCAGTGTCCGGGCTGAACGATGAGGGTGGAGACACTCCTTCAGGTATACTGGACCAAGGCTGTTTAGGGCTTTAAAGGTCAGCACCAACACTTTGAATTGTGCTCGGAAACGTACTGGGAGTCAGTGTAGGTCTTTCAAGACCGGTGTTATATGGTCTCGGCGGCCGCTCCCAGTCAGCAGTCTAGCTGCTGCATTCTGGATTAGTTGTAGTTCCTAAGAAAATGATACAGTGAACCCACAACTTGAGCTCAATTTACTTAACGCCATTGCAACCTTATGTGGGGTGGAGGGGAATGAATAAATAAATGGGGAGCGGAGAAACCATTTATATGTCCTCCCCCACATGTGCACCCAGCAAGTTTTCCTTGCTTACTGGGCTCTGAGAAGCTCTTATATTGTGGTATTCTTCCTTGCAATCGTCTGATGACAGGTGGTCTAGAAACAAAACCATTGATGACAAGAGAGCACGCCAACCCAGTAATTCTGCCCTATGTGCTTTTCACTGAAGTGCATGGCACTGTTTATATCTCAGATTTTGCAAGGGCAAAGTTAAAATGTCCTGTTTTTCTTCCCTTTTTTATTTATCTTAGCACTTCTTAGGCTCTGACTGTGCCTTGGTGTCATCCTAACTGGAGATGGAGCCCTGGCTGTGCCGTGTGCCCCAGCCTGGCACAGAATTGAATACGCTGGCAAACATAACAAGGAAGAGGTGAGGGAACCAATAACAAAACAATAAACAAAAAAAGTGTTTATATAGCCATCACTTACGCCAAGCCAGGAAAGGAAGCTATAAATAGTGCTTTCAAGCTAGCTAGTCAGATGTTACTGTTTGGCAGTCTTCAAACAAAGAACTCTGTCCTTTCGCTGCCAAGTTAAGTTCAGCCCTGTAACACTTCTGTTTTTCTCCAACCTAGATAATTTTGCATATCAGATTTTTTTATGTCTGAAAATCTGGTAGGCTGGAAGTATGCAGTCAAGACATTGAGGCAGGCTGTCTGCAGCAACAGAGAAATTGAGTTCCAGGAAAAATGATATACCCAGAACTAGATTTTGAAACAAATTCTACTGTCTGAAATAAAGCACTGAAACTATGCACGTGTCTTGGGCTCAGCCCTGGTTCAAATTAAGCCTTACACATGGGCCAAATCTGGAAGCTTTTTTTTGGCCGAGTGAAGTGAGTCCCTGTCTATGGCTTCACAGAATTCCTCTATCTCATCCCAATGACATATGGGAAACTACAAGTGATCCCTTCAAGAGTCACTGAAATATTCCTGGCATCTGCTTTTGGAGCTGTATAAATTTGCATGACAATCAGAAAAACCAGAACCACCTGCTCTTGTTTACCAACTCTTGCATTGCATAATTCAGGGCTCCCCAAAGTGGGGACATGAGAAGGCTGTAGGGAAAAGTGATGGGCAGACAAGTATGTTTTTATTAAAACTGCACCATCACAAATCTGAGTAGAATGTCATATTCCTTTTGGGGGCAAAGCAAGTTACTTTATAGTTGGCTTTTTCTGCGATGGTGCTGCTACTGCCGCACAATCCAAAATTCACTATATCTGCACATTTGTTAAAGGCACAGATGTTGTCTTTCTAAGGGGATGTTGACTAGAGTGCATACAGTCCTGCTGGATCAGACCACAGTTCCTTCTGCTTTAACATCCTGCTTCCAGCAGTGGCCAGCTTCCAGGTAGTCCCCAGTCAGGGCAAGAAGGCAACAGCCCAACCCTTTGCTAATCCCCTAGCATCTAGTGTTCAGATATAAGCTGTTGTTAAGCACCTATCATGACTAATACCTGCTGATAAAGCCGCACATTCTGTCTGCATAAACTTGTCTAGCCTTTTTGTATCTAAGCCTAAGCCAACCCCACATCTCATGGCAGCAAATTGCATAAGTGAATCATAAATTGTGTGAAAAAGTACTTTCTTGTTCCCTTCCTGAATCTACTGCTCATCCATTTCACTGGATGGCCTCGTGCCTTAGTGTTATGACAGACAGATAAATGCCTACTCAGCTTCCTGTTTTCGTTGCAGCTGTCCCGATTCCTGAGTTTTCTACTAGAGCCAGTTTTCCTTGAAGATTCAGTGAGTTCAAGTCCCTCTCAATACGTTTTTGGAGCCTTGTAAAGAATGGGGAGACAAATGAAGATTACCAGTTGATAGGAATCACAGGTGGGCAGATTCCTGTTGCGTTCATGCCCAGTGTGCAGGCTTCCCACTGGCATCTAATCAACTACTGGAAGAACAGAATGCTGGGCTGGATGGGCCATAGGCCTGATCCAGGAATCTTGTCTTACGTTCCTATGAAGACCACCTCAGAACCTGCTCCAGTTGGACTTTTCCCCACACCACAGGGCTATCTACAGTCAGGGCTTGTAAACACTACAGCTTTACAGCACACATGAAACATATTCTCCCCCTCCAATAATTCTCCATGCTGTAGTTACAATTCCCAGCAACCCTTAACAATACAAGCAGCAACCATTTTGCATGTGCCCAACTGATGCGCAACCACTGACACCTGGGTCCTTTTGGATCTGGAAGAGGGCAGAATGGGAGCATAACAGGGCGAAGTGGACTTATGCGTCGTCCACCAATGCACAGGGGAGCCAGGAACGAACCCCCTGTGCAAAATGGTTGCCACCTGTGCTTCAAAGACCACCTCTCCCTACATCTGGACCCTGTGATCATAATCCGAGGCCCTTCTTTGTGTGTCCCCTGCATGAGAGGTCTGAAAGCCAGCAACACAAGAGCGGGCCTTTTCTGCAGTTGCTCGCTATTTGTAGGATGCTCTCCCCAGGAAAGCTTGCCTGGCACCTTCATTACATACCTTTAGGCGCAAAGCAAATACATTTCTCTATAACCAGGCCTTGGGCTGATAACATTCTGTGGCCTTTTAAAAGTGTTTATTATGTATTTTGTGTTTTAATTTTGTGTTTTTATGTTGTGAACCACCTTGTGATCTTTGGATGAAGGGTTGTATACAAATTTTATTACTATTATTATTATTATTAATAATAATAACAGTAAGAATAAAAAAACTACAGTACCCAGAATTCTTTGAGAAGGGAAATGTGCTTTGAATGTGTAAGGAGCCCAGTAGAGAGAGGGAGGCAGGTGAAGACCACCTTGGCAACTATTCCATCTGGACTGTCTCCTTTCAAGACAGACACATTCTACCATTAAGTGCCCTGTGGGAAGGATGACTTTTTATACGTTGCTGTTGTTTATTGTGGTAGTTTAAAAATGTAGTTTAATATAAGCTGCCTTTGAAGGAATTGTATCCTGAAAGGCAGGATATAAACAATGGGCTAGTGCAAGGATAATAACAGAAACGAATTGGTTTATATCATGGTCCACATACCCTGTTAAAGCGTGTGGGCATCATTGTCATGTGTGTGCAGGAGCCAGGCCCTGTGACCAGGACTGGGGCCTTCCTAAGTTTGTTCTGGAGAGGCAAGGCTCGACCGCACAGGTGAGGCCGATTGGTAACTCACAGCACCTGGTGGCAAGAGCTGGGAAGGGATATAAGGTCAGCATTTTGCTTCAGCTCTTTGCCACAGCAACATGTTCCCTGCCTTGCTGTGTTTGGTTCCTTGGTTCCTTGCTCCATGGACCCCTGCCTTTGTGACTCCTTTCTCCTTGATCCTCGGACCCCTGCCTTTGTGACTCCTTGCTTCTGGACCCTTGGCTTCTTGACTCCCAGCTCTCTGACCCTCGGACTCTTGGCTTCCCAACTCCTGGCTTCTGGACTCCCGTTCCTGCTCCCACCCTGCCATCTTGCCCCCGGTCCCGACATCCCCAGCTGGGACTTCGATCGCCCGTGAACTGGACCATGACAATCATCCTGTCCTGCTGATTCCTCCAGTTTGTTCAGGGGGAATAAAATCAGGGCATTTTGCAGCTGGACAGAGAATGGAACCCAACTTGCCCTAACTTTGTGACCCTGGAACCAGGTAGTCTTTAAGTGTTTGGCAGTTTCTCTTCCCAAGGTAAAAAGCCGCAGAGGAAGGCTGGTGGCAGCCACTGGATAACAAATTGCAGTCCCAAAAACTGATTGCTGGTGTGTGGGTCTGAAGTGCAAACATGCAGATATTCCAGAGAAGTGCTGTAAGTGTCCTGGGAGGTGGGCATGTGTGTGAGGGGGGGAAAGTAATTTTGAAGGTCAAATGTCTGTCATTCAGATTGCAGCTGATAACTTTGATGTAATATCCTTAACCTTAAAGGTAAAGGGATCCCTGACCATTAGGTCCAGTCATGGCCGACTCTGGGGTTGTGGTGCTCATCTTGCTTTACTGGCCAAGGGAGCCGGCGTACAGCTTCCGGGTCATGTGGCCAGCATGACTAAGCCACTTCTGGTGAACCAGAGCAGTGCACAGAAACGCCTTTTACCTTCCCGCTGGAGCGGTACCTATTTATCTACTTACACTTTGACGTGCTTTCGAACTGCTAGGTGGGCAGGAGCTGGGACTGAGCAACGGGAGCTCACCCTGTCATGGGGATTCGAACCGCTGACCTTCTGATTGGCAAGTCCTAGGCTCTGTGGTTTAATCCTTAATCTTATCCTGACTTAATTTTTACAGTGCAAGTTTGATATTTGACTCTGTGAGCTTTGCAGCGGCCTTTGCTTGAAACCACAGCAGGGGCCCTCTGAGCATGGTCAGGGGGCACACTGTTCCCTGCGCCAAGTCTCATGTTTTTCTTAGGTGTTCAAGTAAGACCAGCCTTGAAAGTCCTGGGAGAGCGCGGGGTGCCGCTCCTGACAGGTTAACTGGAGGAGATACGAGGACTAAGGTGGGGGCGCTGGAGAAAGATATGGAGAAAGCAGTCAGCCCGCGGGCGCGGCGCAATTGATCGGCCCCTGGAGCGTTGCGCCTCGCTGGCATTTCACCCACCTCTCTCCGCGGAGGCAGCGTTATGCAATAGCCCGTCTTAACTTTGATCGGATGGAAAACAAGGAGACGCAACAATTCTTTCTCTCCCCCCCCCCTTCCGCCCCACTCCCACGCAGAAACAGCGGCGACAGGTCCGTCCCGGTTGCCTTTGGGGAAGAAAGGGGAGGGCTTTCCCCCGGCTCCTTCCCCTTGCGCTCCTTGGGCTCCTCCGCAGCAAGAGGTTGGTTTCAGAAGGGAAAGGAAGGCGAGCGAGCGAGCCAGCGGGGAGGGCAAGGGGTGCCGCCCCGCGCGGCTGTGGATCCCATTCGCGACCCGCGGCATCTTCCCGCGGAGAGGCGGCTCCAGCCGAGCAGGGCGATGGTGAGCGAGGGGGGACCCGGGCGCCCCGGAGCGCGCCGGCAGGGGGCGACGCGGAGGGGCCGAGGGGCCGAGGGGCGGGGAGGTCCCCAGGCGGGCGCGGGGGGGGGGAGTTGCCCCTTTCGCGTGGGAGGCGCCCGGGATGCCGGGGAGTTAAGACCCGTGTCGCGCGGGGTCGGAAAGGTCGTGTGCATGCTGCGCCTGGGTGCAAAGGGGCCACCGCGTGGGTTAACGGTTGTCCAGCCCGAAACCTAGGGTTATTCAGCATTAATGGATGCTGCAGGTATGCTTTCTGTTTGGGTTTGATTAGGAAGGGAAATCGTTGTCTCCTGCGTCTTTAACAACCGCACAGCAGGCAGGTTGTGGTGGTGGTTGTTGATTATGATAATGATGCTTTACATGTGCAGCCCTTTCTGTCGTGGAGATGAGTTTCTAATATGATTATTGTTATTGTTATTCCTGCATGATGTTAAGACACAGAAAGTGTGTGGCGCGGGAAGAAGGGTAAGGAGGAGAAACGTACTTCCAAATATTGTTTCTTCTTTTTTCTGAATATAAAAGCGAAAGCTAACAAGCAGACAAGACTCCTTGGCTCAGAACCAAGGGCTTCTAGCTTCTGTCTCTTCTGTTTGACAGACTGGTGTCCGGTGGTAAGGAGACAAGGACTGGTTGTTTCCTGCTTTGAGCAGACTTCTATGGTTCCCAAGATCGATTTACAGACATGCTGGAAAGAATTCCCAAAGGAGCTGAACGCAAACCCAGGCGCACCTTGCCAAGGGCATAACCCCTCGTCCTTGGGGCAAACTGGCCTCCTGCCCTGCCAGCTGGCCAGAGGTACCAGATTGCCACTGGAATGGCAGTGGGTCCCTCCAGTATTGGCCACAGGGATACAGATAGTGCCATTTTAAGGTCCATTTGGAAAAGCATTTCCCCTCCCCTCCTTCTGGGCTGTTTGATCCCTAAAATCCATTCTCCTTGGTTTAGTGTATTCTTATAGCACCTTGGAAAGTCACTGTATTTCTGTGGCAATACGTTTCAAATTTTTTAGTTGGCATCTATGTGGAGGGAAGAATACCAAGCAGAGATGGTTAAAAACATGAGTCCTGCTGGATTGGGCGGAAAGGCTAGTCTAGGCCAGCATGTACCTATGGGAAGCTCACAGGCAGGAGCTGAATGCAACAGTGTTCTCTCTGCTTGGGATGGCCAGCAACTGGCGTTCAGAGGCACACTGCCTCTTGAGACTACTTGCTTCTGAAAGCAGCTGCTCTGTACAACCTCAGAAGTGCAAGCCCAGGGCTCTCTCCAGAGTAAGAGTGTCTTCTGGGCAACAACTCTCGGATTAAGGGGCTGCTGAAAATATTACCAGCCCATGTGACTGGTTGTGCTATCAAGCGCTCATCAGCTCCTGCCCGGAAACCAATGCCCCCACTGTGGAAGGACGTGTGGATCCAGAATTGGCCTCCACAGTCACTTTTGGACTCATTGTTAAAACCGTGTTTATGGAAGACAATCTTACTCGGCTACGAGTGATCACCAAAGAAGAAGAAGAATGCCACAGATTAGGGGTGGAGATGGATTGCCGGGCAGCTCTGCTTTCTGATGGGCAATCCTGAACCCATTTCAGGACCACAAAACTCAGCTCCCATTCATTTTAATGGGGCTGTGCATTGACATACCTGATAGGAAACGATGACGTATGGATTCTTCCACTTCTTGGGCCTGTCCTGAATGGGGCATGCTGGGACGAGAGTGGGGAAGTGATTTAAAGGATCCAGGCAACCTCAGGCCAGAGGAACCCTTTGAATGCCCCCAGTCATCCATCCTCCCTGCCGCCCCCCCCTCGCCGCTCCCCCCCCCCATGCACAATTCCACATCCTGTTCCTCAGCTCCAGCTCTCAGGCTTGTTAGGCTCAAACTGTTCAGTTTTCTTCCCCCAATAAATGCTGGCCCAATAAAGCCACTGGTTTGCACGGCAGTTTGTGAGTAGGCACCCCACCTTCACTAGTCAGCAACCGTTTACGAGCCCACACACATCTTTGACACCCTTCCCCATGCACAGGAACTCTACCCAAACATTTACAACACAGGCTGCCCTGTTTTATTTCATTTTGCCACCATGCGGTGCTTCTCCCGTCTCCCATCCAGCACACTCATTCGCCTAGCTCCCCACTGGAAGAGACAAGCACCCCCTTGTGCCTTCCATCTCCCCCCTCCAAATAAATGAGGCGTTTCCATACTTTTAAGGGGCTCTGTCTGCATTTCCAGTGGGGATCATGGGGGTGGGGAGAGAAGGGGGGCTTCCTGGCCTACCTGGTGAAGCAGACAGGGGAAGCATTGAGAGAAAAGCATGCGCAGGATGGTTGTATAGAGCCCCTATTGACTAGCCCTGACCTCTGCCCCCAGCAGCTGGGCAGTGGCCGTCTTCTACTATTCCTGCTGGCAAGCATCCCTTGCAGCTTCCTGCTCGACAGCCTTGATGACGACGAACTGCTGCTGGCGACATCCCAGCCCATGGGAGGCATCCCAGCCCAGAACGTGCCTGGCTGCCCAGCCAACTGCACCTGCCCAGCAGAAGAGACAGTGGACTGTGGTGGCCTTGACCTGCACATCTTCCCCAGCAATATCTCTGCAGGCATCCAGCATCTTTCACTGCAGGTGGTGGAGGGGATCCTGGGCAGAAGCGGAGGGTGGCCTTGTTGGGTGGGAGTATGTCAGGGGCTGGCAGGATGTTGAGGACTGTGCACTGGGGGGGAAGAGGGGCTGGTGTCTGACTCGAGAGATGAGGGCAGTGGGTTGTGGGGGCTTGTACAAGCCAGGAGGCAAGAATCCAAGGTAGGGGGAGCTTCAGAGCTGGAGGAAGAGGAGGCAAGCAAGGGAAGGGGTGGGTGCTTCCCTACCCTCTCCTGCACCACTGTCTCCCAGAACCAGGAGAGTACTGAAGCGGGAAGAGCAAAGGCAGCTTCCACACAGGCATAGTCTCCATTTGCATGTGTGCAGCCTGACAGTGGAAGGTAAATAAATGGGTGGAGGGGGAGCAGTCCCTAGTTGCTGCAACTGCTCCATAGAGTGTGGGCCTGGGAATAGCTGCCTAGACACTAGATTGGTGTATCCAGAGCTGTAGAAGCAACAGCAAGTGTTACCTTTGACAATAAAGAGTTACTGTATTTTTCGCTCCATAAGACGCGCAGACCATAAGGCGCACCTAGTTTCGGGAGGAGGAAAACAAGAAAAAATTATTCTGAATCCCAGAAGCCAGAACAGCAAGAGGGATCTGGCTTCTGGGATAACCGCGCCAAGCCTCTTCAGGGCAACGGGATTAAGGCTTCCCCTGCCCGAAGAGGCTGCGCATGGCTAAGGCAGAAGCCAAGACAGGCGCATCGCTGAAGGGGCGCTGCACAGTTCTCCCTCTCTGAGAGGGAGAACTGCACAGCGCCTCTTCAGCGAAGCTGGAGAAGGAACAGAAGGAGTCCCTTAAGTTCCTCCTCTGGCTTCGCAGGACAGGCGCTGCGCACAGAGTGAGAGCTGCGCAGTGCCCCTTCAGCGCAGCTCTACCTCTCTGTGCAGCGCCATTTGCTCCATAAGACGCACTCACATTTCCCCTTACTTTTTAGGAGGGAAAAAGTGCGTCTTATGGAGCGAAAAATACGGTAACTTTCTGCAATGGGCTTTCTTTTGCCTAGGAAGTATGGAACTGCAGGAGATCAGGAGCCACCCAGATCAGAGTCCATGTGAATGCCTTGCCACTCATTCTGACCACCTGCTGGTTTTCTTTCTGCAGAACAACCAGTTGCAGGAGCTGCCCTACAATGAGGTGTCCCGACTGGCTGGCCTGAGAACCCTCAATCTACACAACAACCACATCACCTCTGAAGGTGAGCAGACCCAAGAGAGCAGGGTGTTCCCTGGCATTTTGAAGGATTGTTAGCTTTTCAGGGGACCCTCAGCCCCTCCCTCCAGTACATGAATACTTGTCTCCTAGTTGACCAAAGATGCTTGTTCCCTTGAGAAGTGGATGGGTTGATTGTTGTAAGGAAACGGTTCATGCTCAGTCCATCCCTTGGAGTTGTGGTGCTCCAAATGAAGGAGCTGTTAATTAGCAACCCCCTTCAGATCCAGAGCTGGCTGCACGTGAACCAGCAAGAGATCGCAAGACCATCACTGCTGCTGCTTGGGCATATATCTTGTGGGTAGAGTCGGTAGAGGGCATGAATCCCAAATCTGCCTTTTTCTGATGTGTCCCGTTTTAAAGGTCTCCCAGATGAAGCCTTTGAGTCCCTGCAATCGCTTCAGTACATCTACCTGGCCAACAATAAGGTGAGTTGTGTTTTAGGAAGGGTTTGATCTTCATAGCCACTGAATTCTGTTGCTGGTAGGATTCACTAAGGGACGGGTAGGCAAGGTGTTGCACCCCATACGTTGCTGAACTTCAGTTCCCATCATTCCTGGCTGGGGCTGATGAGAGCTGGAGTCCCATAACATCTACGTGGAGAGATCGGGAGGTTTCCCATCTGTGATACAGTCCAGCGTTATTTGCAAGAATCTCAGCCACCAGCAGGCGCTTGCCTTCTGCACATCTTTTTCAGAATGCTTCCATCTTTGTTGGATATGTATCTGAGATGCTTCAAGATATTGTGAGAGGGAGCAAAAACACATTAGTAAATTCCAGAGGGGCAGCCAAAAAACACATGCCTAGATATAGAGAAAAAGGGTCACAGAATGCAAGACGACATCTTTGACATTTCTGTGCAAAGCTCCAATATATTCAAAGTAAGAACAGTGATCATTCAAAGCAGGTGTAATTGGGGATAATTTATTACATTTTTATCTTGCCCTACGTGAGCTCAGAGCAGCACCCAAGATTCACCCTCCAGGAATGCACAAGTCCTTATGGAAGGATGTTTTGAGATAGGTGTGATCGGCTCTGTAAGAGAAGTGCTATGCATGAAAAATTCAATATATTGCTTTGTAGGTTCACTGAAACAGTTAGGAGACCATGTGAAGATAATCATGTTATGACTCTTCATTATTCAGTGTGTGTATTATAATTAATTAATTAAATTTCTATACCACCCTTCATCAGAGGATCACAGGACAGTTTACAGTATAAAAAACAATGTGCATATATGTTTGTTTGCACATCCCGTTCTACCACCTTACAAGATAAGTTAGGCTGAATGGCCCTCACATGGCTGGGGAGGGGATTGAATCTGTCCACTCAAAAGTGAGTTCCATTGAGAGGGAATAATGGGAACCATTCACTTCCATGGAAAGGAAGCAAAGGGGGGCACTCAAGGATAGCACTGAGGGGCTTATCATGCTTGGTATCCCAGCACCTTTGGGAATCAAGCCTGCTCCTGTTTGCGTAGCCCCATCCTGTTTCTTGTTCACTCCAGAGCAAGGTTTCCCAAGCTTGAATCTCCAGATGTTTTGGGACTACAATTCCCATCATCCCTGACCACTGGCCCTGCGAGCAGGGGATGATGGGAGCTGTAGTCCAAAAACAGCTGGAGACCCACGTTTGGGAAACCTTGCTCTAGAGGGTACTGGAATGTTGAGAAACGGCTTCTGTATGTGGGAAGCTTGTTCTTGCTATGGCACACAGTTCTAAAACGTGGTTTTGCATTTTCTCCTTGAGTCTTCCACGGAGCAGGCAAGCAGGCTGCATGTTTTACCACCACTTTGAAATCTGAAAGGACCTTTCTGCTGATGTGTGGCTGGGCCTGGCCGGCCAGTTCTTAGGCTGCTATGTTTCTGGCTGCTTCCCCTCTGAACAGGCCATGGGTGGGTGTGGATGTACGAAGCTGGAGTCAGTTCAACATCTTTCTGCATCTCAGGGTGGATGACCCTTGCGGTCCCTTCCACCTTTTATTATTTTGTGAATCTATGTGTTTATTTCCAGCTTTCGGTGGCGCCGCAGCTCCTACCCAGCACTCTGCGGATCGTGGACCTTGCAGCAAACCACCTGACTCGTGTCTACCCATTTACCTTTGGGCATAAACCTGGCCTCAGGTAAAAGTGGGACAGAGGACTGGTACACATTCCAACATAAGCAAGACCACAGAGTGTTGGCAGACACCCTTTGGCATGATATTGCTTATTACAGGGATCCCAGTAAGAGAGAAAGTTATACTGTACTGTACTTTCTGAAAATAAGAGACAGCTAGAAGCCACACCCTCTGCTCAAGAGGCTTGCTGAGGTTATGAAATGAGGAAGAAAGGCACTCTGCATCTGCTCAGAGGCACCCTCTACTGCTCCCCTTACATCAGGTTACTTATTTCTCACTTGCGGGTAGGGTGGAAGCAGGGTGACCTATGGGGTTCCCCCAGGGAGGAAAAGAGCTTGGAGAGAGCACACAAATGCTTGGCAGGGAAAGGGTGAAGCAGCTATCCTCTCCCTTGTCCCCCCCCCCGACCCCAATCCAGCCTTAAAGCCACAAACAGCTGCCTTATATCAAAATAAAATTGGAGGTGGGAGGGTTCTTAGGGAATTCTTAGATGCAGGTATACATATGAAGAATGTGCTGTGTGAATCAGGCTTGATCCATTATAGAGGCCAAGGACTGCAGCAAGACTTTGCTTTAGGAAAAGAAGATGCTCTTCCTTCAGGATCACCAGCCCAGTGTCAAGCTCAGGGGATAGTGTTAAGTTGTGGGTGAACATATCAGACGACACAGCGATTCTTCAGACAGCTCTTGTTTATTCACAGGCCAGAACAGAACTAAACTGAAGGGTTCAGTCAGCCTGCTTATATAGAGCTCCAGTACAACGTAACTGTAACAATTTTCTAAAACTATCCAATCACTGAACGTCACTTTCAATCCCTTATTTGCATAACTATCTACAGTATCCCCCTGCTGGCCCAGGGTGAGAACTTCAGTACATAACAGATAGCATTTAGATCCAGGATGGGGTGCTGCCCCTAGGACTCAATGAGGCCAGCCCACGAGGTGGCACTCCTAACCTGTCCCTTACCTTTCCCCCCACAGGTCTGTTTATATGCACAACAACCAGCTGAACAACACAGGTCTGCCCTTTGATGCCTTCAACGGCTCCGATGCCGTGAGCACCCTCATCCTCTCCAACAACCTGCTCACTTACGTGCCCCAGAACCTGCCCCGTGCCATCGTCCGCCTCCACTTACAGGTTGGCAGCTGAGATTCCCCACCTGGATGGTATAGAAGCAGAGGCTTGCTTCAGGCAGTCAAGAGAACAGAGCCCATCCATGAACAGGGGAGCTGAGGGAGAGAAGGGGAGTCGGGAGCCCCAGATTTTAGCTCAAGGAGAATGGGGCCCAGCAGTTAGGACAGGAAAGTTGCAGTACTAAACCCAGAGCCTTTGTTTGCCTGACTCTTCAGTGCCAAGCCCCACCAGTTGTGGAATTGGATTGGCGCTGTGGGTTAAACCACAGAGCCTAGGACTTGCCGATCAGAAGGTCAGTGGTTTGAATCCCCGCGATGGGGTGAGCTCCCCTTGCTCGGTCCCTGCTCCTGCCAACCTAGCAGTTCGAAAGCACGTCAAAGCAAGTAGATAAATAGGTACCGCTCCGGCGGGAAGGTAAACGCCGTTTCTGTGCGCTGCTCTGGTTCGCCAGAAGCGGCTTAGTCATGTTGGCCACATGACCCGGAAGCTGTACGCCGGCTCCCTCGGCCAATAAAACAAGATGAGCGTCGCAACCCCAGAGTCGGTCACGACTGGACCTAATGGTCAGGGGTCCCTTTACCTTTACCTTATGTTCATTTAGAACATTTTCAAAGACACTTGCCCTTAATCTCACAGATGTTTAGTGAAAAACAAATCCCACTTAGTTCAATGGCATTTACTCACATTTACTCTACCGCTGGCCTGCCCCCAAATAGTTGGTTTTTAGTTTTACTCAATAGGGTGGGTGGGTGTGTTTTACTTCCCTACAAAACAAAAACAAAACTCTAACAATAAAGCTCACACACAACTCCCTACAAATAGAAAAGGGCAAATCTTTGCTCCCTGACATAATGGAAAGATAATATCTAAAAAATATATCCTCTCTTAGCATCTATTCACAACCCAACGCCTAGGCTGGTGGGGTGGGAGCAGTGGAGGGGATCCTCCTTAACCACTAGGCTCCACTTTGCAGAACAACCGCATCTCCCGCATCCCGAAAGGGGCCTTGAGCAGCCAGTGGCGCCTCCGGGAGCTCTACCTGCAGAACAACAACCTGTCCAATGATGGTCTTGACCCCTCCACCTTCAGGTGACTGTTTTGTTTTGTTTTTAATGGGGCTCCCCTGGTGGGTATGAGTGACGGAGCCAAGAGCCAGGGTTGCTGGGTTTCCCGTGGCCAGCTCTGGGGAACTGGAAGACTACAGGAGAGCGGATGCTGCTTTGGCGGGTCTCCTAATGTTCAGCTCTTGATTCTCTATAGCCGGCTGAAGAGCCTGGAGTACTTGGATCTTTCCAACAACAACCTGACGCAGGTGCCTGCCGGCCTCCCCCCAAACATTGCAATCCTGCACCTGGGCCGGAACCACCTGAGCCACCTGCCCCCCGAGCGCCTGAGCCGTGTGCGGGGTCTCCAGTACCTCCTGCTGCAGAGCAACGCCCTGACCGCCTCGGGAGTCCACCCCGAGGCCTTTGCCCGCCTTCGTTCCCTCCACACGCTGCACATGTACAACAACCGGCTGGAGCATGTCCCGCCCGGACTTCCGCGCAGGGTCCGTTCCCTCATGCTGCTGCACAACCAGATTGCGCACATTGGGCTGCAGGACTTTGCGGCCACCTACGCCTTGGTCGAGCTCAATCTCAGCTACAACCATCTCTACAGCGCCCACATCCATCGCCTGGCCTTCCGCAAACTGAGGCGCCTGGAGACCCTGGACATTTCGGGCAACCAGCTCACGCTCCTGCCGGCGGGGCTCCCCTTCAGCCTTCAGGTCCTCAATCTTCAGAAAAACCAGCTCAACTCCCTCTCTCCAGAGCGGCTGGTCAACCTCACGATGCTCAAGGAGTTACACCTGGCCCACAACCGCCTGCGGATCAGCGGCATCTACCCAGGCACTTGGCAAGAGCTGCATGGACTCAAGGTGAGGCTGCCGGCACCTGGGTGCCCTTCTGTGTGCTCCAGTGGCTTAGAAGCTGGTTTTAGGACAACAATAACACAACTAAGGCTCCACAGTAAAACAGTCTCTGGGCTGGATTTTTTCCTAATCTGGGCATGGGGAGATCTGCATGGAAACCAGGAGCCATCCTGGGGAAAGCGGGAACAAGTGTAAGGCAGGGCCTTTGTCCTTAGGTACTAAGGAAAGCATATTTTTCTCCTCCTATGCTGCCTAGAATTTGGGGGTCACCTAAAGAAGTTGAGCGGGACGCGGGTGGCGCTGTGGGTAAAACCTCAGCGCCTAGGACTTGCCGATCGCATGGTCGGCGGTTCGAATCCCTGCGGCGGGGTGCGCTCCCGTCGTTCGGTCCCAGCGCCTGCCAACCTAGCAGTTCGAAAGCACCTCTGGGTTCAAGTAGATAAATAGGGACTGCTTACCAGCGGGAAGGTAAACGGCGTTCCGTGTGCTGCGCTGGCTCGCCAGATGCAGCTTGTCACGCTGGCCATGTGACCCGGAAGTGTCTGCGGACAGCGCTGGCTCCTGGCCTACAGAGTGAGATGAGCGCACAACCCTAGAGTCAAGACTGGCCCGTACGGGCAGGGGTACCTTTAAAGAAGTTGAAAGGGACGCAGGTGGTGCCATCGGTTAAACCACAGAGCCTAGGACTTGCCAATCAGAAGGTTGGCAGTTCGAATCCCCGCGACAGGGTGAGCGCCCGTTGCTCGGTCCCTGCTCCTGCCAACCTAGCAGTTCGAAAGCATGTCAAAGTGCAAGTAGTTAAATAGGTACCGCTCCGGCGGGAAGGTAAACGGCGTTTCCGTGCACTGCTCTGGTTCTCCAGAAGCGGCTTAGTCATGCTGGCCACATGACCTGGAAGCTGTACGCCGGCTCCCTCGGCCAATAAAGCGAGATGAGCGCCGCAACCCCAGAGTCGGTCACGACTGGACCTAATAGTCTGGGTCCCTTTACCTTTACCTTAAAGAAGTTGAATTGCTGTCAGTTCAGGGCAGACTAGAGGAAGTGTTTCTTCACACAATGCAAGACAAATTTGCAGGATGCACTGGCACAAGCCATGGCCACGACTTCACACTTTGCAAAGGGATTAGACAAATTCATGTAGGATGACAACTATTAACCATGACCATGACGAGGACTCTCCATACACAGATGATGCAAGTTCTCCCTCTGAATATTGTATGCTGGCGATTGTGGGGGCAGGGGGCTTGTGAGCTGGATGCATCTAATGGAACCAGCAAAGGAATTATTTCATTTCTCTGAAAAGTCTGGCATATCAGTTTTGTGCTGTGCAATGTGAGTTTTGCCAACACACAAACGACAGCAGATGTTGGTCTTCTATAATGGCTTTTCCCTGGAGAAACATGGGTTTTATCTCTCTCAGAATATGCCTAAAACCTGGATTCGCTGCAATATAATTGCATGTGCTCTGTTAGTCCTCAAGCCCCTGCTTAAAAGTACTCAAAATTCAGCATGTTTCTATAGTGACTGTTTTCCCGCTAATGTGGGCTTCTGCTCCCAGCTACTGGACTCTGAGCTTATTCACACTTACCTTTCGCCCTGCTCTTTCCAGGCACAGGTCCACGCTTAAAAGCTCTGTGTCTGAGCAGTTTTATTTTATCCCCACCCCCCATGCTTTCTCTGTGAAAACATGCTCTTTAGTGCTCAATTGGAGCAAATGTCAGTTCAGGGTCTCCATGGATTGCCATTTGCCCTGACTGAGCTTTAAAGAGCAGGTTTTCGCAGTGAAAGATCTGGAGCAAAAAAGAAGGGTGCTCAGACACAGAGATTTAAGGGGCGGACGATGCCTGGAAAGAGCCAAGGAAAGATAAGTGTGGATAAGCCCATTCTCTTTCAGTTTTTGTTTGAGTAACTCTCAGAACACAGGCAAGAGTATGGCTCCTACAAATCCTGCTTAAAGCATTTGGATGCTAGAAACATGGAACTATGTTTGAGCCCTAAGGCAGGCATGGCCAAACTTGGCCCTCCAGATGTTTTGGGACTACAACTCCCATCATTCCTGACCACTGGTCCTGTTAGCTAGGGATGATGGAAGTTGTAATCCCAAAACATCTGGAGGGCCAAGTTTGCCTATGCCTGCACTAAGGGGAACTACCAGTTGTTCTCCTGCACTGGCCAACTTAGGGCTACAGTGCTCTTATGCCACTCCAGCTGATTTCAGTGGTGCGTATAGAAGAAAACCAAATGATTGTGTTGTTGTCACTCACAACCCAGGTCAGATCTGCCTATGTCCAGTACCTGCTGCCCTTAATGATGCTCCAGATCTGGCAGGAATCTCTGGGACTCCAACATTTTATTGATTTTGCTTTCCCAGCTCCTGGATCTGAGCTATAATGAGCTGTCCTATGTTCCACCAGACCTACCAGAATCACTAGAATATCTATACCTGCAGCATAACAGGATTGCTGTCATTATGGCTGAGGCCTTCCTCACAGCACCCAACATCCGTGTCATCACTCTCAGGTAAGGGAAATGACAATTGACTACAAGAGTTTGGATAGACACTCAGATATGCAGATTATATTACATGCCCACTTCTCATAAAGGAGGAAGTGTGTGTGTGTGTGTGTGTTTGTTGCGCTTTAAACTACAATGTAATCCAGGGGTCTGAATTGCTGTTGTCTATATTTTAAAGGTGGAATGCTTCAAACAAAATGCCATGCCTGTGTTCTTTGCACATTTAGTCTACACCTGAAATCTGCAGAAATGCAAGCCAAATTCTACACCAAGAAAAGTTAGAGTACCTGCTTGAGTACTTCGCACAATTTATTCTGTTTGAGTACTTCGCACAATTTATTCTGCAACTTTGCACACTAATTCTGATTTGTTATTCATGGAGAGGAACCACTGTTACTCCATCCTCTAACCCCTGAAAAATTTACTTCCTTTCCAAGACTTGCATCTTGAGTTTTTGCAGGAGGCTGAGAGTCATATATTCACCTTCACTTTAACATCTTCAAAAGAAGATGATAAAACATTTGGGACAAACTTCTATGTGACTGAGCATCATACATAATTCAGCCCAAAATATCCCCATAGCAAGTGGGTGGCAGGACATTTCATCTCTCTCTCTCCCACCCCCCTCACTAACTGATACCTGTCAGTATATCCATATATCTGTGCATTTGTAGATTTCAGCAGATGTTGGACATTCACTGTAACATTAAATCATTTACTAACAAACGAAAACAGAAATAGTGAATATAAAAATTGTGACTGGAACTAGATGGAAAAGTAGTTGTAAAACCCCCCCAATAAAATGTTGTTGGACTCTGCAGTTAATTATGATACTCATACATACTGTGTATATATGAGCCATATAATACCAGATATTTCATAGGACGTTGATAAGAGATTTTATATTCTTATTCTTATTTATTAGATTTGCATATCATCCTTCATCCAAAGATCGTAGTGTAGTTCACAAAATAAAAATACAAAATGGGAATACAAAATGCATAAAAGAAAAACAATCCATTCTGCATTAGAAAATAAATGATTGCTCATCATGAAGCAGGAAACCTTTCATTGTGTCTACCATAATAGGTGTTGCTTTCTCTGTTGAGTGAGGGCCATTTTCTGTCCCCTCCCCGCTTCCACAAATACTGTGCTGCTTGCTGACATGAATCAAAACTCTGAACAGAAGATAATGAGTGTGATGTTAACATATGAGAGTGCTGGTGGTGAAATAGTTAAACAGGTTACCCAATCAGAACCCAGGGGGGTTGGAGTCAGAGGGACTATAAAACCAGCTCTGGAAGGGACGAAGAGAGTTCGTTGGGTGGTTGGTTGGAGTGGGAGTGAATTGGGGTAGAGTCTGTGGGGAGGTTGAGTTAATGTAGCGAAATAAGCTGAGTCAGGAACAGTTAGGAGCTAGGAAGACAAGGAAATATCTGAGAGGTGGTTTAGTGAGTGAGAGCAGGCAGTGGAAGTTATAGGTCTGGATAGGCACCCCATGAATGTAATTGACCGATACAGTTTATGAAACCTCACGCTTGTTAAACTGCAATAAATAAACAGAAGTTTATGTTCCAATTTAACCCTGACTGGACTCAGTATTGTACCAGGTAGGGCCTGGGTGGCGGCAGCGAGAAATAAAGTGGTGGCACAGGGATCAATAGACGGTGAAATGTCCAGGGACCCTGTGTGATCGCCACAATGAGTTTATCTGGATCTTGGTCACAGATTTCATTAAGTAAATTTAGATACAGGGGTACCTAATTTGAGTGGTGATGCTGCTTGGGCAGTCTCCTGAACTCTGCTCAGGGAAAACCAGTTCCTTGTTTGGAGAGGAAGCTGGCCAGTCACAGCTCCAATTGGTTGATTGGTGACACGACAAGGAAGACCTATCTATAAAGCACCCAGAGAACTTTACAATCTGGGGCAGCATGGAAATGTCATACGGAAAGAAAAACGTGCTTTAAAACAGCATGAATGAATACGTATTTAATTTACTAGATATGCACGCAGCACTTTCAAAATATATTTGGACCAGAATTCCTCAAACTCCAAGCCCCGTTTGGATTTCAGAACCTTTGTAAACCAGCAAATTCATTAAAAAGAGTAAAAGTTACAAGCTATGTTTTAATTTGAGAAGTCCACCAACTGGAAAGGCCATTTAACAGAAAATGGATGGCAACTGAGAAAAGCAGATACTGCTGCTACAGACAGCGTTACGGCTGTACACATTTGCAGTCAAGTTGGTACCTCGCTTCCTAATAAACATGCATAGGGTTGTGCTGTGACAGTATCACATTTCTGACTCCTTTGAATTAAATCCATCCTCTGGAGCTGTTTCAAAGTTCCAGGAACTGTGTTGTAGTTGTTTTTTTTAAAAAACAAACGCTCACATATCAGCGCTTTCCCCATTTCACACACAAATCCTCCTTTGTTTTCTAGATCCAACCGTTTGTTGGCAGCCAACGTGTCGGAAGCTGCATTTGCAGACCTGAAACTGCTGGAGGTAGTAGACACCACCGGGAATCCAGAACCTATCACCATCTCTCTGCTGCAAGCTGGGCCCTGGGTCCGCACCCAGATGGGTACCTAAGGAGGTTGCCTAGAACAGGTTAGCCTTTGAGCTGTGGCAAAGCTGTGGCAATGTGACTTCATAAACTAAGTCACTCTAGTTTCCAGCTTTTGCTGGGATTGTTGACCACTAAGAACGTAGTGATCCGAAGCTCTCCAAACATAAACTTGTATTACACGTCTGCTGTATTTGTGACTAACACAAGCTCTGTGCTGAACTGCACAAGGGCTGGAGCATTAGTTTGGCTTCTGCAGGAGCAAGTGGTTAGAAACAGGTATAGCCCACTATTTTCCATCAAGACCAGTAGGTGCAGTATAGCTGCTGCAGGTGAAGCCATCTGCTGCTTAGCACACATTCACTATAGTGCTTGGGTTGGGCACCATTTTGTGACTCCATTTTTATATTTAAAAATTGAGCTTTTGCTAAAACACTTTTCTGGGACTTTTTAAAAGTGCTAGAACATCACACACTAAAATGCTAATTCACTGTGGTGTTATAGCAATATTACACAATATTACACAACTCTGGTTTCTGGGCGGGACTTCTCCTTTTTGTCCTATGTCCCCACAGTGGAAGGATGTGTGGATCTAGAATTGGCCTCCACAGTAACTTACAGACTCGCTGTTAAGACTGTGTTCATGGAAGACAATCTTACTCAGCTACGAGTGATCGCCAAAGAAGACACAATATGACAACAACACCATAATGTTATAGTGTTATACTGTACTTCTTTCATAAAAAGCTCATAGTATAAAGTATCGATTTTATTGATCATAAAATGGTGACCACCACAAAAGCAGTAAGAAAAATGTGCCCACAGCTGTGATCATTGCCCAGAAGAGTAACTCTAAAGGCATCAACACCTGTGGAGAATGTGCTCCTTTTCCATTCTGAAAAAGTCTGTGTTCTGAGAAAAGACAGAAGAACCAAAGGAAAATATGAAATAGGAATGACTGGATGACAGTGTTGTGTGTGCTCACTTTAAAAAGAGGACTTGCTTTTAGTGTCTTGGCTACATGATGTCCCCACTGTCATTATGAACATGGTCATCCTCTGGGGGGTGTCAGATCCAGCTGACAGAACCTCTTTCTTTTGCAGATCACCATCCTACACTTCCTTTCTACCGCTGCCTGTCCTCGGGCATCTCTACCAGGATGGCTCAGCCCACCTGCAGCCTTCTGGAGAGGTTTGCACTGCCCAGTGTTTGTCCTTCAGCCAGTTGCACAGAGCAGAGCCTCTACAGTATGCCCTGTCTGCTTCTCTAAGGTGCAGGACTCAGCTACAGCTTTTCAGGTCGAGAGAGACAAGATGAAGATACAAGATTTCTCCAATTCTAGCTACTTCTGGAGCCTGATCTTCAATGGATCTGTGTTTAGCCTAGGGCTAAGCAACGGCACTGGCAAAGCTGAAGTTTCCGTGGACTAGGACCAAAGAGGCAGCCAAGGCTAGCTAAAGGTATTTGCGTGCCCCTGCTTGGCTCCCGTTATTTGGAAACAGAGTTGCTTAGGACAACGCAAGCATCCGCCAGGGCACCTATGTTCTACTCCTTCTTCTGCCTTGCTCCTCAAACAGGTGCACCCAAACCGTCCCTGTTGGGTGACAGAGGTGTTACCTAATCTAGACAACCAAGTTTATCCCTTAGAGTAAATGCAAACTTGTTTTCTGCGTGTCACAAGCCCCAGCGCCGGTCCAGCTCTTCTTCGCAAGGGAGGAGATGAATAGAATCCATCACACAGAACCAGCTGGCAGCTTCTGGATGCCCCACATGGGCAAATGTTTGAGTAAATCTCAAGACAACATGGGGAGGGGAGGCTCCATAGTTAAGAAACTGGGTTTTGAGCCCAGATTCATCACAAGCCTTTGGTTTCCCCTGTAGAAAGGCCAGGCAACATCACCCTAGCCAGGATCACATGAGTCACAGCTGGAACGAGGGAATCCATGTAGGGAACCAGGAAAGACTTTATTCATCCTGAAAGTCAACGTCTACCTGCTTTTCAAGGCCACCCTCCTCTCTCTGTCCTCCACACCATCTCATCTCACTTGAAACTAATGTTGGCTTAGTGGATTGTGCGAGGGCTTTTGTGGGGGGTGCAGTTTGCACCTTACTTGCAGATTGCTGGGAAGCAAGAGATGTTTCAGTTTGAAGTGAGAAGAGGGATGACTTGCAAGATTCCACATGAATGACCGTCTCATTGCCCAGATGACCCAATCAACACAACCCAGAAGAAAATGAGGTTTCAACAAGGTTTATTATTGGTGCAAGATTCCAGTACGTCTTTTTTACAGAGGTTTTTAGAACTCCCCCCACCCTAAAAACTTTATATATTTATGTCACTCCAAGCATAAAATAAAAGCCGTAACACAGTCAGATTCACGGCCTCTGGTTTTTAGCATTGGCTTTCAACGCCTCTGGCTGAGCAACAACCATGGAGGTAGGCACTTGTATAAAAATCCAATTTCCCTAATACCAAAGAGGGGGTGGTAAGAATGGGGGTCAGGAAAGAAAGGCTGCCTGGAGCATTTGTTTCCCTTTATCGTTCCTCTGTCCAGGGACGTGAGAAGTTAAATTTTGGTTTAAAAAGGAATTGGGCAGGGGCAGGAGTGCAAGATCTCACCCGCAGCTCGTCACCTCAACCATCCTGAGCAGCAGCAACCCTGAGTTAATTTCTTACCCTTTAAAACATCTTTAACCTAATATAGGAAACAGAACACTTTCATAAAAGGTCACATTTCCAGCTGCCCAAGGGGAGCCCAGACCCCCCACAGGGCCACACCAATGTGCCCCAGTGCAGAAAGAGGACACCCCACAGACTACAGCAGCATGCCTCCCCCAACTGCAGGGACTACAGAGAGGATGCGGGATACTCCATCCAACACGCCAAGAAACTGGCAATTACTTAACACCACCCCCCACCAGGAAAGACACATGGTCTGGGCCAGGGGCCAGCACAAGCCCTGCTCCAAGCTGCAGCCAATGGACTGTGTCTTACAAGTCTCTGCGCACCAGAACAGAGCTGGCGCTTGAGCAACCTAGTTGTCAACAGGCCGCTGCTGGGGGACGGAAGCCGCCTCTATGCTCTCCCTCACCTGTCTCTTATGCTGTTCTCTAGCAGGGGCAGGTAGTCTCAGCCCTGTGTTTCTTCCTTTGGCAGCCCAAAGGCAGTAACATTAATTGCAACAATAATTTAAAAAAGCAGGCAGCCCTCTCAGAGATCAAGACCCAGCAACAGTCGTTGAGCTCAGTCATTTTTCTTACTTGGAAATGGGCCGCACAGATAGCAGGGGCAGGGGCAGATGCTGGTCAAGAAGGATGCCCTCTTTGCAGGGTCTTCCACCACAGACATCTGAAGGAACCCAAAGTAGGTTCAGAGGCTGGGTTCTCACGGGAGCCGGCAAGCAAGGCGTCACGCCAGCATCCTGCTAGGTCCTCTTGGCCACTCAGGAGGGATCAGGTCAGTTAAAAGCTGCGAGCTATTAGCTCTCTACAGCCCCCAAAGAAATAAACCCATAGAAGGGCAAACAAGCAGAGCTCATGAGAGGTATAGGTGCAAAGTGCCTGGTGCAATGGAGGATTGATGTAGAAGGCATAGAGGGGCAGCAAAGGGGGCATTGAGCTGAGTGCAGACCACATAGGCTGGGGGATATACTAGAAGGTGCCAAATTCCTAAATGAGTCAATTCGGTGCATGTTGAATAATGTGGGGCCTTCTCTCTGGGGCTGAGGAGGCAAGATGCTCTGAGCATATCTGCAGTGCAAGTTTAAGAGAGCTGCAAGCTTCTCTCTTGCTGACACAATAACTCTGGACCAAGGAACTCTGGGCACTGAAGTTCCATCAAGGGGCTTTTCTACTCAGCACTCTCTCAAAACTATCACTCCCAGGTTACTATGCGGTGGGGAGCCATTGGAGCTAAACCTGTTTCAAGCTGTAAATGAGGGTGCACCCAGCAGCTGCCGCTAGAGCAGCTGGGAAAACAAGGAGAAAGGGAGGGGGGTTCTTTCCCTTCTCCCTGCTGAGAAAGTGGCTCATTATGGACCTTGGGGAGGCTGGGCTGAGCCAGAGGACAGAGTGCCAAGGCAACCGTCACATGGATTGTCTCCAGCTAGCAGTGTCACATAACCTGCTCCACTGATGGGGAAACTAAAGGAGTCTCCATTCATTCTTATTTACCCAGCAAAGGCTAGAAAAAGCCCACCGCCAGAGGTGCTTTGCAGCATTGCCGGTCCATCAGCATACATGGAGCCCTCCCCACCCTGCTCTCCAAACCCCCGTTCTCCTGCAGCGGGGAAAAGGCCACGTAGGAAGAGAGCAGTTGCTTGACCCGGCGATTCCAAGACTTCCACATTTCCGCCACTTTCTTCATTTGCGAAACTTCTGCAGCTGGAAGGCAAATGGGTTTGCCAGTCAGTGCTTCTGCCACCATGGTCTCTTTCAGGAAACGGAAGGGCACAAACCAGGGAAGGGGAACCTGCGGCAGCCCTCCAGGTGCTGTTGGTCTCCCAGCACCTGGTCAGCAGGGCCAACGGTCAGGGATGGCGGGAGCTGTAGGCCAGCAACACCTGGAAGACCACAGGACCCCCAGCCTTGGCACCAAGAGCACCATTGATTGATTCTGGACATTTATAGATTGCCCTCTCATCAAATTTCCAGGGTGGGCCACAAAAAAGGAAAGCAAAGCTGTTGAGTAACAAGCAGCCAATAAGTCTAATTAATCATCATAAGCTGCCACCCAGAGCTTCTTGGAGGAAAGGGGGTGAATATATGAAGTAAATCAATAAAAACAGTGAATGTTGCAATGCAGATCTCAAAGCAGCATAACAAAACGACAGAATCCAATTCAAACTAAGAAGCTTAGAACAAAAAGATGCCAAAGAGACAACAGCATCCTAGGTGCCAGAAGAGCTCCCTCTGGGAAGAGCATGCTAACACTGAGGGGCCACTACGGAAAAGGCCTTTCTCCCTTTACTTCCCATGGCAGTGGCACCCATAGAAGATCTTAATATACAGACACATGGAGATAGGTGGTGGATCCCGTAAATCACCTGGTCCTAAGCTGTCAAAGGCTTTAAAATGAGCACATTCAAGTCATGCAGTCCTTAACATTGGGAGAGGTGGAGGAAACATTCTGAATCATGAGGATCTAGGTCTTCAGAGAGGGACAACAGAAGGGGGAACAGTCCACAGAGCACTCTGCCCAAAAGCGATTTGGGAAACGAACCACCTAGAGAGGCGGCAGCGCCAAACAAGCCAGAAAGTTCCAGCTGTGTGCTGCTGCAGGTGCTCAATTTGACGGCACTGCTTAAAATCATTCCAGAAAGCTCTCCCAGGCCTCGTCCAGACTTTCTGTTGCACCATGCTTTTCAGGCACAGGTTTGCTCTTTAAAACTCCATGTTCAAGCGATTTTCTTTCTTTTTTTGTCCAGGCATTTTCTATGGGGAAATCCACATTTTCCTGCTGAATTGGAGCAAATGGCAATGGAGTTTTCTGCAGATTGCCACTTGCTCCAATTCAGCAGTAAAATGTGGGTTTTCCTGGGGAAAGCGCCGGGACAAAAATAAAAAACAAACCAAAAATGCTCGGACATGGAGCTTTAAATCCCAGACCTGTGCCTAGAAACATGGCACAAAAGGCAGTCTGGATGAGACCTCAGTCACCCTGCAAAAGACCAGGGGATCAGTGAAGGCAGGACCAGTCTGGGAAACGCTCCTCTGGTCCCAACGACTGACTCATTCAGCCTGCTTTGACTATTCTAGTGGGAGGTGACTGAGTGAGAACAGCAGAAACAGCAGCTTGCGTGACAATAAGCACACTCACCTCGCCCTCAACCAGATTGCGCTTGTAAAGGGCATCCTTGGCTGCATCCTGCCAAATAAACACACACAGAGCAGGCAGTTAAGTAGATACAGAGGCTCTCGTTGCACCAGGCAGGGGTGCTCCTTTAAGCAGGCAGGCATTGGTGCAACCAAGAGGCTTTAAAAAGGGGATCTGAGGTCTTTTGCTCCCCCACCACATCCCATCTAGATATAAAATGGAGTGGATGGGGGGACTGAGGAACCATACCCGCTTTCCTTCACTGCCAAGGCGCCGTGCTGCCTCTGTATACCACTGCTGGTACCGCTCCAATTGGGTCAGGTATTCTGTGGAGTAAAGATCAGACATGACTAAGGAACAGCTCCGGTGTCCAACTGCATCCCCTTCACCTCTGCCCCCTCCAACCCCAGAGGTTGGGACTCTGCCTCCTTCCTTGTGATGCAGTTTTGAGAAAGCCAAAGAATTAATATTCCAAGGGCTTACAGACACTGAGATGCAATCACAAACTGCTGAGATAAAGATCTGTCAATCTAACAAATTGTAAGCTTTTAAAAAATTATTCCATTGTATCCATCCCTGCCAAGATATCTGGTAGATTTGCCAAATGTTAAAATGAGGGTAGTCTTTGCACAGGCAAGACTAAATGTCCTTCTGTTAGCCGATTGGACGGGCTGACATAAAGGAATTCCTAAGAAGGATAGAATTTGCAGCTGCAACTCTGTGTCAACAGAAGACATAACTCATGTACTCTTTCAATGCCCTTTTTATAATGATCTTAGAAACAATTACATCCACCTGTTGTTGAGATCGCAGAAGGGAAAGACATCCCTTGCAAAGACCTGTTTTTTGTTGTCTGATGTAGAGAGGGATATATCCTTTAGAACATACAAATTTCCTTCCAAAGCTTTACAAATTTGTGTAATAAAACTTAAAGGGCGGGGGTATGAGAAATGATTTATCCTGTAAAGGTCGGGGAGCAGAAATGTAAACCACTATTATTAGCAGTATTCTTATTCTTGTTATTTTCATGTGTGCAACGGCTGCTTGCTAAACACAATAAATCAAAGTGAACTGAACCCCCTCAATGAGCACTTCCTGCTAAGGCAATTTAACACACCAATTCAATATGAACCGACAGAGAAAGGGGGAAAATGTTCACTTGCCCAAGCATTCGGAATGGGGCCTTCGTGGCTGGGCTTTCATCGCAAAGTACCTTTCATGACTGCTGGGCCTCCGTGCTGAAGCTGGGACTTCTGCCACTGGATCATCCGTATAACGTTCTGGTGCTGTTCCACTAGGTCGTTAGGAGGTCGTTGGCCAACTTGTTTGTATCCTGCCATCTGCCAGCAAAGGAAGGAGGGTTTGTGTACGTTCTCAGGGAAAGGACAGAGCACTCAACTTTGGGAGTAAGAAGTGGACCTTCTGTGATTACGTTCTGTCTGGCTGACAAGTGCATGCACAGGCTGGGAAACGGCTTTTCCAGGGCCACAGCAACAGTGAGCAGCACACCTGAACAGGTGACTAAGAGAGAGTTGGTCACCTGAGAGATCCGGCCACATAAAGGCAGAAGGAAGGCAAGACTTCACCATATGAGTTTGCCACACAACACTTCCTTTTTAAATTGGACCGGAGTCTGCTGACCTCAGGTGAGACTCCTTCTGCAGAATGAAATTAAAGGGCAGATTTCTTTTTTCTAAAATAAAAAGGTAGTTTATGAAGCCAAAGCAGGCAAAAATAGCCCAGAGAGAGCAAAATACAAGATTCTTCCAGTCGACTGCCCTTTTAGTTGTTTGTTACCTAGCCGAGACAGGAATGCCAAGCAGGGCCCAAGGGTTATGAGGGTTGGGAAGAAGACATCATTTTAGGTCATTTTGAAAGGGCATCACTCACACATTCCCTAGAGATTTGTCTTGTCCAACCTTGGGTGTTTTTGCTGTACTGTAACACTTCAGATGACTACTGCACTACTAAGGTAAGCAGATTTTAAAATCATAAGCATTATACGCTGCCCTAAGGAAGCACAGCAACTTTGAGACAGGGCTGAGATTTCTGACTGAGCTTCCTGCCCCTCCTGCAACCATTAGCTTTGTAAATTAGATATTCCTAGTGTCTTCAGCATGTTTCAGTCAGTTTGCAGAAGTCAAGATTCAATGTTTGCTTGCAGTTTTGCTCCCATCAAGCCCGTGCCTTGTTCTTTTGAGGGACAATGAACACAACTGTTCAAAATGTAAGACATACCAGTGTCTCACTTGTCAAACTTGTGTCTCCTGTTTCCTCCCATCCTTTCGTTGTCCATTGCACAGTCTCAAGAATTGTCTGCAAGCACCTTGAGGTGGAAGGGACGTGGGTGGCGCTGTGGGTTAAACCACAGAGCCTAGGACTTGCCAATCAGAAGGTCGGTGGTTCGAATCCCTGTGACGGGGTGAGCTCCCGTTGCTCGCTCCCAGCTCCTGCCAACCTAGCAGTTCGAAAGCACGTCAAAGTGCAAGTAGATCAATAGGTACCGCTCTGGCAGGAAGGTAAACGGTGTGTCCGTGTGCTGCTCTGGTTCGCCAGAAGCGGCTCAGTCATGCTGGCCACATGACCGGAAAAAACTGTCTGCGGACAAATGCCGGCTCCCTTGGCCAGTAAAGCGAGATGAGCGCCGCAACCCCAGAGTCGGCCACGACTGGACCTAATGGTCAGGGGTCCCTTTACCTTTACTTTGAGGTGGGAGCCTGACTTTTGGCCAATGTTACGCTAAAGCACCATGTACATGGAGATGCTGGAATTAGTAACTACCACCCTTATAAACATTACTGACCTTTTTCTCCAGCCTCTCCTTGTCAAAAGCGAGGACATTGAAGCTGTGCAGAGTGCAGACAGGCTTGCTGCAAGGAAAGAAAGTGCAGCATGGTTAACCTCAGAAGAGGCCAGCAACAGAAACACAGCACAGAGAATGAGGCAGAGGCAAGCAGGCAACTGCCATCTTGGAGAAGCAGATATGGATTGGGTGTGTGCCTGCCAACTTCATGCCCAAGCAACAAGCACAGCTGACTCCTGCCAAGGCAGGGGGGCAAGAACCAGGCACATCAGCTGCAGCAGAGGCCCCTAGCTTGGGGACCAGAGTTTGGTGGGCAAGCAGATGGAATTGCTGCCCAGGATCCCTCAGGTTCTAGATTCAGGAGCTGCTGTGGGCTTCTTCCTGACAACTCTGAGAGAAAAGGCAGCCCAGCACGCACACAGGGACACTCCTGATCAGACCTGTTGACAGGCAGCGTGCTAATTTCTCATTTGCTAGAATGCCACAGGACAGGTTTTAAAGGACCACAAGAGCAAGATGAATGGGGTTGGGTTGGGTTTGAAGATTGACTGGCCAAAGGAGCGAGGAAAGCTCTGAAGTTTCATGCCCGGTGCTGTTTCTCATGCTGTTCTCAACCCAGGACAGACAAATCCAGTCTGGTAAACAGCTACATGGCAGATTTGAGGCAAGAGAGACACTCTTTGTCATTTGCATTCAGAACAAGAGAACCTTCCAGGCAAGCATTCTGCCTTACACCTTGGCCTCAGCACCCCCTTTTCCTTTCAGAATGCCTCCAATCACATTCAGGAATCTTCCTTGCTAGCCGGTTGATCCCGACTTCTCTCCCATCTTAGGCCCTACCCCTGGGAACATGAAACTGCCCTTGTTGCAAAGCCTGCACAATGCCCTAGTGCTGCTCTGCCTGTTCCTCATGCTCTTTGTTTCTCAACCCTACAGGAAATGCCAGGCTGTTATCAGACCAAAAATCTATCCTGCTGGATTTCCTGTTTGTTTGAGTGGTGCCATCCAGATTGCACAGTTTCACAAGACAGGCACGGTCTATCCAGGCCGCCAGTTCGAATGCCAGTTTGAGACATCTTCCTCTCTCACTGCTCCTCCAGTTACAGGAGAGGCTTTTGGCTATGGCTAGCTGGGAGCAGGCCCTTCCATGAGAAAAGTTAGGAAACTGTCTCAACCCATTGATTCAGGGCATCATTATCAGAGCGGGAGACAAACCAACCTGTAGTATGTGGCACAATCCACCTTCATGCCCTCCTGAGCGAGCCCCACAGAATGGGACCTGAAAGAGGCACAGCAGTCTCCCATGTTACTCAAAGGAAAGGGAGGTGTCCTTTGGACCTCCTGCCTCAGCCTCCAAAATATCTTGGGTCGATTCTGGGCTCGTTATTCACCGTGCAAAATTGTACCTGTTCTTTTGAAGCTTTAACTACTTTGCCTTCCTGCCAATTGCCACAAAACCTTTTGTGCCCATACAACCTCCCAGAGCTCTTTGCCCTCTCTAGCTGTCCTACATTTCTTTTCTTGTCCAGAGCCGGCAGGAGCAAACCATTCTCTGTGCAAGGGAGCCTTCAAGGCCTGAGAGAAGGAAGGTCCAATCAGAGCTGGCTTGGCTACAGCAGGGAGCAGATGGATGTTCTGGAAGGGAAATTAGAAGAGACTATCAACAGCCACTGGCAGAGCAAAAGGTGCTGGGCTGGACACCTGCCTCTGTGCACACCATCCAACTGTCCATCATGCTCCCTTAACAGGGAATTCAAATATCAAAAACCCTACGCGATGGTAACTGGTGTAGTTTGGTGGGCAAAGCACTGGGCAAATCTGGGAGACTTGCTTATGGGCTTCTCAAAGGCATCTATCTATCTGGCTGGCCCCTGTGGCAAAGAGGATGCTGAATTTGTTAGGGTTTTGTCTGATCCAGCAGCAAGGCTCTTCTCATGCTTTGTCTCAGCCACTGACTCATAGTGTGGCCTTGAATAAACTTCTTCACTTACTGCCTCTGTTCTCTCTACTGTACAGAAGATAGATGAGGCTTGGAGCTTCCCCTGCCCTGTGTGCCAACTTTAGAACAGGTATGGTTCTTATACACTCTCCTAAGGCACTAAGGGCCTACGCAAAGAGGCTCTTGTGGCATCAGAAGCTCCATTACAAAATCCTCACAAGAAGCTACATTGCCACTTTTGACAACTTGGGCTATTCAATTCCTGTTTATTCATAAGTCTCAGTAGCCAAGAACGATGCAGCTTATCTGTATGGTCACGGCAAGCTGTCTCCTCAGCAGAACTGCTATTTGACGGAGGCCTTTCTATCAGAAAGTCAGACCGGCATCATGCAGCGTTACGCAGTCAGGAGAGCAGAATTGATCCATGAGGTGCAATCCACCAGGAAGGTCTTCTGCCCAAGTTAAACGAAAATGAACTACAGTGGTACCTTGGGTTAAGAACTTAATTCGTTCTGGAGGTCCGTTCTTAAGCTGAAACTGTTCTTAGCCTGAGGTACCACTTTAGCTAATAGGGCCTCCCACTGCTGCTGCACGATTTCCGTTTCATCCTGAGGTAAGGTTCTCAACCCCAGGTACTATTTCTGGGTTAGCGGAGTCTGTATCCTGAAGCGCCTTTGGTAAAATAATACTCAGAGCAGCTTCCAAATAAAACCCATGTCAACAAGGCTTACACAGGAGAACTTCCTGGTTAACTGTGACCTCCAGGTCAGATTGCCCTGTCTTTCCCCACCCTGCTGCCCCCAAAACACTCAAAAGCACCCTGAAGCAGGCACACCTGCCCTACTGCTTTTTTGTGAGATGCCTTGGGTCTTGCATGTGCCTTCTTGAGCCGAGAGCGAAGTAAGAAAAGAATGAAAAGGAGAGCGGAAGGACAGGAGTTAAGATTTCCCCACAGATTATGCATGGAGCTAACTCAGGAGACCCCAGCAAAGGCACAAGAACATACATACCTACTGCCCACATCCTTCCCAGGAGCTATTGCTGGCTTGGGTTTGGGAAGAGCAACCTGGGTGAAGAAAACAAATACTGTTTTGCTCCTGTATGTCTGGCATAGCCACATTTATTTCAACAATGCAAGACTGGTCAAGCTTTTCAGCCCACTTTCCAGAAGCGGGGTGGGGAGCTGACAGCAGAGACCAGGACATGATCGGGGTTACGAGCATGCCAAACAAATCTATGAAAGTAGAAAAGTCATAGCACATGGTATTGCCTACAGAGTTTGGTGCCCTAAGAATCTCAGCTTTCATTTGGGTGGGGGAGGAAGCCCTTATGAATTGTGAAGACGTAGCTGAAACTGTGTGGGACACATTGGGCTAGTGATTTTGGATATAATATCCAACTTTCATCTTGGGAAAAGTTGTGGGGAGAAGAAATAAAATTTACAGCATGCTGTGCGTTGAAAGAAAATCACATGAAAATGATGTACCGTTGGTATCTAACACCAAGTAAGATTGCAAAAATGTATAAAACTAAATCAAATATGTGTTGGAAATGTAAAGAGAAAGAAGGTACTTTTTTCCATATGTGGTGGTCATGTACGGTAAAAAGCTTCTGGGAAATGATATATAATGAATTAAAGAAAATGTTTAAAAATACATTTGTTAAAAAACCAGAAGCCTTTCTTTTAGGTTTAGTAGGGGAAGAAGTAGCAAGAGAAGATAAAAGACTTTTTATGTATGCAATGACGGCAGCGAGAATGCTACTGGGAAGAAGAAGCATTACCAACAAAGGAAGAATGGCAAACAAAATTGATGGATTATGCAGAAATGGCGAAACTGATGGGGAAGATCAGAAACCAAGAAGATCAAGTATTTGTTAGAGACTGGAGTACGGTAAATTTATAGTTTACTTGAAAAACCACTGTAAGCTGTTAAAAACATTGGTAGCGTTGTAATGACATTTGTAATGTGAAATTGACTATGATAAAATAAGGATACATAATAGTTGGAAAAATTATAATAAGCAAAAAAAAAAATTTAATTTAAGAACCCATGGAAGGGAAGTTGGAAGGTTCAGGGAACTTTGTAATTGGATATATGTGAAAGATAATATGTATAAAAATGTGAAAACTAATAAAACTTTACTATTTTTTTAAAAAAAGAAACTGTGTAGGACAATGGCTGGTGAAATCTGAGGGGTCAGAGGTTGGGATGTCAGTGCTCTGCAGAATTCCTTGCCTCACCTCACCAGCAAACTCAGAATAAAACATGCAAAATAGTTTACAAGCGCAAAATAAATTACTTAAAATATTTGCCAGATTTGTCCAGGCTGCAAATTGCCCTCCCCCCCTCGTTTAATATATTTTTTTAAGCAGACAGTATGCACAGGGCTGGACAATCATCTGCCTCTTCCCATCACAATATGCTGCTCCTGTGGGCAGGAAACCAGCATCTGAATAGCAACAATTGCTGGAGACATTTCAAGCCACGCTTAGTCATTAGCCACGCTTTTGGCCCACATCCATTTCTGAAGAAACCAAAGTTTGGACTCTGGTAACACAGCTGAAATTCATTTCTTGAAAAGAAAATGGAGCCACAGAAACGAGGTGACGGAAGGGGCACAGTAGGCTGGATACCCTCTAGGATGAGCACTAACCACAGATTCCATATGGTTCATATTCTTGCCAGCCTCAGCTGAGCAAGGGCTTGGGCACAGGGCCAGAACCTTTGCAAAGCCACACTCAGAACAACTTTTCGGGTGCCACCCAAACCAGCTTTGCTCTTGATGGAAAGCTTCTGGGACACAGAGAACAGTTTGGCTCTTACTGGTGGCATCGTGAGGGGGTCAATGACCAGCCACTTCTCCGTCGTCGTCTCCAGTTGCTGGGAGGTCAGCGGCTCTCTCAGACGCACAATGACTTCCAACTTGCCCCCTGTGGGCCGCCGACCATCCAAAAGCTAGGCAGAGAAAAGAAAAAGAGAGAGGCGCCCCAATTAGTGTGAAGCCACAACGCTCTGAACTTCTCCCCGCCAGCACCAAATGCTCATCGTTCACACTTGTCAATCTGTACGGCAGAACGATGCAGCCTGTTCCTTTTGGCCCTCAGCGTGCTGAGGGAGGAACTGGCATCTCTGTCTTTTCGACTACGTGGCAGATGGCAAACCAAAGCCTGGAGAAACTGCTCTCCCAAGTTCCACAGGGAGGCTGGCTGAGCAGGCAGCGAAGGCTAGTTCAGAACTCTAATCTAGGCCACTCATTTATTCACAATCATATAGAGGTGCACATGGAGTTACAGTGAGGGGAAAAAAGTATCCCCTGCTAAATTTGCCCGTTTGTTCTCTGACAAAGAAATGACCAGTTCATAATTTTAATGGTAGGTTTACTGTAGCTGTGAGAGACAGAATAACAACAGGAAAACCCCCAGAAACCCAGAAGACAAAAGTCAGAGATTGATGTGGGGTTTTCCTGTTGTTATTCTGTCTCTCACAGCTACAATAAACCTACCATTAAAATTATGGACTGGTCATTTCGTCGTCAGGGGGCAAACGGGCAAATTTAGCAGGGGATCAAATACTTTCCCCCCTCACTGTAAACAACAACAACAACAACATTTAGAAAGATCAACATTCCTGAAGTCCTCCACTTCTGAAAACTGTAATTGGGCCTTGAAATGTTTTTGAGGTGATGGGTTTTTGGTGGATGTGTGGATACCTCTCTTAGCAGCTAATTGCATTGGTGGTGTGAATGTCTGTCAATTTCTCAGAAGGAATGTTTTTAGCAGTTATCATCTCAGGAAGATCTTCAAAATGGGACCTTATCCAAAAGCCTGCCTGCTGTCAGCTGCTTAGAGCATTCTGCAAATGCAATATGTGTGTGTGTGCTATATGGGGGTTTTTTTTGTAATCCTCGTTTAAATGTTCAGTTGGCAATCCTCATGATAGCTTGTTTACTGTGTTCCAAACTTATTCTCATTAATAAACTGTTGTCACAGTCCTTTTAGCACTTTTTGTGGCCACTATATAGAACTGTGGCCTTGCACGTAATTTCACATTTAACTTCAGTACAGAAGGTGGCAAAGTGGCCACTCCTGATGCCCTGATGCAACAGGGATGCTGAAATGGGTGTGACGCTCCCCAAGACATGCTGAGCCCAAGGCCTTGAAAGGCAGTGACATTTCTTCCAGCAAGCATCACAAAGGCATGGTCTGCGGTGAAAGCAAAACTCTGATTTCACTCTAGCCTCTCTCAGTTCTGCTAGAGCAGGGGCCAGTCCACTGTCCCTCAGACCTTGTTGGGGGGACAGACTATATTTTTTGGGGGGGGGGGGAATGAACGGATTCCTATGCCCCACAAATAACCCAGAGATGAATTTTAAATAAAAGCACACATTCTACTCATGTAAAAACATGCTGATTCCCGGACCGTCCGAGGGCCGGATTTAGAAGGCAATTGGGCTGGATCTGGCCCCCGGGCCTTAGGTTGCCTACCCATGTGCTAGAGGGCTTGGTTTTACATGCACATCATGCCTGAGAAGAAAGGGAAGGATTTAGGCTTACCTCCAGAATCTCCCGAAGCTCACAAGCTGTCTCCAGTGCATCTAACTTCAATTGTGCAGTTCCAACTACACGGTCAGTTTTGAACAGCCCTCTGCAGAGAAAATGGAAGTATTAGACTTATGACCTCATTCAGAGAGTCACAAATTTCATTCTGCTCTTACTTGCTCCCTTTCAATAAAACTAACACTTAGCCTTTTCAAAATAACCATACCACAAGAACTGCTGCAAGGTTACAGCAGAGTCTCCCCAACATTCCTGTAGTAAAACTACTCATAGCTTGGATGCCTCCTTTCAGCTTAGTTATGGCTTTGAGTACATGCGGATCTGAGCTATAAGTTGCCCACCTGTCTTGCCTGTGTGTGTCAATGAGCCAACCTGAGTTTCTTCCTCCCATAACAAACATTTCCCAATCTCACATCCTGGGTTTTCTACTTATGTCCTGCCACCACCACATTATAGAAGTGAGACGTGGAAGCTGTACGTTGTGTGGAATGAAAGCCACCTTGTCTCAGTTGTTTTGTCACTCTTTTGATAGCACTTTGAAGCCTGTTTCAGTTAGTGCCTCCTTGACTGCTAAATATCCTTCCATTCTCCTCCATATTTTTTGTGCTTCTGCCAATAGCCCTGAAAGAATGTGCAATCTCAGCACATTCACAGACACTAAGAACCAAACCACACATTACAAGAAACACCCTGAAATACATAACTGGGACTTGCCATTTTACTTTCTTAAGAAAAAAATCAAGGAAGGGGCAGGGGGCACAGATCATGACCACCATGTTAGGGAGGGAGGTGTATTCCTTTCCCCTGCATGCTTCCCCACCAAAAATCCCCACCTCAAGCTACTTGCTTCCAAAGGTGTTATTTGACAGGACTATTCCAGAAGGAAGCACAGCGGTTATCCCAACAATTTACTATTCTTCTGTGCTTCCTGCACTGCATATTTAAAATACATATGTGAGATTTCATGGAAGAGTTGAAAACGCTCATATTAAAGCTCTCAGGCCACTCAGACATGCAGCCTCCATGTTGAAGGTGGCCCACCTCCAATCAGTTTGACCACAGCAGGAAGGTCACTACGGGTTTCTGCCAGCAACACTCAAACCTCCATTTTGCTCACCCTTTATGGACGACTTCAAACTTGATGCCTTTTGTCTGGATGGCTCTTTTCAGCCCACGGTGCCCCCGATTAATAAACAGCTTGAACTTCTCTTGGAATTCTGCCAGAGGGAGATACCAAATGGGAAGGTTACTGGACATCAGGTGAGGGCCAAGAGCAATCATCACTGAAAGGAACAGCCTTGCATTGTTGGAGGGAATGGGGTCCCTGCAGTTTGCTTCAAGCCCAGCCCCCCAAAAAACTTGGGAAGGCTCAAATCCAACTCCTGAGCATTTACACAGTTGTTGTGCACCATTGATATGCCACTGTTCACCCCATCACAAACACCCTAGGTAAAAAAGATAAAAGGTAAAGGACCCAAGATGGTTAAGTCCAGTCAAAGGTGACGATGGGGTGCAGTGCTCATCTCACTTTCAGGCCGAGGGAACCGGCGTTTGTCCACAGACAGTTTTCTGGGTCATTTGACCAGCACGACTAAACCATTTCTGGCGCAATGGAACACCGTGACGGAAACCAGAGTGCACAGAAACGCCGTTTACCTTCCCACCGCAGCGGTACCTCTCTATCTACTTGCACTAGTGTGCTTTTGAACTGTTAGGTTGGCAGGAGCTGGGACAGAGCAACGGGAGCTCACCCCAGATTTGAGCTACCAGCCTTCTGATTGGCAGGCGCAAGAGGCTCAGTGGTTTAGACCACAGCGCCACCTGCGTCCCTATGCAAGCACTCTATGCACTGGTAAAAGCAAATCGTGGCAGGATCAGGTTGTACAACATTGGCCACAGCGATGTTTCAGCACAACAGCAAACCCCTCCGTTTGCTTCTTGGTTCACCAGAAGCACTTACACTGAGACAGCCAAAGACTGTGCAGTTCTGATGCTGCCACTGCTCCTTGCCATCAAATACCCTAAGATGTCAGTCAGCAGATTCTGTAGGAGGGAGGGAGGCGGGGAAAACCTGGCAGCTATCCTCATGCTTTTTCCAGCGTCCCCCAAATCATGCTCACTGTTGTCAAGAAGGAAGTCTGTGCCACAATATACTCCACCAGACACCTTTGCCTTCAAACCAGTTTGAGCTGCAAGCTGTCATATTCACAGAAGCAACTTGCACATAAGGACTGAGAATATTCTCCACTAGAATCCAGGAGCCAATACTTCTTGAAACCAGCAGTAGCCCAATGGAGCAAAAGGGCCAACAATTTTCCAAAGCCACCTCTGATGATGCAGGCTTGCTACTAACAAGTCTTGCAGTATCTCTGGCTGCTGAGCCATCAAAAGCCCTGTTCTTCAACTGGTAGCCTGTAGCAGAGTTTCAGACTGCCAAGCTTCTGTGTTGACAAGAGAAGTCTATCCTCACCTGCTCTCCTCCCTGTAATTGTGTTTTCTTTGCTGCCCCCAGTAAAAGCCTGGCAAGGACATTTACTTCCAATACTGCACAGCTAGCTAAGTGCTTGGGACAAGGGAGGCCTCAGAAAGCAGCCGGTGATGAGGGTCTGCCATACCCAGACACAGAACTAAGGGACCAGCCCAGTATACCAGTGCTTTGTAGCTCTGTCCAATATCTGACCTGCAGCACCTCCCTCTATTCCAGGTGTGGGGCTGTCCCTGTGACTAAGGGCTAGACCACATGCAGCGCTGTATAGGTCACTTGGAAGCCAACCCATTAAAAAAATATAATAGTATGCAAGTGTAGGGCAGCTTTAACTTTTCCCTCCCCAGCCACGATCCTGATATTCACCCCCTATGCCCCATTTGCCTTTCTGAAGCTAATGGCGGAGGGGATTTTATTAGGCTAGGGCTGTCATACATGTGGCGTTTTGTCCTGGATCTTAAGTCAAGTCAATTGTAAAAGTGTGGGGTTTGGGTTTTTTTGTTAGAAAAGAAGAAAAAAAGAAAAAAGAAAAGAAGCAAAGCTCAACAATTTTTGGGGGTCTTCCTAAAAAAAAGGATTGCAGGAGGGGAGAGAATGGTTGAACCTCCCCACCCTTGCATGCTGCAGTCCGTCCCCCCCCCCAACAACACACACAGCCTCTAATATATTGGTACCTGGGTTGTCGAACGGCTTGACTCCCAAACAAATCGGCTCCTGGACGCCACAAACAAGTAAGTGTTCCAGTTTGCAAATGTTTTTTGGAAGCCGAATGTCTGACGCGGCTTCCGATTGAGTGCAGGAAGCTCCTGCAGCCAATCGGAAGCCACACCTTGGTTTTCGAACAGATTAAGTTTGACAACCAAGGTACTACTGTATTAATTTTACTTACAAGAAAAACAATACTGATGGCCTTCCTGGTGATGTGCACATGCTTTGGCCCTGAAGCTGTCAGGTGATTCTCCCCCGCCCTCCCATCTGTCTAGCATGGCCTAAAGCTCACAAACATAAATTTACCGGGAGAGTTGGAATTCTTGATCACATTGGTCTTGTCTTTCTGCGCTTCCTCCTGCAAATACAGAAATGTGAAAAGAAGCAGTAAGAACCAGGCGCCTGCCAGAGAACTGATTCGGAGCATTTCAAAGCAGACCCCACCACCGTCCTCAAAGCAGCTTCACGCGTCAGGCTTTTTCTACACCTGCATTACATGCAGCTGGCTATTGAAAAGGCAGTTTTAAATTGTTATTGTTATTTTTCTTTTTATTAAAATACCACCCCATATCCATAGATCTCAGGGCGGTTCACAACATAAATATACAAATCCAGGGGGAAATGATCCCTGGCTGCTTCCCACAGGATAATGAAAAGTTAACCTATGAAGCAGCCCAAACTCACCGCATTGGGATAGGGGAATTCAAAGCGGACAAAGGCATCCAGGTCATTCGGAGACATGCCTGAAGAAGGGAAAAACAAGAGTCAGGAAACCTTTTAGGTAAAAATCTCAAAGCTAAAGGACAACGAGGAGGGGCTGCTCTCAGAAGGCTCCACGTGGAAATCGGCTCAGCCTGGTTCCTCCACAGAAGTGTGGCCTTCGCATGACTGCCTCGGCCTGCAGTGCCCTGGAAGTCTGCATGTGGGGCAACAGGCCGAGAAGTGGGCAATTCAGAGTAAAGAACACTCCTTAGAAACCACCTCTGGAACGAGTGTTTGCCTATACAGTGGTGCCCCGCAAGACGAATGCCTCGCAAGACGGAAAACCCGCTAGACGAAAGGGTTTTCCGTTTTTGAGTTGCTTCGCAGGACGAATTTCCCTATGGGCTTGCTTCGCAAGACGAAAATGTCTTGCAAGTCTTGAGATTTTTTTTCCGCTTTTCGCCCCCTTTATCTAATCTGCTAAGCCTTTAATAGCCTTTAATAGCCTTTTAGCAGCTAATCCGCTAAGCCACTAAGCCTTTAATAGCCGCTAAACCGCTAATAGTGCTAATCCGTTAAGCCGCTAATAGGGTTGCTTCGCAAGACGAAAAAACCGCTAGACGAAGACTCTCGCGGAACGGATTAATTTCGTCTTGTGAGGCACCACTGTATTACAAAATGAAAGGGGAGTGGGGAGTGAGAGAGAGAGAACAGGCTACAACAGAATTAAATTCACTCTCAAAACCAGCCTTTTAGTCTTTCTCCCCTGACAGGTGGGAAGGTGGGGATTTCACAGAATGGGTCAAGAGAAAAGAGAGATGAAAGGAGGGAGGAAGTGCCCTCCCCAATGCACACACACCTGTTTTGGGGTTTGGAAAGACAGTGGTACCTTGGTTCTCAAACAACTTGGAACCCAAACACTGGAAGCAAGTGTTCTGGTTTGTGAACTTTTTTCAGAAGTCGAACATGCTCCGTTTTGAGTGCCACACTTCCATTTTGAGTGTTACGCTTCCGATTTGAGAGCCACACTTCCGTTTTGAGTGTTACGCTGAGGTTTTTGCTATTTATTTTGTGTTTTTGTGGCTCTTTTTATGTGTGTGTGACTGTGTGGAACCCAGTTCAGCTCCTGACTGATTGATTTTGTGACTGCAGTACATTGTTTATTGCTTTCATTTTATGGATTAATGTTCCTGTTAAACTGCTGTTTTAAGGGTTGTTTTTAAAAGTCTGGAACGGCTAATCCATTTTTCATTACTTTCTATGGGAAAGTGCGCCTTGGTTTTGGAACGGACTTCCCGAGCAGATTAAGTTTGAGAACCAAGGTACCACTGTACTCAAGAAGCACACAAGATCCCTTCCCTGGCACCCTGGCTGAACACACGACTTAGGAAGGTGGTTGCAGAAGTGGTGGGGGCTGTGTGGAATACACAGCCAGCTTCCCAGCTGGCACGGGGGGGGGGGGAATGCAAGCTTTTCAAACAGGTTATTCTGATGCCCTGTCTCAGCCAGCCACACATCCTGTCTGCTTCACACAGCAGCAGCAAATCCTTGATCTCTCTATAAATTTTTCTCTCCCCTTCCTCTCCTACACAGGCTCTTTGCTACTCCAGTAACCAGATTTCTTGCAGTCTTCTCTTTCCTGATAGGCTCTTTCCCAAGCAGCCACTACCTAAATCACTATTTAAAACCTTTTAACTTATCGCACAATAATTTGCTCTGGGGCGTTCCTGCGAGGGCTTGGCTTGTAATCAATAATAACAACAGGATACTCTTTCTGGCAGTGTTTCTGACAGCTACTGAAATTACAAGCAGGCAGGAGAGCCAAACAAGCAGGATCCAATCACTTTTTATGGGTTTTACTGTCATGTTATTATTGCTTTGATGCTGTTAGCTGCCCTTGAGTTTCCATTAGGAAATAAAGGCAGGGTACAGACTGAATGAAGAAATGAATAAAATGAAGAGGAGGAGGCGGAGAACAATAGAGATACAGTCCTTCGTTCAGGATGCCACTCTGCAATACTGTTTTCAAAAGTCATGTTTCTTCCTCCACGGATAGGACAGTGCAATAGTGATTGGGATTAGCTCTGCTCACTTAAACAGTGACTTCTGGGACCCAAACATATAAAATTATAGGAAAAACAAAGAGGAATAAAAGTTATTTAGCATTCTACAGAACAAACAGATACAGCTGGGGAGTCTGTGGGCCTCCAAATATTGTTGGATTCCAACTTCCATTAACCCCAGTCAGCAGGGGATGATGGCCATTGTAGTCCAGCCATAACACCCATGAGATAGGCACAGCAATGTTCAGAGGGACTTGGTTTTGCACTAGGACAGGGCACAAAGAAATGAACTGGAGAGGGTAGGGTCAGCCCTTTTGAACGTTTCAAAGGAGGGGAGAATTCTTAATTTTGAGAATAAATGTTAGAATCGTCTTGCTGGATCAGGCTCAACTGTCCCTCTAGCCCAGTGTTTTCGCTCCAGTAAGGCCCTGTCAGATGCTGCTAGGAAATTCATAAGCAGGGCATTAAAGTCAACCGCTGCCCCTGTTGTTTGTTGTCCCCTTCATCTGGTAAACAGAAACCATTTGCTGCTCTGAACAAAAAAAGTCCCACTATATTTTGCATTACTAGATGGGGGACATAAACAAGAGAAAGGGAAACATCGGATCCCTTCTACCAAAAGGAACAACTGTCAATGACTTTGGGAACTCTTCACCATACTTGTTCTAGCAGGCACCTAACTTTCCTCTGCCCGCCCCGCCTCTCCCCAGTTTGGCTTTAGACCAGAGAAAGGGGACCTTCGAACCTCCAGATGTTGCTGAACTTCAGCTCCCAGCCAGCATGACCGATGGTCAGGGGTGAAGGGAGCAGCAGCTCAGCAATACCCGGGGAGTCACAGGCTCCCCCATCCCAACTGCTTTGTCCAACTTACAAGTAATGGTGGCAACAGGCACAGCAACTCCCACCCCCAAATTACGCTTTCAGAAACAGAAGATGTTTCCTGCATTACCTGGAGGAGCTGGCAGGTTGATTCCTTTCACGACAGAGAGAACCATATCGTTGCTGTTCAATTCTGGGAAAATCCTGCGAGGGGGGAAAGGAGAGGGCCAGCTTCAACTGAGGTGCTTTCAGTGAACAGGCCAGGATCTCACCATCACCAAACAAAGCGTCCGACTCCACCCACCTATTCCTACCATTCCAAAAAGAACACTCTGAAAAGGCTTCATGTCTCTCTCTCTCACACACGCATATAAACATACACGCCCTGGGTAAGAGCTGAGGTTTGAAACAGGTCAAGGCCCTTTAATAAATCTTGGTTTGGCCTATGTGGGATTTTTTTAAAAATCCTCCTTTATTGAGAGCCGGTGTAGTGGTTAAGAGCGATAGACTGATAGATAATCTGGGGAACCGGGTTCGCTTCCCCGCTCCTCCACGTGCAGCTGCTGGGTGACCTTGGGCCAGTCACACTTCTTTGAAGTCTCTCAGCCCCACTCACCTCACAGAGTGTTTGTTGTGGGGGAGGAAGGGAAAGGAGAATGTTAGCCGCTTTGAGACTCCTTCGGGTAGTGATAAAGCGGGATATCAAATCCAAACTCTTCTTATTGTTGTGGCTCTGAGAGAACCTAATCCTGCAAAGGAAAAGCCTGACCAATGGCTAGGGACTCAGCTACATGCATAAATATAAATCGCTTTATATGTGTTATAACACTGTAACGCCAGATGGCGCTGTGGAGTCCCGCCTTTCACCAACGGGATTTCCCTGCATGAAGTTTACAACACGTGTAACTGAATCGCTTGTTTGATGTGTTTAGATCTGGCCTAGGAAGGAAAGCCCCGAAAGCATTTGGCATCTAGCATTTGGGGCAAACTGCAAAGCAATGGCCCACATACTTGACCACACTGAAAGTCCGCTGCTCATAGTGATATTTGGGCAGTGGAAACCCCTTGGCGTGGGCTTGCTTTAAGATCTCCATGTTCTTTTTGCAGTCTTCAGCCATCTTCTCAAATCTGGAGAGGGGCAGATCAAAACAGTCAACTTAGTTTACAGGGTGATTCACAGAGTTCAAATAAGTTTTCTTAGCACATTTTAGATAACTTTGAGCCATAAAAGAAGAGCGATGAGAGCTTTGTTAAGCATGAAGAAATAGTTGGAGTAGACGGACTGTGTTGGAAAGCTTCAGCCAATGAGAATTCAGATAAAGCTGGGGTCTTGGTTAAGCAACAGCCCAAAGAATTCAGCACAAGAGAGTTAACTTGGATGCTAGCAAACAGAAGCGGTATTTTCAGAAAACAGCCAAAACTGGAAGCCCTCCAACCGTAACTGACTGGCAGCACACACAGATGTCTGGGAACAAGCTATGTTTTGAGAACAGGGTCAGAAAAATAGAACATTCCATGCAGAACAGCTAGCTTTGCACTAGAGTGCTGGTTATGGATTTCATTAGGCAGTAGCAAAAACAAATTACGCCATGAACTGAGCAACGTAGCAATGAGCAAAAATGTCATACTATAAAAGTGATGTGTGGAAATGGACTTTAAGAGGAGCAGTATGTGGCAGACATTCTATATTCCCTGAAGGAAGAAACGCATGTAACCTTAAATATAAATCATGAAAGCTTGTTCTACTTGCGACCTTTATTTCCCCCCTCCCCTCTTCAGTGCATTCCCATCACTTGCATTGGGAATCCTTTTGCTTGTTTTAAAACGCAAATGAACCTATTCAATGACCTGTCTCAGCCTAGCTGCAGAACAGATGATGCAGAAGATACAAGGAACCAGGAAGAGGGCCTTCTCAGTAGTGGCACCCGCCCTGTGGAACGCCCTCCCACCAGATGTCAAAGAGAAAAACAACTACCAGACTTTTAGAAGACATCTGAAGGCTGTCTTGTTTAGGGAAGCTTTTAATGTTTGACAGACTATTGTATTTTAATATTTTGTTGAAAGCCGCCCAGAGTGGCTGGGGAAACTCAGCCAGATGGGCGGGGTATAAATAATAAATTGATGATGATCTAAGGAGCACCTGCTGCAAAGAGGGCGTTCCTGGCCAACACAGACCACAGATTTAGCCGAGAGCGCAGAGGATGGGAACGGCATTTCTCAGTTGCCATCACACTTACTTGGTAGTTTCTGCGATGTTTCCTAAATGGGTGAACTGCTTGGAGAAACTCATGCACATCTGGAACAAAAAAGAAAGGAAAAGGAAGGAGTCACATCAGGAGCAGGCAGGCATGATCCTGGCTCCCTCCCATGGGTCATGCACCTTTGCAGTCAAATGCCTTAAATTCCACCCCTTAATAAGCAAGTTCCAGCCCTTATATGGCCAGAGTATGCAGACTATCTTCTCAAGGAACCCAGAAGCCACTTGCATCTTTCTTAATAGCCCATCCATTGCTCATCATTTACTTAATACTCGGATAGCTGCAGGAAGTCCATACGGGGCCACACCAACAGTCCCTTCTGATGTATATATTCAAACACACACATACACCCCCCCCTTATATGTAAATAGGAGAGAGATGCAAGCAAGAAATACTGCTGCTGCCATTATGTCAGGTTTGCCCCCTCCCTCCCTTGCTGGATCACACCTACAGTGGTACCTTGGGTTAAGAACTTAATTTGTTCCGGAGGTCTGTTCTTAACCTGAAACTGTTCTTAACCTGAAGCACCACTTTAGCTAATGGGGCCTCCCACTGCTGCCACACAGCCGGAGCACGATTTCTGTTCTCATCCTGAAGCAAAGCTCTTAAACCAAGGTACAGTGGTGCCTCGCAAGATGAAATTAATCCGTTCCGCGAGTCTCTTCGTCTAGCGGTTTTTTCGTCTTGCGAAGCAACCCTATTAGCGGCTTAGCGCTATTAGCGGTTTAGCGGCTATTAAAGGCTTAGAGGCTTAGCGGCTAAAAGGCTATTAGCGGCTTAGCGGCTTAGAAAAAGGGGGAAAAAAGCGAAAAAAATCTCAAGACTCGCAAGACATTTTCGTCTTGCGAAGCAAGCCCATAGGGAAATTCGTCCTGCGAAGCGCATTGAAAAACGGAAAACCCTTTCGTCTAGCGGGTTTTTCGTCTTGCGAGGCATTCGTCTTGCGGGGCACCACTGTACTATTTCTGGGTTAGCAGAGTCTGTAACCTGAAGCGTCTGTAACCCGAGGTACCACTGTATTAGCGTCCGTCTAATCCAATATCCTGTTTCCAACTATGCTCCACCAACCAAATGTTTCCAGGAAGCCCACCAGAATGGCATGAAGGCCACAGCCCTCCCACCTTATTTCGCTCCCAGGAAACGGCAGGTGTAACAAGTGTGATGATTTCAATAAGAATGATTGACTGCCATCCTCGTATGCCTTGTCTCACATCTGGTGGGGCTTCCAGGAAAAGGAGTAAGAAACCTTTCTAGTTTAAAAAGATAGCCCTGCTCTCCCCGATTCCTTACTAATCTCCTCCAAAAGAGGCTGCAACATCCCTTAAAGCTTGGCTGTGCCCCACTTACCTCATGCTGCTGCCTCATAATTTTCACAAGCTCCATGTACTGGGCAGCCGTTTCTGGGGAGATGTTGGCTCCACGACGCTGCGCAAGTGTGAAGTCCTCCTTGTTCACAGGGGCTTGAGGCACCTGAAGGGAGAAAGTGTGTATTTGAGGGCGGGGGAAGTTAGTACCAGAATGAACCACTCCGAATAGGGCTGCGTCACCTCCATGCACAAAACACAAATCAGCACAGAGTGATCCTCTGCCTGTCAAACAGACCGGGGTTTCCCACAAAGGGAGCTCCCGATCCAAAACTGTGTGGATCTATAAGCTGGTCTGAAATGGGAGGTTTGCCTGCTGCCATCATTATACAGTGGTACCTCGGGTTAAGAACTTAATTCGTTCTGGAGGTCCATTCTTAACCTGAAACTGTTCTTAACCTGAGGTACCACTTTAGCTAATGGGGGTCTCCTGCTGCCGCTGCGCCACCAGTGCGCCATTTCTGTTCTCATCCTGAAGCAAAGTTCTTAACCCGAGGTACTATTTCTGGGTTAGTGGAGTCTGTAACCTGAAGCGTCTGTAACCTGTAAATCTGTAAGCAAAAGGCAAAAAAACTTTCCTCTATAACCAGGCCTTAGGCTTTTAACTAACAGGCCTTCTAGATGTGGGTGGGGTGTTTTTAATGTATCTCTTTTCCCTCTTGGTTTTAATATAACTATGTGGGGTTTATTGTGTTTGGTTGATTGTAAGTTGCTTCAGGTTCCCTTGGGTAAGATAAAGGAACTATCAAATTTAATTAATTAATTAATAACGAAGTGTCCCATGCCAAGCTTAACTGGCCCTCATTCAGCAACAGCACTAAGTCAAATGGGATGACCGAAAAATTATTTTGCCCCACGCCAGTGGGTTCAAGAAGGGGCATTAGAGCAGGTTTTCCTTGGACACAGACCAAACTGTCAGTCATAATGTAACATAAAACAGGACAAAAGACCAGGCCTGCTGGATCAGACCAAGGGTCCATCTAGTAAATTTTCTGACTGGTATAATGCCTCTGGGAAAATCCTAAGCAGTGCATGAAGGCAACAGTCCCCACCTCACTGCTGTTTCCCCAGGATGATGTACTCAAGAGGTATACTCCCTTTGAACACAAGTATTAGATACGATAGCTAAACAGAGCCACCTATTTTCCACATATTTGTCAAATCCCATTACGCTCAGAATACAGACACTGAGGAATGCAAAAGATTGAAAGCATCAGGGCAAGATTTTTGTTCCAGCGCTCCACAGATGAGACCAGATTTATTTTTATTTTTAAAAATATGTCTCTCTGGCTCAGAACTCAGGTTCCAGAACTGGGACATAGTGACTGAAAAACAACATTCATGCACTTCATGAGCTTTGAGCTGTTTTCTAACACAACTCTTTTGACAGACATTTCCCAACCAGAGAGAAAGAGAGAATATGATTGCCTTTGTTATGTCGACCGGGAGCCCACTCTGCGATGCTTCAATCATGGGGTCCAGACCCTTGGCTTGACGCAAGAACATCTTGGCCCCCTCAATGTCATTCTGCTGCTTTGCTCTGAGAGCTGCCTGCATCAGCTGCTTCCTCCGGGTTTCCAGGAAAGTCAGCTGCTGTTGAGCTGCAGGGAGAAAGGAGACCCATCAGGCATGCTTCAAAGTCTCCTCTAAACAGACAATAAGGAGGTCTCAAATGGGCAAGGGTGCAAATCTTATTTCAGTACACTAACGTATGTCTGTGCATAAGCAAAACAGTCACTTTTTACAAGTAGCATCCTGGTAACATGAAAAGCATGTTTGCTCAGGAGACAGCAATAAACGCAGAGCCTATAATGAGTCTAGGCAGCCTTAGAAATAATAATAAAAAACCAGCCATTATCTTATCTCCAAGAGCAGTCAATAATGAATGCTACATTGCACCAGTTAAGAAATGGTCGTTCTCCTGTTGGGTTGGATTCCAAAATAGCAAAAAAAGAGGAGCTGTTTGCTTCCATTGGAGAAAGTTTGGGGCTGTTGCAGAGAAAACAGTCCAAGGAACAGAGCCCAAGCGTCTCAGTCTGTTATTAGGTGGTCACTGCAAAGTCCTACCCACATGGCAGTGATTTTTGGGCTGTAAAATTCAGGGGAAAATGGAGATTGGGAAAAACCAAGTACCTCAATCAAAGAGGCACCAATCGGCCCAGGGATTTTTGCATAAATCAGAAACGTGGAACGTGCCACCAACATAGATTCTGTTGTTGTCTGACCTGCAATCTGGAACAACAGGAATCAATGTTGCCCAAGGAGCTTGAATGCCTGATACTGAAAAAACCCCTCACACTGCTAATTTGAAAACACTCTGTCTGAAGAGTGACCAAATCACTTGTAAACCGTGGCTTGGTTTTGATGTCAAGAGCTCCTGTACAGACCGAACTGCCAAGGCGGAGAAGCTCCCAATGCTTAAACCATTTGTGTATCTAGGATTAGCGTGTCCACAAAATGAGTAATTTTATTCATAAAACACTACCCTGTCATTCAGTACTTGTGGTAGAAGGTAAAGGGACCCCTGACCATTAGGTCCAGTCGTAATCCACTCTGGGGTTGCGGTGCTCATCTCACTTTATTGGCCAAGGGAGCTGGCGTACAGCTTCCAGGTCAGGTGGCCAGCATGACTAAGCCGTTTCTGGCGAACCAGAGCAGCGCACGGAAACGCCGTTTACCTTCCCGCCGGAGTGGTACCTATTTATCTACTTGCACTTTGACGTGCTTTCAAACTGCTAGGTTTGCAGGAACAGGGACCGAGCAACAGGAGCTCACCCCGTTGAGGGGATTTGAACCGCCGACCTTTTGATCAGCAAGTCCTAGGCTCTGTGGTTTAACCCACAGCGCCACCCGCGTCCCCAGTACTTGTGGTACTTTACAATAAAAAGCGAAAAGGGACACCACAGAATCTAAACATTTTCCCCAACAGCCTAGGCACCACTACACAGATAAGATCAAGCTTCTCTGAAAAATTGTCTCCTGTCACTGATATTCAGGCTGGCACATGAATTTACTTATTTTCCTCTTCCCTCATTGATGCTCTTTTGTTTCGTATCAAGTCTCCTCACATCATAAGCCACTGTTTTATATTATAAACCATGCTTATATTATGAATGAAAGGTAAACCAATAAATAAAAGTGGGGTTACCTTTTGTGTTGACCTTTGAGGCACTTTTACCTGCCCCCGTTGCCTTTGGAGCTGCAGGGGCGACTCGTGAGCCTGGCTGGGGTGGCAGCTTAGGCTGTGGTGAGCTGGCTGGTTTGGATGATGCAGGCTGGTTTGGGTGGTCAGGCTGAAAAAACAAGAGAGGAGGTACGTCTCCGAAAACATTCCTTGGTGCAACGAAAGACCAACCTGACCCACAGGGAATCACGTGGGATATCAAGGCAGTTGGAGAAGTCTAAACTCTGTTCATGACATAGCATTCAATCTTAAAACCTTGACTGCACGACCAGCACTTAAAAGTAATGTTATTGCCAGTACAGGCCCCACCCCCTTTTTTACATTTTTAAATTTTATTTTAAATTTATTTATTTACATCATAAATCCACTGCAACTCAAATAAACAAATCCACCACCATTGGACATAAACATAAACATAACATAAAATATAACAAACAACAAAATAAAAGACTTCCTTTTTGGCCTCCTTGTTTACTTCTTATGAACTGTTTCCTTTATGAGTTGTTAATATGATTTTTTGAATTATGACTTATAAAAAAAACAAACCACAAATTCAATCAGGACTTTGACTAGCACACAACCCAACCTTTTTTGCCTCCTCAGCATCTTCATCCTCCTCATTGGCTAGTTTCATGGCTGTTTCGAGGATCCCCACAAAGCTCTGATCTCCTGGTGAAGATTCCATTCCTTGGATTGGAGGGAACCCTGCCAAAGATGACACAGTGACTGATTAGAAGGCAAAAGCTACTGCTAAATGTACCAGAGGTTGCTGAATTAAAATTCCCATCATCCTGGGCCACTGGGCATGCTTGCTGGGGTTGATGGGAGATGTAGTTCAGCAACATCTGGAGGGTCAAAAGCTCCCTACACCTTCTCAGTCTCATAGCTTGCCTATTTATCCAACACATCCATAGCCTGAGAATAATAATAATAATAATAATAATAATAATAAATTTTATTTATATCCCGCCTTCCCCAGCAGAAGCCGGGCTCAGGGCGGCTAACAACAATAAAACAGTACAAAAGTACAGCACAAACAACACTCTAAAATCATTCATTATAAAATTAATTGGATCTATGGCACCCAGAAGTGTGTGTGTAAGCAAAGGATTTGGTACTGAGTGAAGAAGTCAGCTTCTTTGGGATCTGAGACCAGTTCTTTAAAAATTAAACACATTTCCAGCCCATGGCTGTAAAGATACAGTTTGAAACTGAAGGCAATGTCTACTTTGCCTTTGAAGACAGGAGGAAACAAGATTTCAAGTGGCCAAAGATTTCACAGCCCCACTGTTCCTTGCTCCCTTTCTACAAGTAACAGAAATGCAAGCACATTTGTTCGAGCAAATGTGTAGTAAAGAAATCACAAGTTTGCAGTTATTCTACAGGAGTCAATGTGGAGGAAACGGCCACGATTAGCACACTGTATTTATAACTTCTTTCCAACTACCTCTCAAAGCAGCCTATGCAAAATCCAGCAATGAAATATTAAAGATAACTGGGCATGTTGACAATGGTCCCTTCAATGTACATCAGGCTTCCTCAACCTCAACCCTCCAGATGTTTTGAGACTACATCATCCCATCAACCCTGACCACTGGTGCTGCTAGCTAGGGATCATGGGAGTTGTAAGCCAAAAACATCTGAAGGGCTGAGGTTGAGGAAGCCTGATGTACATGGTCAGGCTGAGTTTTTTTGCTGGATACCCCCTTTCCCTTCTTTACGGAGTTTCAGCTTTCAGCAAAGCAAACACAATGCTAAAAACCCTGACCCTAATTGGGATAATGTGAAATAGGTGCCACTCACTTCAGTGCTTTCCTTCCAAATAATTTTGCCTAGGGCTGCCACCTTCATCTGCAATCTTATCGATTGCCAGCTGAGCCCTTTGTCTCATTCTGGAGGGCACAAACTTTGCAGTTAGAAGCATAGGGAGGAATTCAACACAGCACTAAGCAGATAGCTCCATCAGCGCAAGCATTTCTTGCTTGTCTGATGGAATGATCTGACCTCTTCTCTTTCTACATGCTGTTTTGGGGGTTTTCCCAACTCCCCAGAGCCAACTTGGGGGGATGCAGGGAGTGCATGAGTTGGGGTGGGAGCCCTCTTGTGCTAGAATATGTTTTGATGTGGGCATCTATTGGTGGGGCTTCTTATAATGCCCAAGATCTCCCTGTGTGATGGAAGCTTAAGCTGGAAATCAAGAAGAAAACTCAGAAGAGCCATCTATTTAGATCAGGCATAGCCAAACTTGGCCCTCCAGCTGTTTTGGGACTACAGTTCCCATAATCCCTGACCACTGGTCCTGTTAGCTAGGGATGATGGGAGTTGTAGTCCCAAAACATCTGGAGGGCCATGTTTGGCCACGTCTGATTTAGATAGAGTTACTTTGGAGTTACTTTGGGACGTGGGTGGCGCTGTGGGTTAAACCACAGAGCCTAGGACTTGCCGATCGGAAGGTCAGCGGTTTGAATCCCCACGACGGGGTGAGCTCCCGTTGCTCGGTCCCTGCTCCTGCCAACCTAGCAGTTTGAAAGCACGTCAAAGTGCAAGTAGATAAATAGGTACCGCTCTGGCGGGAAGGTAAACGGCGTTTCCGTGCGCTGCTCTGGTTCGCCAGAAGCGGCTTAGTCATGCTGGCCACATGACCCAGAAGATATACGCGGCTCCCTCGACCAATAAAGCGAGATGAGCGCCGCAACCCCAGAGTCGGTCACGACTGGACCTAATGGTCAGGGGTTCCTTTACCTTTTCTTTACTTTGGGGTAACCTAACATGATGTTGCCACAAGAGGGCAGCATTTGCCAGATGCATCCTTGCCTCCCCAACTTCCGATAACAAGATTGCAAGTTACATACCTGGGGGAACAGGGAGGTCACCAAACTCAACAGGTTTTCCTGCCTTGTGAGCTCTGATGGCCTCTTGATATTGCTGAAGAGGGAAACAAAAACAGAAGCTGAAATCCCTAATTTGGGAGCATGGTCTTTCTAGAAAAAGGGTGAGTAACGCTACTTTTCTTGGGATAGTTGCAGCAAAAAACAAGGTATGAGAGTATGCATATTTGCTTACTTATTATCAGGAACATTGTTAATAAAGCAATTGTTCTGCCTGTACACTCATTAAACATCTGTGCTTTAAATGGCAGTAGCTTGGGTGGGTCTCATCCTAGAATCACCCAAATCCTTAGCTCATACCAGCTTGCTGCTTCTGGAGTTGTGAGTAGAATCAGTTCATCTTTTGGTATCTCTTGCCCTGCATTTGAATTTCTATTTTTTAACTTTGCTCATTCTGAACTGTTCTTTCAGTGCCACTTGGGTTTTAACACTTTTATCTCCAAGTCCTACAGATTTTACAAGTGTTGCTCATTTTTAAGCAAAGCACAGACCGCATTGTTGAGCTGCTGTTTGTTTTTAATCTACCAGTGAAATTAACAGAGGGCTTATAGTCAATCAGGAATTGTGTTCTTGAGCTAAATTAGATAGCAGCACAAGGAGAACTTCAGAGCAAGTGAAAACTAGCTTTGGCTCTAGTCTGGCCTGCTTTAATCAATCAATCAAATTATTTATATACTGCCTTCTCATAAATATCAGGGCTGTGTACAACACCACTTATACAATAAAATATAGAAAACCATTTAAAAACAGAACAAATTAATTGTTAAAATGACTGGATGTTAAGGGGTTTTAAACCTTTTGCTGCAATAATACCAAGATGACATTAGCACACCCCTTCTGCCTCATCCTGCTCGCTGAGGATGGGCAAGCAGACTCCCCAATTTATAGTGAACTAAAAGCAGAATGGGTGGGAAGAAAATGTTGAGACCTACGACTGCTGTGGGGGGTGATCCTTGAGGACTTCTCAGGGCCAGTAATTTCCCCAAAGAGTTACACAAGTGGTATGTGTGATACAAACGCTCGTTACTGATCACAATTCCCGAATATCAAAATAAACAGAACCAACATTTTAATTCAGTTTCTACACCCGGAAACTGATTTTCTGCAAAAATCATCACGATTCTGTATCTGTTCATTAGGCGGCAAGAGGAAAATACTTATTAGCATATTCCAGCCACCATGAGCCCAGTTATGTTGCAGCAGGAAGCAAATTGCTTTTTCTCTATCTGCTCCTCACCAGTATGACCACAAGATCTGTGCTACGTAACATTTGAGCAGGAAAGCTAGCGAGCAAAAGCGTAAAGAAAGCAGGTCCCTCACCTTCACAATTCGCTCGTGCATCCTAGCCTTCCTGTCATCTCCTTTGCTCTTTGCCTGGGCTGCTGCTGTCTTGTATCTGTCCATCCTCTGCTGCAGTGCCTCCATAATATCTCGAGGAGGCGGGGGCACATCTGGAAACAAAGCAGGCAATTCTATGTCAGTCCATTCTTGCATGCATGAAGGTGAGACTAGGAAGGGGTGGGTGGGTGGCTTATCTAAAACAAGGTTAGTGCCTTGAAAGTTTACCCTATCCCTTCAGCATCGTAGGCAGATGCATGGACAAATGTTGCTTGAGGAAGGAAACTGCAGAATATCCCAAGCAGTTGACGTCAGTGCCTGATTAGCTAAATTTATATGCCTGGGAGTTTAGGATACGAACTACTGCTTCTCATTCTGAATGGGTGGAAAGATGAATGGTTTCCCCTCTTATTTATGACATTGTTTTGAAGATCAAACAAAAATGACAATATGCCATACTCCAAACTGATCTTGCCTTCTTTAGAACCAAAGCTCTCAAACTGGTCTCAGAAGGTCCGCTGAAATGCTGCACAATAGCCCATAATATCTGTACCTGGCCCTGCATCTGACTGATTTTTTCCCCCTGCGAGGGACCTGGGCTTTATTTTTACCAAGACCAAATATATCAACCAGAATGACAAGCCACTGGCTTTTCAAAATACAACACTCTAATTTTCCCCTAAAATTTAACCAGTCAAAGAAGTTCTCCACAGTGGCCTGACTAAAAGCCTATGATTTTCCATTATACGGCACTGTTTTTAATTATGATGCTGGCACTATTTTTCTTTATCATAAAACCAGAAGCATAACCATCATCTTAGAAAAGTTAGCTTATGGCTGTTAAAATATGAGTTGTAGTTTTTTGTTCACTTGTGGAACTAAAATACTTTATTAGGTGGTCTTGTGAGGCCCTAAGCAATTTTCTAAAGGTCAGGGGAGGGGGAAGGAGATTGAAAACCACTACACTAGACATAAAGCACTATGTTCACTTAAAACTTCTATGTTGGGTCAAGATCAAAAGTCTCCTGGATCCTTTATTAGACTTGTAAGAGCACATCAATCATCTTCAGTCTGTCAAAAATATGCTTAAGACTGAACAGTTTCCACACATGACATATTTGTTAAAAAGATGACCTTGAGGAAAACTATTCTTTGAATTTGGGGGGGTCAATGATACAAGGCAGGTTTTTGTTTTTTTTGCAGTTTTCTATTTTTCTGCCAAAAAAAATCCTTTCAGAAGTTCATCAGCAACAGTGAGCAGATGCCAGCTGCAAATAAATACTAGACAAACTTGTCAGTTTCAATTTTAAAGCTTTATTAAATACAAGTAATATAAACACGCTAAATCAGATCAGGAAAAATACCCAAATTCATCATGCAAAGTCCTATACAATTCTAGGGAATCAGATCTATTAACTCAGCAGAACTAGGCAAGTGACGTAAGAGGCCAGGCCTACTACAGGGTGAAGGCTGCACCCCAAGAGAACTTTTCCCACCTGCAGAAAAACTAGCAAGCAAAGCCCCAAAGAAAAAAGATGCAGAACGCCTATACTACAAGAAGCTGAGCTGCAGGCTCTGCACAGTGAAGCAATATTCTCAGGACAACTAGAAGCAAGAAAGCCGTACTGGGTTCTTACCTCCTGCACTTGAGACTCCCGGTGCCAGTGGGGTTGCAGCCTGTGCAAGAGGTGTTGTTGCTGTAGCTACAGGGGATTGTGGAACACTTGGGGACAACATCTCCTTGGGCAGCTGATCTGTGGAAGAAAAATAGCTAGCAGTTGCATGACAATAAGCCGATTCACAATAGGCTGGCAGCGCCCTTCCCTACTGAAACCAGCAGTCAATGAGTCTTTCAGCAGGGGCTCTTCAATATAACACTTCTAAGTTGCATTCTACCACCACCCTGCCCCAAACACCCATGGAGTGCTGAGCTATTAAGACCAAATGTTCGCAATGCCCCTGCTCCAATGCACTTTGCCCTGAGGGTTCAGAGCAGAAGAGAAACACACCCTGGCCCCTGCCGTCAGCCAGGAGACCAAGAGCTGTTGAGTAGCAAGGGGTTGTGGTTTGTGTACAAGTAGTGTGAGTATTACTGCAAACGATTGCAAGCCGCCTTGGGGATCATTCAATCCAAAGGCAGGATAGGCCTGAGCTGTGAGCGAATCTCAGGGATTTTGTCTCCCTTTCTCAGGCTACAAGAAAGGGCAAGTCTCAGCACTGAGCAGTCACCATACAAAGACTTTCCTGTTTGTCTGAATGCCCCACCCCAGAAACAGAAAGGTAACAAGATTAAGACGCAGACCAAATATTTAGAACAAGTGGAATTCATCTTGTTCCTGATAGTTAAGACCAAGGATAAACACTCTCCTAGCCAAAAACATGTAATGATCTGGGATGTAACTTTGCACCAACGTAAGCAAAGATGAGATTCCATCCTTTTTAAACAGTCTCAAGCTCCCTTCATATGACCATGCCCTGGCCATTCTGGAGGACAACCAACATGCCTTAGTTCTTCGTGTTAGCTTTGTGAGTAGACTAGTATAAATAAAGCACTTACAACGTATTCCTATGCATGTCTATTAAGAAACAAGTCCTACTAAATTCACTGAGACACTCCTAGGTAATGTACACAAAGCTTCAGCCTGAGAGGAGCCTTGGAAGAATTTGGCTTCCTGAAGACTGTGAAGCCAGTACTGGCTGCATCAGCTTTCCCTTTGCACCTGAGAGTGTTAGAAACCTTGAATGGGGGCTCAACTGGGGTGGCCGCTGCCATTGCCATCTTACCACCTTGCCACCTTTTCATGTTTGATGTTTGATTATGTTTTACATGTACTGTAAGCAGCTCAGAGTGGTTGGGGAAATCCAGCCAGATGGGAAGGGCATACAGTCATACCTCAGGTTACTTCAGTGTTTCGGCAGTCACGCATGCACAGAAGCGCTGAATTGCGCTTTGCGCATGCACAGAAGCGCCAAATCGCAACCCGCACGTGCGCAGACGTGGGTTGCGAACGCTGTGGGTTGAGAACGTGCATCCCGCATGGATCACATTCGCAACCCGAGCGTCCACTGTAAATAAAATGATTATTATTACTACCAGAAGTCTTGTTAAGTTACCTGAATCAGGAGTGACTGCCCCACAAGGATTATTCTAGAATTTTTGTAATGGCATGTGTTTCAGGTTGGGAAGACAGGAAACATCTGATTCAAGAGTTTCAACTCATAAAATATAACTGGGATTACTTTTTGGATTAGCTAGCTATTTCATATTATGGAATTAATCAATGCACTTCTACCTGCTCTTTACTAGAAGTAGAACTGGTGTGCCATATCTCTACAAGGAAGTCTGGTAGCAAATGATATGGAGAGAACCAAAGCTCATGCGCAGGGGACACAACTTGGAACACCCAACTATTCTTACCTGGAGGTGGAGGCAGATGACTGAGATCCACCGCCTCTCCTTTACCCACAGATGCTAAAAGAGGGTCAAGGCTCTGAAAAACATTACCATAAACGTTACTTGTATAAATTCCCTATACAGGATTGCTTTCAGACGGCTCTGGGGTCGGATAACTCCACACCCTCCAACATTTCTCCAATGAAAACAGGGACATCCCAAGGAAAAGCCAGGCATTCTGGGATCAAATCAGAAATCGGGACAGCTTCTCTAAATCAGGGATGGCCCTGGAAAATAGGGACACTTGCGAGGGTCTGCAGAAAGAGATAGCAACTTTGGCGACGATCGTTCTCCCCACGGACCACTGTTTTTCCTGACCTCTTGCAAAAAGGACCTCTGTCTTGCTGTAGAAGTGCACGTACCTTGGCTATGCGGTAGTACTTTGTAGCCATTTCAATGCTGCCTTCCTGTTTAGCCCGCAGAGCAGCCAGCTTGTATTCCCGCTGTCTGGCTTGCAGAAGCACCTGGGTACTGGAGCTTTTGGAATCTGAGGAGGAGCAGATTTTGCAAAGCATTTTAAGTGTGTTCTGTAGTCAAATCAAATCAAATATCCTTTATTAGGCATAGCAAACCACACATTGTGTTCTGTAGTCAAAAAGACTCCCGGAGCAGCTAACAGAGATCACTACTAGCAAGACAGAGATGTAGAACATGCTGTTGCACATCCCTGTCAAAGCAATATGAAAGACTGGGATCCAGAGAACAACGTGGGCTGTGTGTCCCTGTGAGGGTTTTTTTCAGTCCCCCACCCCACACGACATTACACAAACTGCTCTTGAGGTTCCCATCAGTTTCAAAAGCAACTTGCCATGAGGATCAGCCGTTAGAGAAACGCAAGGCAAAATGTAAGTGATGTGAGTGCATGCAGCAAACTGAAGGACTCTTTGCATCCTCGCCATTATGTTTGGGGCACAGGTTGTCTAAATAGGGTTTTAATTAATGTATCTCTAAGTAAAATTTCTGTCCTGACCTTGTCACGGGGTTGGTTACAGCATCAAATGACATAAAGAAGAGATACAGTCATTAACCATGATGTATTAGCGTGGGGTTTTCTTTTCATTCATGTCACTCCCCCCCCAACCCAATCCAAAGTGACTGGAAGTGGTGACACCACTTTTTAAAGTGTTGAAACTAAATTGTACCAGCCAAAACACAGCTAACTAGAGCAAGAAAAATAAAAAGGATAGCTCCTATTCATTGGGGCAGGGCAAAGAAAGAACCAAAGTTACATGATATTTGTATATTTTTAAAGAAAATAACTTTTTCCATTTTCTCTAGTACTTCAGTTGGTTTTGATTCAGTTTGTGATTTCTTGTTAGAAATCAGAAAGCCCATTCCTATTGAGTTCTCTGACATCAAAGGTGGGTTGAAAGACTTAATGTGATTTGAAATAATGTGATATGATTGGCCTGTTAATAAAAATTATGTTTTAAAAAAAAAGAAAGACAGACAGTAGAGTGTCCAAACCCATCCAATGAGCACCGTAAGAATTTGAACCTGGGGTTCTTGTTTAGGTCCTGTTTGTGACACCTACTTGACTACCAGGCTAAAAACAGTTCTGAAAAACAAGTCAAGGCTAAACATGGCTTTAACCCAGAGGTGGGGACCCCCTAGCCCTCCAGATGTTGGGAGTCCAACAAACACCTGGAAGGCACCCCATCATTTTGCCCGGATACTGAGGTCCAGTGCTGAGGGCCTTCTGGCAGTTCCCTCGCTGCGAGAAGCCAACTTACAGGGAACCAGGCAGAGGGCCTTCTTGGTAGTGGCACCCGCCCTGTGGAATGCCCTCCCTCCAGATGTCAAAGAGAAAAAATACTTCCAGACTTTTAGAAGACATCTGAAGGCAGCCCTGTTTAGGGAAGCTTTTAATGTTTAACGACTATTGTATTTTAATATTTTGTTGGAAGCCGCCCACAGTGGCTGGGGAAAGCCAGCCAGATGGGCGGGGTATAAACAATAAATTTATGATGATGATGATGATGATGATGATGATGATGCAACCCCTCCTTTAACCCATGGTGAAATATGTTTGCAATAATTAATAATAATAATAATAATAATAATAATAATAATTTATACCCCACCCATCTGGCTGGGTTTCCACAGCTACCCCAATCACCCATCAAACATCTCTCAAACATCTTGGTCTTTTTTATGCTGCATATTTGCATTTAGTACTAACCCAAAGAAGGGGAAGGTGCCACAGTGGCAGATTTTTCTTGTGGAGCCTCTGGGGATCTAAGTGACACAGGAGGAGGTGGAGAAATCTTTGGTTTTGGAAGTACTGGTGGTGGCAGCTTGGGGGATAGTTCAGGTAGAGGCAGTACTCGAGAAGGTGGTTGCTCAGGAGCTGCAGGAGATGACTCTGGAGGAAGGTGATTGGCGACAATTGTAGTTTCATCCAAGGCGGAGGAGACCTGTGAGGCTGGAGCTGTCTCCAAAGGAGAGCCCTGCTGCTGGGAATTTGTGACCTTTCCTGTAGACACTGGTGGAGGAATTTCATCTTCGTCAATCTTTTTGCCCTTCTTCACAGAGGTCAACAAGTTTTCCAGAGTCTGAGGGAAGAATGTATATATTGTAACATGCACGTTTCAGAAACTTAAAACACAAGCTGAGAATGCCTCCAGAGGGCTTTCCCAACCCAGAAACCCATGTATTTCACGCATACCAAAATATTATTTCCCCACATCGCTCTGAAGCCTCCATCTGTCTCTTTATAGAAATTTAAAAGAAACTCCCACTGGATTCCTTTAAGTCTTCACATCCATCAAACTGTTGCTCCTACCTTCAAGACTTCAAACTCTTGCTCAAACCTTTCCATTTTTTTTGCATCCTTGCTCATCTAATCAGACACAAGATCTCCTCATGTTTGGTACTGCTGCCTCCTATGTCTGCCAAGGCTGTAACTCTTTCCTTACACCCTAATGGTAAGGGCCAGTGCAGATGTAATGGCTTACTGTAGCTTAGAGAGCAAGAGCGGCCCTGGGATTGCTTTCATCTCTCCCCTCTCACATGCTAGCGTGAACCAGCAACAAGGTGCAGAGCTCTTTAATCCTCTCCATTGATGGGAGAGAGCCTGCTTCTCACCACCAACTAGAAGCTGGTAGCAAGGTGCGTATTTACTCAAGTCTAATGCTCCATGAGACGCAGGTGGCGCTGTGGTCTAAACCGCAGAGCCTAGGGCTTGCCGATCAGAAGGTTGGTGGTTCAAATCCCCGTGACGGGGTGAGCTCCCGTTGTTCGGTCCCAGCTCCTGCCCACCTAGCAGTTCGAAAGCACGCCAAAGTGCAAGTAGGAAGGTGGGAAGGTAAACGGTGTTTCCGTGCGCTGCTCTGGTTCGCCAGAAGCGGCTTAGTCATGCTGGCCACATGACCCGGAAGCTGTCTGCGTACAAACGCTGGCTCCCTCGGCCTATAGAGCGAGATGAGCACGCAACCCCAGAGTCGTTCGCAACTGGACCTAACAGTCAGGGGTACCTTTACTGCTCCATTGAATCTGATGTGCACCCATTTTTTTGCAGCATCATTTGGCAAAAACAGTGCGCATTAGACTTGAGTAAATACGGTATTTAAAAATTCAATTTCTGATAGTTTTTCCATACAAAACCTAGAAGATCTGATTGCCAAATTTCAAAATTATATTTCGGTGAATATCTGGTGGCTTACCTTGATCCCCCTTTCGTAGCGACGCACTTTGGAGCTTTCGTTGGCTTGCTTTGCGTTAGCAGCTGCAGCTTTGTACATGGCTAGTCTTTCTAGCAAAATGGATTCCGTGCTGCTGGAATCGGCAGGGGTATTATTTGTCTGGGAAAGCACGAAACAGACCATTTTTTCCCAGGGAAAAAACAAATCCAATCCCCACATTTGTCGACTGCTGATCTGTGCAAGACATTGCACATCTGACGCCATGCCCCCCGCCCCAACAGTTCCAGACGCTGGGCAAGGAAGTAAGTGGCCTTGTCCCTCCACTCCCCTGCAGAAACACCCACCTGTCTGTGCACTATAATGCAGCTGGAGCAAGATCATTTTATAGAAGGAAAAAGAGAGCATACTCTCAGTATGAAAAACAGAAGTCATTGCCTCATTGTCAAAGCTGCACTCTCTTGCTATCATCCTAAGCCTTAATTATTATTATGGACCTACTATATGAGGCTGTTTTAAGGATTTGGACTCCCTAAAGCTCTCTCTGTTAGCTATTAGTTAACAGTTATTATTTAATAAATCATTAAATTATTATTATTAGCACCACTCTCTTCACTGGCCCCGTTTTGCACCCTAAGTGTCTACTTGAATTCCAATAACGCCTCTTGTTTGTCTGAATGGAAGAGAGGAATGTGAGAGTGTGCTTAGAAACCGAAAGTTACCATTTACCTTTGTTGCCATGCCCGCTTTTGCCTCTGTCCCTGCCCATCACTAGCATGTGGCCGTGGGAAGGTTGCCCAGAAGCAAATGCAGCCCTCCCTTTGGTTTAAAAAGGGGGCCCACCCCTGCTGCAGAGAAGTCCAAAACACTTCACACACATGCACACTATGTCATTAAGAGTTACAGCAACTGCCCTGTGGTCTAGAACACTGTTGCTCTTCCCCTATTACAGCTGGAGGCTGAAGAGTCTATCCTGTGGTCCTTCAACTGCTGTTGGGACTCCCAACTCCCATCAGCCTCAGTCATCATGGCAAATGGTCAGGAAATAGAGGAATTGTGCCCACCCCCCACAGAAGGAAGAAGCCACCGCCAAAGAAGATAAAGAAGATTGGCAAAATAAATTAGTGAACTATGCAGGACAAATTAGGTACCGTATTTTTCGCTCGATAACACGCACCTGACCATAACACGCACATAGTTTTTAGAGGAGGAAAACAAGAAAAAAAAATTCTGAATGAAACAGTGGATGTATCATTTTTGTGCTTCATGCTGTGGCCACAGACATGTGATTTGACGGTGAGTTTGGGGTAGCCCAATGCAAAGATCCTGAGAATCCATGTGGATCTGTGCTTTGTAACCACGTTTTTGCACCATTTCAGCCCCAGGCAACAGTGGGTGCGTGATTTTTTTGGTGCAGGCTGTAGCCATGGACATGCTATGTGATCAGATGGTGAATTTGGGGTGACCCAATGCAAAGATCCTGAGGATCCATGTGGATCTGTGCTTTGTAACCATGTTTTTGCACCATTGCAGCCCTGTTTTTGCATCAGATCATTGCTATGTGATCTGATGGTGAATTTGGGGTGACCCAATGCAAAGATCCTGAGGATCCATGTGGATCCGTGCTTTGTAACCACGTTTTTGCACCATTGCAGCCCTGTTTTTGCATCAGATCATTGCTATGTGATCTGATGGTGAATTTGGGGTGACCCAATGCAAAGATCCTGAGGATCCATGTGGATCCGTGCTTTGTAACCACGTTTTTGCACCATTGCAGCCCTGTTTTTGCATCAGATCATTGCTATGTGATCTGATGGTGAATTTGGGGTGACCCAATGCAAAGATCCTGAGGATCCATGTGGATCCGTGCTTTGTAACCACGTTTTAAGTGGGGAGGGAAGGAAAAACATAGAAGGGACAAGGAGCACCGAGAGGGGTGTGCGGAGAAGCAGCTGGCTAAGAATGCAGGAGAGGGGTTTTACCGGAGGGAGGAAAGGAAGGCAAAAGTTCCCCCCACGCACCCACCCAAGCCAGCCAGCTCTCTCTCTCCCCCTACCTGCATGTTGCAGCACCGGAGCACGGAGAGGAATTAGAAGGAAGGACGCTCTGCTTTCCCCTCTGCTTGCCTGGAGGGGAGGGGTTTTCTCTGCTCTTTGTTCCGTTTGAGCAAACACAGTAACAAACAGAAGCGGGTGGGCAGTAAGACCCTGAGGCAGAATGCAGGAAAGCAGCAGCTTCCTCTTTTCAAGGCTCCCTTCTCCGGACGATTGATATTTGTCTGATTTTTGCCTTCACTCGCGCCTGTCGGCTCCAGGGACCACACATTCGCTCAATAACACGCGCAGACATTTCCCCTTACTTTTTAGGAGAAAAAATCTGCGTGTTATAGAGGGAAAAATATGGTAATTTGAAACCCAAGAAAGAAAGGACTTTGATTTTAAAAAAGGGAAATGTTTAATGCAATTTTTAAAAGTTTTGTGTACAGATTTCTACATGAATTGAACTTTTAAAAGTCACTTGTAATAAGATGAATAAGGGTTTAAAATTGGACTGTCAGGAATATAAGGCTTTATGGATGTGCATGAATAAAAAGAAAACAATGGAACCGAGAGGGGGAGTGGAGGGAAATCAAAGGTATGGTGATGTTGTGGTTTGTATATACAGATGACCTAAAAATTATGGTTTGATTTTTGTGTGTGGTTATTATAAAATTAATAAATTGCATTAAAAAATGAAATATAGGAGTTGCAGTCCATTAACTTCTGGGGGGCCACAGGTTAGCTCCCTCCCCCCACTCCCTTAGTGTGAAGACCAACCAGCAGGTTCATGACTAAAGCAACATTTGAACAGGAGACTCTCCAGATTACAGCTCTTCCCCTTAGCTACTACACACGTTCTTAGCAATCTTGAAAGAGTTTTTTTGTTTTATGAGATACATGAGAGCTGTAAGTCCTACTTACTGCTCCCTTGTATTTACAAGCAAGACTGCAAAATTGGCTACTAGCCTGTGGGTTATCAACTAGTGCTAACAAGTCCAAGGAAAAGAACGAAATTCTTCAACATCAGTTTCATCTGCAATTTAAAAAGTGCCCAACAAGAAGAAAAGAGGAAGAAACCCAAGCTGGAAGGGAGGTTCGCACCTTAACAGGAGCAGGAGAAAGTGTTGGAGCATCCTTGGTTTCAGCATCTTCCTCAAGGACTTCATTGAGTTCAGCCTACACAGAAGAGAACAATATTGCGAATACATTCAAATTTTGTAGTCTTCAAGGAAAGACTGACAAAATCTGAAGCAAGGCTTTATCTGCCCCCATCTTTCCCTTTCCATTCACCCTGAACTGTACCATCCAGAGCCATCTTTCTCATAGGGCTTAGTGGAGAGTCGCGCCAGGGCGCCGGCCTCTCAGCGGCGCCCGAGTGAGTGGGGGAGCTGCACGGCTTTGCTGGCGGCCTCCCCTTTTCCTGCACGCCCGCCAGCTGCGCCCCGCCAACCATAAGGCTGGGGGGTGTGCAGCTTCCCTCCCAAGCCTCTGCAGGGATCACTCTCCTCTCAAGGCGGCTTGGGAGGGAAGCTGTGCTCTCCTCCTACAGAGGCTTGGGAGGGGTGCAACTTCCCTCCCAGGCCTCTGCGGGGATCGCTCTCCCACAGCAGCGGGGGAAGAGTTGCACCCCCCCATGACTGGCAGTGTGCAGCTACAGCCACCCCAACACTATCCGTGGTAATTTGGGGGCGCTAGGCGGATATTTGCACCCCGGCACCGCATCTGCTAAAGACGGCCCTGGTACCATCCCTAGTTCCTCTCCCACACATCTTTCCCAGAACATCCAATCAACTTCCGATCCATAATACCAACTGAAACTGTCTTTCCTGCACCCACAAACCACTTTTGTCTCCTCTTTCATTAATGCTTATATGCTTTCTATTATTCTCCTCCACGTGCCCAGAACAACCTCCTGTTCTCTATTTAGCAGGCTTTCCCCTTCTTCTCAGAGGATCCGTCTTAGCCTGCCCCTGCCTCGCCACTTTGGCAATTCCCTTCTCTATCCACATAATGCCACTGTCAGTCTCCAACCACCACCTCCCCACAGTATCCTCCAAGGAAATTTTTACCAAGAGTTCGTCGTCATCTTCCAAATCTTCCTCTTCTACCCCATCCTCTTCGTCGAGGTCCTTCATGCAGAAAGCGGCCATTCTTTCAATAGCTTCCATTGGCAAAGGAGCTAGAGAGAAAAAGCAAACAACGGGCCGTTATCACATGTCACAAAATCAACTCAAGATTGGTCAAAAAAGGGATTTCAGAACAGGTTTTGAAACAACTGCAAATGTTTAGAGGAGGAAAACAATAATTATGGCGGAAATGACTGGCAGAATCCGAGACCAGGGAGAAGAGTCAGTGGAAGAAGATTGGAAGAAATTTAAAGACTATTTACAGAAATATTCTAAAATTAATGAATGTTAGAATGATGTCAGAATGAAGTTAAGTGGTTCTAGCAGCAATGTCATAAAGGTGTGTGTAAAAATGGATGGTTAATAGGTGAGAATCTAAAGTTATAATATACTAAGTTAAAGGACTAAGACATAAACAAAGAGAGAAAGGAATTGCTGAATTAACCAATTGAACTGGAATACAAAAAAGGGAGGTGAGAGGAGGTCAGGGAAGCAAGGAAACGAAGGATTAATTTGTTTTTAAGTGTTTTTTATTTTTTTTATTTTTTATCTGTACTTTGTATTTTGTATGTTTTTTCTCTTTTTTAATACATATTTTCCCTTGTTTCTTTTCTTTTTAACTATGTAATTTTTTGTTTCTGAAATTTTAATAAATATTTTTTTTTAAAAAAAGGAAAACAATAATTAAATAAACAACAACAGAGCCATCAGAAGACCATGGAAAAGGAGTACTCAGAGGGAAAGATTCTAGTTCTTTGAAACTTGCAAGTCTTCAATAGATTCTTTCATCAAGCACTTGGGAATAGTTGGACGTGTCTACTGGCTTTGCTTCAAAATGGTAAAGGAGGCATTTGGCAAGGCCATTAGTAGAGTGTGAATGGGGGGGTGGGTAAGAAGGGGTGCCCTCACTTGCACTGAGGCCCCAAGATGCATGACTGGGGTCCATGCTGATGTGGGGAGAGGTCAAAGGTGGTGGCGACCAAGCTTAAGGTGAACTGTGGCATCGCCATTAAAGTGCAGGTGGCCAACTGTTCTTGACAGTTACCCCAAGAAAGTAGTACAAAGTTCCTAGTAAAGGTAAAGGGACCCCTGACCATTAGGTCCAGTAGTGGCCGACTCTGGGGTTGCGGTGCTCATCTCGCTTTATTGGCCGAGGGAGCCGGCGTACAGCTTCCGGGTCATGTGGCCAGTATGACTAAGCCACTTCTGGCGAACCAGAGCAGCGCACGGAAACGCCGTTTACCTTCCCGCCGGAGCGGTACCTATTTATCTACTTGCACTTTGATGTGCTTTCGAACTGCTAGGTTGGCAGGAGCAGGGACCGAACAATGGGAGCTCACCCCATTGCAGGCATTCGAACCACCGACCTGATCGGCAAGTCCTAGGCTCTGTAGTTTAACCCACAGCGCCACCCGTGTCCCTAGTACTGCAGCCCAAAACAATCACTGCTCAGCAGCATAAAGGTGGGGGCTGAGTGGGAAATTTGTGCAGCCTGAAGAGCCGTCTATAATATCCAATGGGAGGGATGGGAAATTCAGGATATTTCAAGAGTTCAAAGAAAGCACAGAGATAAAGAGGAAGGGAAGGACATGTTATAGGCAGCTTCCCCCTTTACTGCAGAGTTGGGTGACAGATTGTGTCTTGGGCTCAAGATGCACCCCATACACACAGTCACACACTCCATAGCGCTCAAGTCACTTTCTTAAGCAACAGGCAACACTACAAGGGCCTGGCAACCACTTACTTTTTCCATTTGGTTTCCGTTTTGGATCTGGCTGGCCTCCAACAATGGCCAGGAATTCAGCCTCCAGTTCGTGATCATCCTCCCCATCACTGGCCATCAAACCTTCGGGTGAAAAATCCAACAGCAAACCCATCTACAGGAAATGAGGTACAACTTTGTCATGAAGAGTGCTGTAGACTTACTTTGTGATGTTCATGCTTTAAAGATAGTATTTGCTGATACTGATCTTAGAGGGCCTTCTCGGTAGTGGCGCCCACCTTGTGGAACGCCCTTCCATCAGATGTCAAGGAAATAAACAACTATCTGACTTTCAGAAGACATCTGAAAGCAGCTCTGTTAAGGGAAGTTTTTAATGTTTGATCTTTTATTGTGTTTTTAATATTCTGTTGGGAGCTGCCCAGAGTGGCTGGGGATGAATAAATTGTTGTTGTAGTTGTTGTAGTAGTAAACTAATGACTGTATTAGCAGACACACTGCTTGTGTGCATGTTTAAGTACCAGCATTAGCCTCCATCCAAGCTGGGGAAGACAATTTTCCTCAGCATTTTTCTTTTGTTTTTTGGATTGTCTTTTAAAACTGATTACAGTGGTATCTCAGTTTACAAACTTAATCCGTTCCAGAAGTCCGTTCTTAAACCAAAACCATTCTTAAACCAAGGCACGCTTTCCTTAATGAGGCCTCCCGCCACCGGTGTCCTTCCACCATTCAGATTCCGTTCTTAGACCGAGGTAAAGTTCACAAACCGGGACACTACTTCCGGTTTTGCGGAGTTTCTAAACCAAATCGTTCTTAAACTGGACTGTTCTTAAACAGAGGTACCACTGTATATGTAAGCTACTCCGGGAACCTTTTCAGCTGAAGCATTGGGCAGAGGTACGTATGTACTGTATATAGCTTGTGTGTTTTTGATTTTGGTGACTGTTCCTTTGATTTTAAAAAAACAAACAAACAAAAAACCACAAATATTCATTATGTTCTAATTCTTTCCTTTTCTTATGAAATATCAATGATAGCCACAACAGGATATGACCCTGTGCAGCATTTTTCAAACTTCATACCATGTGGGAACTCTCACAACATTGATTTGCCCATTGATTGGTTTGCCAAGAAACCCCTGAGCACCAGCCACAGATTCCTTGCATCTTGCAGCGCTTTCTGGGGCACAGTCTTCATTCACATTCATGTTGTGCCTCATCACTGCCCAGGCATTCCCTGGAGCATTCCCAACAGGGTATGCCTCCTTTATCCCCCGCACCCCCCAGGTGTACATACACACTTTAGGTTTTTTTAAAAAATATAATTTTTATTAAATTTTCTGTTTTACAATTTCAAATAAACATTTTACCTACTTAAGATATCAGTGACTTCCCTTCTTCTCTTTCCATGGTTAATTTTACATATCTTATATCCCCGCATATTTTACAAAAACTATACCAATCTGTTTTCCATTATTGCATCCATCAAAACTTATTTACACTGTTGAATTTATCTTAATGCTGACAGCGTTTTCAGCTGTACACTGAATTATTTTCCATATATTCAATAAATGTTTTCCGATCTTCTTTAAACGTATTTTCTTCCTGTTCTCTTATTCTATATGTTATGCCTCCTTTATCTGTGAGTTACAGAGAAGACTAATAATGGTAGACAAACTGCCTTTCTGGTAAGATATTGCCAGCGTGTATAACCCTGCAGCAGGGTATAGAATGGCAATAGATGGAACGTGAGATGAAGTCTTGCCCCAATGGAACTTAGAGTTTCATTTCTCTGTAACAAGAGTAGTGTTCCTTCATAACCACAGAAGTAACCACACAAACCTGCCTGAATAATGTGCATGTTAGATCTAGAGATGCCAGAGAAATTATGTCAAGCTTGGATACAATATGGGGGTGTGTGGGTGCTTCTGAAGCTCACCTCAAAGAAGATAAGTGTTTTACAACCCCTTTAGCTTTTCTAAAAAAAACCAGATTCCTTTAACTACCTCTTGCAGCGTAGAACAGAGACTTCTGCCTTAAATATTATTAAGCAATAATAAGTGAGCCTATTGTATGGATACTTATTGCATAAAAAGTACTAGTTTTCAGGGGAACATAAATGACATTATGAGTCTACTGATAGAATTATATGTTGTTTTTACTATCAGAATTGATGCTACTCTACTGGCTACCATATTACTGGGGGCGTTTCTAACATTTAAATTGTCCTAATGTTGTACTTGATCTATTAACTGAATTTTCATAGCATCACAATTTTTACTTGTTGCACAGGAGCCTGATGCCCTAGGCAAGTGCTTGTTCCCTTCCACTAGGGCCTATTTGCTCAGCCCTTATTAATCCACCAGCTGAGGAAGCAGCCTTCAGAGGTTTCTCTATTTGCTAAGGAATGTTAAGCCACTGTCACAGCAAGACTATACTTAAATATAATTGCCCTACATTACGCTGCTTTGCTCTGCCTACTGGAATCTAAAAGGGTGGACTAAACTCAGAACACACCCAAGTCACACCCACATTAACATCTTGGAAAACATCTCCAGAACAAGGAAGCATTTTGCACAATAATTCCTCTTGCAAGCAGACTATGAACTAATTTGTTGCTCTGCCACACCTACTGCCACTTTACAAAGCAGTGAAGAAGGTTCATCCAACAGTCTTTCCCACTTCTCACTCTGCCCCCTAACCACAACACAGCTGGGTCACAACCGTGTCAACTTTTTATTGGTGCAGCATCTAATGATACTGTTACAATTAAAATAATAATAATAATAATAATAATAATAATAATAATAATTTATTATTTATACCCCGCCCATCTGGCTGGGCTTCCCCGGCCACTCTGGGCGGCTTCCAAAGGAATATTAAAATACTATAATACATCAAACATTAAAAGCTTCCCGAAACAGGGCTGCCTTCAGATGTCTTCTAAAAGCCTGGTAGATGCATTAAATGCATATTGTATCTTTAAACATGGTTTCAGTAAGCTGGAAACCCTAAAAAGCAGAAGCACTAGGGCCAAATTGTGCATTTGGCAACCCAGTATGTTAACATTTGTTAGAGACATTTATGCTTATGATAGAGTCATATACAATGCTTTTAAAAACATTATCAAACTTCTTTATTAGAGTCTACCCTTTTATTTTAAAAAGGTAAGTAAAGTTGTGTTTTTAACCCAGTTATATTGACTGTTAGCTTCACAGGTTGTACAACCTGAAAGGGTTATGTTATTTGAATATGCCTCTTTGGGGAGGGCCAGCCCCTCCCTGCATGCATGGAAAATAGTGAGGCTTAGGATAGGGTTAACCTGGTATGGGTAACTAGAAAAAGAAAGACTACAAAAGTCTTTCCGCAAACATAAGCATGAGGAGACATTTACTCAGGAGCATTTAGAATTATACTGCTACAAAACAAGATTTCCTGTGGCAGAAGGATTACACACTATGGGCATAAAACAAGAGTGGCTGGAGAGGACCTGTTGTGTCTACACATTGTTATTTCATAGTGCTCAAGATGTGAAAGTAGCATCTAACAGCCTAAAACAAAGTGATTTCAAGAAAGAGCACCTAAGACAGATCACACCACAGAAAAAGAGGATAGCAACCTACCTGTCTAGGTGTGGCAGCGCCTTTGCCTCCTGAAGGTGGCTTCCTGTTCCTGTTCATTTCTCTTTGTTCTGTTCTCAGTCAGTGCAAGACAGCATCAGGCCAGATGGAGCTGGATATTTTAATGGGATCAGTCAGAAGTTGTCCCTGTTTCCCTCATTCCAGTTATCCGCATTATCTCCCTCTTCTGCTGATGGTTGCCCAGCCCCCACTTCTTTTCCAAAGCGCTTCCAGAAAACCACAAGTGTGTTCCATTAATATTGCACACGACATGCGATATGTGACACTAAGTCATGAAATATGTGCCACCATACCTCCTCTGTTTTTCTCTTCTGTCTGGTGTCATGCAGCCCAATCCTATGTGTGCTTACTTGCAAACAAATCCTGAAGCTCATTGCAGTGGCAACACTAATCACATACATTGACTTCAGTATGGCTGAAATCACTGGGAATAAGCCTCAATAGGATTTACTGCCAAGCTAATGCACATAACATCAGGCTACTAAGCCCACGGCCACGGCTTTCCAGTATGTATCTTATTCGCCTCAAATGCCTATACTACCATGCCTATCTTATCTGTCTGTCCACATCACTCCTAGCCAGCCACAGTTTTATTATTTGTTTGTTTGACTGACTGATTTATATACCACTCTTCATCTGAGGATCACAGGGCGGTTTACAGAATAAAAACACAAACAACATAATAACAAACAAAACACTAGCCCCACATACTTTCCCTCCCCTTCTTTCACTCTTAGGAAAAAGCCTCACCATCCCTGCCATTAATCTTAACAATGTCTAGAATGAATACGTATACAGTGGTACTTTGGTTTACGAACTTAATCCGTTTGGAAGTCCGTTCTTAAACCAAAGCATGCTTTCCCATAGCAGCGGGGGACTCAATTTACAAATGGAACACATTCAACAGGAAGCGAAACATGTTCTTATTCCAAGGCAAAGTTCATAAACCAAAACACCTACTTCCGGGTTTGCAGTGTTCTTCATCCAAGTTGTTCATAAACTAAGCTGTTCTTAAACCAAGGCACCACTGTAGTACTTTTGAGTCTGTGTTTTTTTAAATATGCTTTCAAGTCTTCAAAACAATTCACAATGCATTAAGTTGATATGATTACAACAGTATTGTAATCCCACTGAAGGTGGATTACAACAAACACCTGGAAGGCACCCCATCGTTTTGCACGGACACTGAGGTCCAGTGCCGAGGGCCTTCTGGCAGTTCCCTCGCTGTGAGAAGCCAAGTTACAGGAAACCAGGCAGAGGGCCTTCTTGGTAGTGGCACCCGCCCTTTGGAACGCCCTCCCTCCAGATGTCAAAGAGAAAAAATACTACCAGACTTTTAGAAGACATCTGAAGGCAGCCCTGTTTAGGGAAGCTTTTAATGTTTAACTGACTATTGTATTTTAATATTTTGTTGGAAGCCGCCCAGAGTGGCTGGGGAAACCCAGCCAGATGGGCAGGGTATAAACAATAAATTATTATTATTATTATTATTATTAACATGCACAGGGTGACAGCCAAAATTATAAATCTGGACATTATTGTTATCATTCTATACTTATTTATTTTTACCCCACCTTTTCCCCTGACCAGGGTCTCAAGGCGGCTTGCAGATAAAACATCACCGATTCATGTTTCTCCCGCCGCTTCTCTTCCTAAAAACAATTAATGCTGGCCTACCTTACGGGACTGTTGTGAGGATAACCGGGCCGCGCATGCGAAGGGACTTGGAAGGCTGCGCCGCTAGCAAGACAGTGGCAAGGGCCCCTATCGCTGCCCGGCTCCTCGGCCTTCGCCCCCGACACCGCACGCAAAAGTCGGGGTCCAGCCCTTCTCGCTCTCGCCACACGCACTTCCGGCTTCTTTCCGTGACTAGCCCGTCAACCCCGACTTGCTTTACGGCTTCGTCGCGAGCACGATACCGCGCGACGGCGCCCGTCGGGCTTTACGGCAGGCTTTCTCCTTCCCAGTCCGCAGACAGAGTGCGTGGAGGGAAGTGCAGCAATGTTAGTTGCTGGAGCCTGACAGGCCAAAATTTGGGGAAAAGGCGGAACATTGTGCCTCCCCAACCCCAATGCACGCCGTGTTTTACTGTATTTAGATAGTTACTTTTTTAAACACATAATAAATTTAATAAATAAAAAAGTACAATATTGCTTCGCAAGTGCTTCCTGCACTGGGCGGGGAAAACTGCCCTAAGAACAAAATCAAAAAATTCCTTCCAGCAGCACCTTAGAGACCAGCTAAGTCTGTTATTGGTATGAGCTTTCGTGGGCATGCACACTTCTGCAGATGCCCTAAGAACGTAAGAGGAGTCCGGCTGCTGGATCGGGCCCACCTAGTTATTACAGTGGCCAACCAGATGCCCCTTGGGGGAAGCCCGCGAGCAGGATTCGAGCATATAATATTATCAGGAGAGCCCGGCTGCTGGATAAGGCCAAAGCGCTCAGCATCAAGCCCAGCATCCTGTCCCCACAGTGGCCAGCCACGGGGAATCCCGCGAGCAGAACCTGAGCGCAGGAGCAGCTCTTTTCCCCGTTCTTGATTCCCAGCAACTGGCAGCCGGAGGCATCGCTGCCTCCTTTTTATCGCACTCCGGTTGGAAATCGGAGCGGGGAGGCCGGCTGAGAGACGTTGCAGCCGCGCTGCCATAGCCTGGCATAGTTCAGATTTATTTCCCCGCTATTGCAGATGGGCAGGCTGTGGCTGAAGGATACTTCCTTTCACCAAACCTGCACTTTTGGCCACGCGTCACTTTTTCTCCATATAGCAGGCAAGCTGGGCGGTAAGGCAGAGAAGGAGAGCGGTGTGCAACGAACACTGAAAGATACAGCGACAGGATAAACTTGCTCTTAGCTGTTTGTGGTTGTGTGTTTTGCCCCCCTTGGAAAAGGGTCCCCGAATAACACCGGAAACCAAGAGGTGTTCGTTCTTCTACCCTTTTTCCTAGCTCTAGGAAAACCGACGGTAGGGTGGGGGCGGGGGGGAGAGGAGAATTGGCGGGAAAAGTCGTTAGGGAGTTGCCTTCCCTCGCTTTTTGTGCTGCTCAATAAGCAGGTGCTCCTTTGAGTTCCTCTTTTGGCGCGCTTTTGCATTTAGTTATATTTTCCCCCTCATGAAGAGCCCCCAAAATTTGCTAACTCAATACTTTCCTCTGACAGGGCGAGTTTTTGATTATCACAGCCAGCTTATAATTACTAAGGGATTCTGAAAAAACAGCCTGTATGGTAACGTGACTCCTGAAGAGTTAAACTTTCTATCACATACAGTGGTACCTCGGGTTAAGTACTTAATTCGTTCCGGAGGTCCATTCTTAAACTGAAACTGCTCTTAACCTGAAGCACCACTTTAGCTAATGGGGCCTCCTGCTGCTGCCGCGCCGCCGGAGCACGATTTCTGTTCTCATCCTGAAGCAAAGTTCTTAACCCGAGGTACTATTTCTGGGTTAGCGGAGTCTGTAACCTGAAGCATCTGTAACCTGAGGTACCACTGTACTAGAGTTTAGTATGCATGAAAATGTCTCAGAACAGCATATGATTAACTTTGGCTGTAAATACACCATGATATTGTAGCCTTTTTAATCCATGGGTAGGAAAAATTGTTGCACCCGAGCAGAGACAAAAGGAACCAAATGACACCAAGGGGTTAATCCAGAGAAAGAGCGTTTTATTCTGCCATTGGGGGGGGGGGCAGAGGCACCTGTGTGATTCAGTTCACAAAAGACAGGCCGCAGCAAAAAGCATTTTACATCAGGTTTTTTATCCTGTTCTCCAAACCCCCTCCTTCCCTCTCCCCCTTCACAGATTTTACATAGAAATGTTGCTTTTCGTTCTCTGGCTCTGCTCCCGGAAGTATGTTGCAAATCAATGTACCAGGACAAGGTTATCTTGGATCTGGGAAGCGAAAAGCTTTACTGTTCTCAGCTCTAGGTTTGTTACAGCGTTTTCGTTACAGAAGAGGAATGCTAAGCTCGTGCTTTTTGTCTTAGAGGAAAATGCAGTTTTAAAATGCGTACGCCGAGGCCTGGCTGGGGGGAATTCACAAAGAGTTTTTAGGGCTTTCTGGGGTAACCCTAACTGTACCCCTTCAATATAACGTCTAATAAGGCAATATATTTTATTTTAATAGAAAACATTGACCTAAACTGATATTTCCCTTTAGATCTACCAAGCCACTAAAATGAGTAAACGGAAGAAGGGACAAATTCCAGGTAATATAATCACACTGTTATTTTTTGTCTTTATATAAGACTTCCCCCTCCTCCAATTTTTTCAAGCTATTTCCATATTGTGGTGCTTCAAGACCGGGGCTTAATGTCACTAGCAGATTGTGCAGATCTGATTTTCTGTGTACACAAATAGCACATGACAATTAACACACTCAGTTCTGTGTATTCTGGATCCTCCCCCCAGCCACTACTCCCCTGCCCTCAACTGCCTTTTTTGTTCTGGGCAGATGCTCAGGTGTGTCTTTACCTTTGTGCAAATCACTCCCACCCCCAAAATGCTAATCTGTGCTTGGCCTAAATTTATCCTCAATTTGTGGATGTGCACAGAAGTGTCATGGTCTCAGTTCAATAATACATAGATGATGAGGTAGATTGTTGCTTATGAAAAGTTTGCAAGCTTACCTGGGAGTAAGCCAGTGTAACCATTTGCATATCAATTCCAAAAGCTGTCACATTGACTTGGAACCTAAGCTAAGTTAACTTAATGAAGTTCATGGGAGAAATGTTTCTAGAACCCGCTTCCCCCCTGAGTAAACATGTCTAGGTTTGCAGTGTACGGTAAGTCATGAGAGCATGTGCTTCAATAAATCAAGCAGATCCACTTAAATTAAATACATTTAAACCTTGTTATTCAGTAGCAGACTTAAAGCATGTGCATTGAAATCAATGCCTATTGAAATCAACAGGATTTAAAAGTGTTCTCCTTTAGGTGATTAATGTATTTTATTATAAAGTCAATATCAATTGCTGTATTTATTTTGCAAAAAGGTTGATTAATATTTTTTTCCCCAAAATAAAAGAAGAGAACAAGGAACATGGCCTATCCAAAGCAAACAAGTGTCTTAGGAGGAAGCTTACAGAAGGGAATGATCCAGAAATGCCAGTACAGAATTTTCATTCGGACAATTCTTCCACAAAAGTAATTGTATCAGGAACAATTCAAGAATGTCAAAGAAATAGCCTAGCAAACATGAACACAGAAAATTTGGCAACAGACCTGGATACAAGGTAATCAAGTTTGATTCAAAGCAGAGTATGAAATGACTGAAACATGGTTGGACTGGACAGAGAAATCAAGGGGTGTCAACTGATAAGAGAAAGACAACTGACTGCTCATATGATTAAATTGTGATTGTTCTAAAGTAAGGCTTCTGGACAAAAGTTTTATTAAGCATGCAAATTCACATGGTCAGATTATAATGATGCAACTAGAGCAATTACACCAGGACCCATTCCTGCAAAGGGCTTCAGATTCTGTACTTTCAGTGTGTAAAACAGTAAGTCTCTAACTGTCCTGGAAGTAAAGTTATAAAGCAAAATGTGCAGGCAACTTTCTAAGTGTTTTATGTGAGATGAGTCAGCCTGGCTGCTCCCACTTCTCAATGTTTTTAGCCCCTAGTTGCGTACTTTGCCCTGGGATGCGAGTGGAAGTAGCGCGCCAGCAGCACGGCAGCAGCAAGAGGCCCCATAAGCGAAAGTGCGCCTCATGTTAAGAACGGTTTCGGCTTAAGAACGGACCTCTGGAACAAATTAAGTTTGTAACTGGAGGTACCACTGTAATGTAAACCTTTTTGATAACCAACAAAAATATCACAAAATACCAAACAAACTTTCAAGCTGCCCTGCATGTTTAGATTTCAGGTAAGATTTCAGTTTTAAAAAATAATGGAGGAGAATAATGTCCATTTAATAAGCGCCCAGCAAAGTCTCTTCATTAGAAGATCTAATGCCATCTTCCTTCAAGTTCTAGGATCCCTTTCTTTGACAAAGTCCCCATGATATTTTTGTAAGGAAGCTGGTAAAATGTGGGTTGAATGAGGTAACTGTTATGTGGATTTGTAGCTGGTTAACTGACCGAACTCAAACTGCTCTTAATGGTTCCTCGTCATCTTGGGAAAAAGTGACAAGTGAGGTAAAGCAGGGTTCTTTCCTGAGCATGTTGTTAAATGTATTTATAAACGACTTGAACAAAGGAATTGTGAGGGTACCCATCAAATTTGCAGATGACACCAAACTGGGAGGGGTAGCTAATGCCACAGAAGACAGAATCAGGATTCAAAACAATCTTAACAGACTAGGGAGCTGAGCCCAAACTAACAAAATGAATTTTAATAGGGACAAATGTATGGTTCTGTGCTTAGGAAGGAAGAACCAGCTGTACAAATATAAGACAGTGGACACCTGGCTTACTAGTAGTACATATGAAAAGGATCTGGGGTCTTAGTGGACCACAAGTTTAACATGAGTCAACAGTGTGATGCAGCAGCAAAAAAACCCTCATGCTATTCTAAGCTGCATCAACAGAAGTCTAGTGTCCCAAACAAGAGAAGTAATAGTACCACTCTATTCTGCCTTGGGCAGACCACATCTGGAATACTGTGTCCTGTTCTGAGCACCACAGTTTAAGAATGATATTGACAAACTAGAAGGTGTACAGAGAAGAGCAACCATGATGATCAGTGGTCTGGAAACCAAACCTTATGAGGAATGGTTGAAGGAGCTGGGTATGTTTAGCCTGGAAAAGAGGAGACTGAGAGGAGATATGATAGCCATTTCCAAATATCTTAAGGGCTGTCACATGGAAGATGGAGCATGTTTGTTTTGTCTTGCTCTGGAGGGCATTTTGCAAATAGAATAAACATCCTGGGATTTTCAAACATACTGGAATTTCCTATTTACTGTATTTCTATTACTAATTTGCCTTTCCTAAACTTGAATGTACATATATTTGTTGTCTTTTAACAGCAAGGCTTCATTTGAGAGGAAAGAGCAAGATAATATGAAGGTTTCTGTACCTCTGTCTCAGGTAAATTCCGTCTCAAGTAACATTAGCAGTATATTTAACTGTAGGGTAGCTTTTAGTAATTTCTTGGTTAGGTAAAGTAAACTTACAAAGTATAGCTGAATAGACTTCCTTTGTGTTCCTTATGTGGACATACTGCTTGAACAAATCCAAATCCTTGATCAAATCCAAATCCTTGCAGTCTGTATCCTTGCAAGAAAGGACATCAGATGTGACTGATATGCAGCAAGATTTACCTGGTAGATATTGGGTAATTGACCGACACCTTGTATGCATCTTAAGCATTGTATCAGGCAGTTTGTTAAGGCTACAAGGGAATAAACCCCATTGAACCCAATAGCCTTACTTCTTTGGTTTGCTCTGTGCATAGGTTTGCTCTGTGTAGAGAGGATGATTCACTAAACCTCCTTACACATTCTTTCAATGTGATGTCACAGGATTGCAGTGGCTAGCTTCTACCAACTTACTAGCTGGGCATTCAACAGCCAGAAGAAGAGACCACAAACATGCACAGATATATACACCTATTGCTCCTCCATGCATATATTTCTACGCGTGTGTAGACCCTTCATATAGTCCCTTCAGCCTCCTTATGTATTGAAAGACTGTATGAGACAGTCCAAATGGACTTTCTCCCCTCATAAGATCTTCAAAATATGTGAGCTAATCCACATGGCTGCAATGCAAGAATCTGTGAGTTTGTTGATCATGTGTTGTTGTTTTGGCTAATAGCCAATAATATTTCACCTTTAAAAATGTATACTGGCAGTGATTATATTGCATACTTCTGTTTGTCATGGCTGAAACACCTAGGAAAATGAACTTAAAAGCTTTTTTAAAAATCCAATGAAGAGTTGCTGTGATTAGGGAAAAGGGCAAGGCTCTTCCACATTCTCTGCTTCTACAGTGTATCAACCTACCAGTGCTGGAACAAGTACCATGGTGGCAGTGAGCGAAATGAAAGTCACTCTCTTTAGTCACAGAAAATAATTTGTACAGATGGCGAACATTTTGTGTGCAACCTATTGATGTATAGCTAGGCCTGCATCAGGATTTGAAAAGTTGCTTAGAATTTCAAACAATGAGAAGTACAATGCAAACCCAAACCACCAGTGGGCACTCAAAGCCAGAGAGAAATGAAACCAGGGCAACAAGCCAAGATGCTTTTGCTTGCACAGCTGGCTCAGTCCTGACCTAAATACATCTTCAGCAATGGTCTGTCTAGCTTTTTCTTGAAAACTGTTATAGCCAGAAGCCAGAAGAGCAGCCTGTGTCGTTCCGCACAACCTTCCTTTGAATTCATAAACTTTATTGCTGTGTGCAGATTAAGACCAAGGGTTGCCCCTTGTACATTTTCCCCTAGTGGAGTTGTAGAGCACATACTCTGAGAACAGAAGGCCTCAGGTTTGAACCCCAGCATCTCTAGTTAAAAACGTTGAGTAGTCATGCGTGAAGATGTCAAAGACCTCTGCCCTGGATAGCAACTTCCAGCCAGAGTAGACAATACTGACCTGGTATTAAGAAACGCCCTGAACTCCTAACGCCACCCCACCTCTTTATTGGGCCAAAGAGAACCCAGGAGTCCTGACTCCTGGCCACCAGTTACCTGCTTCGAAAAAACCACTCAGTTTACTCCCTTGCGGAAAACATTAAGTTAAGCACTCCCTTTGGGCAACAGCTTCCTTCCTTCCTTCCCTTTATATTAAATATTTGCAGAGCCATAGCTGTGGGGGGCTAGCTGGTTTTTTTGCCCTGGGTGAAGCCTCCAGAGGGGCACCATTAAAGCTCAAAACCTCTCTCTCTCTCTGTGTATGCAAATGCACATGGGGGGACGCCAAACTGGGTCTTTGACCCGGGTGAAATAAAACCTGTTTGTATTTTTAACAGTTAGTTTGGCTGTGGGGGGTGGGGGTGGAGAGGAATCCCCCTGCCAGGAAAAGTTCTGAGACAAAGGGAACTTGGACTGCCAGCAACTGGGCAATCACATGCGGGATGATTCCTGCCATGCTTGGCTCTAAGAGGCACTGGTGCACTGGTGCTTCACTGTAGTGGGTCTCCGGAAGACAGTGTTTTCCTGCGGAAATGTGGACACAATGATGTAGGACCACTTAAGGCCAGCCCAAGACATCTTGATGCCCAGGGTGGGAAAGGAAATTGGCACCTGCTAATTAAAGCAGGGTATAACCCACCAGGTACAGCTGCGAACTATGTGGCCCCTCAGGTGCCTGGGCACCCACAAATTTAAAATGGAGGTGTGCCCCCCCAAGATTCCACTCGGTGGTGTGTGCACACCATGGTGATGTTGGCATGCCCTGGGCACCCACTGTGGAGGGGGCAAGGTGGCATGCCTGCCACCAGGAAAGTCACCTACTGAAGCCCAGCTGGGGGGGGAAAGACACCCCCCCCGATCCTTTCATTGGGAGAAGTGCAAGATTGCCAAAGGTATTTTGCTGCCTGAGGCCAAGGTCAAGATGGTGGCCCTTTACTTTCCATTAGGTGCTAAAATCTCTACATGTAAACACATAATCCATCAATATGATCAAATTCAGATCATTTTTCTTTTCTTTTTTTCAGTGCAGAATGTTTTTTTCTTAAATGTGGGGTATACTTAAGAACTTATTGTATTTGCATTTTAACCGTTATAGTAAATTACTGTTGTTCTTTCACTTTTGTGGAATTATTTGTTGCTCACAACGTCTTTTAGTTGACAGTAAAATAAATTTGAACTTCTGGTGCGTCTCATTTTGAGTGAAACTACTACCAATACTTGTTCAATAATTCTAATAATTTGAATCTTAAGTTCCTCTGAGTGGAACCCCACTTGCAGATATGATACTTCCATGGAGTACCTTGAAGATACTATTTGACAATTCCCTCCGGCAGCCCTCTGTGCCCTTAAGATCTGCTCTGGAGGGTTGGGCATCCTCCCAGAGCAGCAAGGAAGGTGACACGGGGAGCTGCAAGGGGAGCAAGAAATCAGTGAAAATTGTTTTCTGCCTGTGGGAACCTCTGTTGGATCACAATGCCTTGCTTTCAGGATCCAGCTGATGAGGTTTTGTCCAATTTTATTCCTGTACAAAATCCTCAGAAATTTAGGGCAGTCTCAGTAGGTCAAAAATAATTTTCTTTGTTGAGCCTGATAAATCCAATCTCTTGATGCCTTTTTGCTTAATTTTGGAAGTTGCTGAGGATAGGATACTCTTATTGTTATTTTTATTCTTACTCTTATTGTTGGTTGTAGGGAGGAAAGTTGGTACCAAAGTTTACGAAGCCAAGAAAAACAATGACTGAAAAAAAGGAAGGAAATTTTGGAGGAGCTGTAACAACTGGGACAGAAAAGGTACAACAAGCCCTTCCTCCTTATCTATATAATGTAATGTATACCCTTGTGATTTAGAGAAGTGTTTCCTTATGGCTGGACATGGGGAAAACACTTTCGTTTTTGTACTGATAATTAAAGACAAACTGCACTCTTCTAGTTCAAATTAAGCACACTGAAAATTTCCAGAGGGCTTTTAATGATTCGTTTTAATCAAGATATACTGACATGTTATTTAAGGATACTGTTAGCTGTGCTGTTTTATTTGTATATACTATGGTTTTTATATTTGATTTTAATAATAATAATAATAGTAATAATAATTATAATAATAATAATTCTAAGTGACATTCCCTAAGAGGCAGTTCATAAATAAATAAATAGTTTTAATGGAGTAATCCCCCCCCCCAAATGAAAAACTCACGTTTTAGTTTGTCTTTCAGCTAAGGCACCTGCACACTCTCAAGCATATTAAGGACACTAGCTTTGGCAAGACAGGTGGGTCTAGCAGCACCCCCACACTGCAAAGTTGCTTCTTTAGAGGGAGCACAAGCCCATCTAGGAATTTAAAGAGTTCCACTGTGTATACTCCACAATTCACTGTTTAAACTAGTAAGCCAAGGGCAGATAAAAATAGAGTATTCTTTGGTGGAAGATGATAACTTGTGCAGAACTGCATATTCACACATTAAGTTGCCTGTATACTTAGATAATCTTTGGTGTCCCTGCTCCCTTCTTCCAATAAGGTTAGGCAAAGGGCAAATGAAGAAAGGGCCTTCTCAATTGGGTCAACTTGCTTATGGAATGCTCTCCTCAGGGAGGATTGCCTGACACGTACTCTAATGTCTTTTCAGCACCATGCAATTACTTAAAAAACAAATATCTTAAGACTTTTTACCTGAACGGGCTTTTCTGCTGTTGAATATGCCTTTCATTATGTCAGCTGTTATTATTTTGATTGTTTCAGTATTACTGTAAGCAAACTTGGAAGTTCGCTTGCTTGTTATAAGCTGTAAAAAGATTGTAAAGGCACTCAGAATCTGAAGGGGCAGTATACTGATGGTTAAATACATAGAAATGCACTATTAAATGGGAACTGGCAGCCATAGTCAGAAAATGCTAAATGTTTGTGCTACTTTTTTCTACTGACGCACAATTTTGTCAACTTCTTCAAAGGGTGATTGTATGGATAGAAATGTTACCAGCACAGCAAAAAATTATGTCGAGAACACTGTTCCTTCTTCACAGACACCAGAAGCAGCGGATTCATTGGTGACAAAAGTGAAGGATGCTGGAGATCAAGTGATCATTCATTGTGAAAAATTAAGTAAAAGACTGGATGTTAAAATGCAAGATGAGGACAAGATTGGAAGGATAAACAATGATGGTGCAAACTCAGGCTTAGCTGATTCCTGTCAAGGAACGGGGACAGCATCCAATTTACAAGAAAGTATCTGTGAAAAGGAAGTGTCAGGTAATAAGGATGTAGATGGTCTGTCTCTAGAGCCATTTAAATGCCAATTTGTTAAGGAGATGAGCATTAGTATGTTGGCAGACGACAGTGTCACTGACCATATTAAAAGTACCCCACATGAAGAGCATCTTGATACTTCAAACAAGTGTATGGATAAAAATAAAGCTTTCCATGATATCACAAATTCAGATGATGTAAAAGAAGCAAACTGGGCCAAAAATAGAAGTTGTAAAGATGCAAGTCTTACTGAGTGCATGTTCAGCCAAACCCAAAAGGAGAACAACAGAACATATTTCCCACTGGAGACAGGTCTATCATTTCTCACACCTGGAGAACAGGGCAAACATCTAAATACAAGCAATTTATCTAGAGACGGAGATACTGATGTCAAAAAAGCAGACCAGGGCCTTTCATATAGAAGCGGGGAAACTGAAGAGCAAAATGTCATTTGCAGCAATACTGAAATTTCAGAACATGAGGTCACTTTGTGCAGCTCTGCAGTGAGTGAAAAGGGGACAGACAAGCAGAACCTGTGGTCAAGTGGCAAACCTGTAGAGCAAAATGGTATGAGTAAAACTGCAAGCCAAAGCAACCCTTGTACAGAAGAGACCATAGTTGCAGAGCAAAACAGTGTACAAGGCCAGAATACTTCCAGGAAAGACGTTCTAGATATTCAATCTATGAGTATTTATTTGGAAAAGAAAGCAGATCTTTCTGAATCAAAATGTGAACAGGTTTTTGAAACAAGTGATATGTTCTTGCCACAGCCTAATGAGGATGTTCACTCTGAGAGCAGCACAATCTCAGTGCAAGCAGTGATTTGCAGCGAAGAGACAGGGAGGAATAAAAAAGAATCTGAAATGAAAGCAAGGCCAGCAAAAAGCACCACTGGCTCACCTGACCCAGAAGTTCCAGTTTTACAGACCCAAAAGAAAAATGGTAGTGAGAGATTGGTGTCTGATACAAAACAGTCTGAATTCATCAGATGTGATTTGGAACCAGCTGAAATTAGGGAAGTGCTGTCAGATATTTCCCAGCAAAATTTGACTGAGACTGCCAAGGCAGAAACAAACCCAACAGAAAACTCTTCTGCTGACATCTACATGGAGGGAAAAGAAGAAATGGTAACCTGTGAGGACAACAAGAACAAACCTGCCCATGAGGAAAATGGCCTCTCCACAGTCAAGGTTATTCCAGCACCATTGGTGGTGGATGATCCTGGTAGAGAAATGAATGCTGGTTCCGAAATGCAGAAGTCTCTCCTTGCATTAGGTACAGGTTGCAGCAGAAATGCACCAAGCGGCCTTGATACTATGACCCAAACATGCTCTCCTTGCACAGATTCCCTTTCTCTGGATATGGAAATTCTGTCTAACAGTCAGCTACTGGGCATCTTTGAATTTCCACCACACAAGGTGAGTTGATCATGAATGACTAGATTTAGAAAGTGATAGTTTTACTTCTTCATATGACAGTTACTATTCAACAGAATCAATAAGACCTTAACACTCCAGCAATCCTTATAAGATTGTATTTATAAATGCAAGTATCAGTACCCATCATATGAATTTATGAAGGAATTGGCCTTGCACTACTACCGGTACATACTTTTAGTGAATTAGTAGATTTATATCCCACTTCCTTGCCGGAGTCCTTAAAGCAGCTCATAACTTAACGAAAACCAGTGGATTCCAATTTTACTGTAGTTTGAATAATTTTTAATGGTGTTACCGTGCAAAATAATTGTAGCAACTGAAGTGCATCCCAGTAAAAATATTTGTGAACCAATTACAGTAGTATATAAAATGGTCATTTCCAGATCTAACAAACCCATTGTAACTAGTACGGATTCTGTAGATTAACTGAAGCTGCAACAATGGAAGCAGTGGCTCCCATTCTAGTTCTTTAAAATAGTTTGTACTTGCCTTTGTGGCTCCTCTGGACTAAAAAACCTGGATAGAGCTGGGAGGGACTTTGGAGGTCATCTGGTCCAATCCTCTACTTAATGCAAGGTTCGCAATGGGGGATGCAACTATAGGAGGCCTGATTGATGGACATCCCACCTCTGCTTAAATACCTGCTGTGAAGAAGTGTCCCACATCTTCCTAGTTATTCTGCTCTCCTGTCAACTAGCTCTTATCCTTAGGAGGTTTCTTCCAGTGTTATGCCAACATCTGTTTCCTTCTAATTTCTATGCATTCATTTTAGTTCTGTTTATGTTATGTCTCACAAGGATGTGGGAGGAAATTCTTCGCTGTGTGCGTGGAGCAGGTGCCGGCCTGTTGCTGAGGGAGGATGGGGATAGCGGCAGTAGCAATGGGGGGGGGGGGAGAAAAGGGGCTTGCCAGCAGAACACACTGTAGATGAAGAATGGTGATCTGTCCCCTTGCCCTCCCCAAAGTAGCTCAGGTTACAAACAATCTCTGCTTGCTTGCAGGAGGCTTCTCTTAAAATTATATCCATCACATCTAGCCAAAAGAAACAATAAAAATTATTTGCATAAAGTCTAAAAGCTAACTAGTGGATATGTCTATGTATCAACATTCTGAAACCTGTGTCTAATAACCCAATTATTACATTAATTATGAACATTATTGCTGTAGATTTCTCCCTACCTGGTTGAGATTGTGATTGAACAAGTCCTTCACTGCTGCTTTTTACATAGAGAACATACCTGTATCGCTAAACTGCATTTCTATCCCTTCAGACATCCTTTCTGGATAATCCACATAGCCCTTCCAAGGATAAAAGTGATCAGTGTGCTGTAGGAGAACAAAGTGGAATCAAAACACCAGTCCCAGCCATTAATCTGATCTATCCAAATAGTGACAGGTGGGTGGATTTCCTAGTAGGAGCTTTCTTGGTACTGTATTTTGCATTCCAGTTGGTATTATTAGGCCTACTTATGTTGCTTGCATGAGTGTGTACACACACCTGAAACACCAGAGCTAATGGAAGTGGATGATTTTTATTTCCATCTCAAAAGCTTGGGGCAGGCAGTTTTAAGAAAAAGTGCAATAAAAAAACATAATTAAAACCTATATTCTACATAAATATTTAATACGTCATTTGTTAGCTGTGCTATTTGTAGGATGGGATTGGAATCCTAGGTCAAGGGTCAGTGACTATTTGGAGCAAATATAATATCCTTTGATGTTTGAAAAGGCATGACACCTGGAAAACACTCACACTTTTAATATAGAAAGATATACAGTATATTGCTGATCTCCTGCTTCTGTTTTCCTTCCCCCCCCCCCAAAAAAAACAGGAATGAGATGACTGAGGGGATTTGTGATCCATACAAACAAGAAGATGCAACAGATGTTGTTTGTGGACTGATTAAAGAGCTCTCTAATCTCAAGTAAGAACTTATTTCTGTACCATATCCAATACTTCATAAAAAATGAGGTTCTTGAAGGCCTGAGATAATGTGGTCACTGTCATAGCATCTACAGCAATTACATAGCTCCCACAGGAATCCTAGTGTAACATTCTTAGCTTAAATGTGCCTGATTTAAAGACAAAAAGACATGTTTGGCCTAGCAACCACTATTAGGCATGGTAGTTAAATTGAATGTCTATGTGTTTTATACCCCTGCATGCCAGATGCTGAGGACAAACACTGAGGAAAAGCTATTGCCTTTTATGCCTGTTTGTGATCTTCCCAGAGGCATCTGGCCCAGGACTGTTTTAAGGGTTTACTGAATTGCAAGTCCTATCACAATTAGTGGGATATATGCCAGATCCCAACGACATCTACTGGGGTGTAAGTCCCACTGATTTCAGATAATTTTATTTTCATATGTGTTTAACCTTTGGGTTAAAATGACTTTTAGGAATGCCTTGAAGATTTTTTAAATGCCAACATGGCTATGCAGGTGCTTCAAACATTCTGATTAGCCAGTCATTTAAGGATATTGTTTTGTGCTGTTTTTAATGTTTTATGTTTTATCATTGTTTACACTGCCTTGATTTGTTATAGTGGTATATAAATACTTGTATAAATAAATAATAAATCTCCCTCCCCTCCAGATCTGGATTTCCTCCCTGCCCACGCTGCTGTGCCCATGCTGCTGCTAACCCCTCCTATGGCAATTGCACCAGAGTAATGACAGGGGTCAGATCTGCTGCCTGAGGCAAAATTTTTTGCCTCAGGCACCAGATCTGACTTGCTTCATTAAGTGCCAGCCTTGCTGAGGGCTGACCGGAGGTTGCCTCTTGTGCCTCTTTTGAGTGCTGCTAGGAGCCATGAGGCATATCAGCCACAGCCACAGTGAGGAAGTAGGAGGTATTTTCCCCTCCCCAGTCACTTTTCCAGCCTGCTACAGCTCTTAGACTGAGAACTGGAGAACATGGCACATGAACCCTTTCAGCTACCTTGAATTATTTCAGCTCTTTGATAAATCAAATTCCTTGCATTTGTTCTGGAGCAAAAAATATTAATTGTTGGAACCTGCTTCTTTAGATAACAGTGACTGAATTGTTCTGCAAGGGGTTGCAGTCTATAATTTTATTTCTGCAGCTTACTTGAGAAGTGCCTTGCTAACATGGAACCCACTGTGGTGTGGTTGGGTTGTTTTGTTCTTCCTAGCCGACTTATCATGAGTACACACAGAGACCTGGATTCCTTCAAGAGACTGAAGTTCCGGAGAAACAGACAATCTGGGAAGCTTGTACCTCATAGCGTGAGCAATGTGACAAGCACACTTTGTACAGTCAAAAAGAAGAGAGAGATTTAGCTAGTGAATTCTGTTCCTGCTTTGAAAGTTTGCTTTGTTATGGTTTTCTTTAGCTATTTCATTTAGCAGTGGGGTCATTTATGCTTATCTGCATCAAAATAGACTGTTAGATGCAGAATAAAATTAATAAAATGAGTATAATTAGTCATCTTCACATCCCACTAACTATCACAGCAATGTAAAGGACCATTATAAATAAGAACTGGGTCCAATGTCTTGGTGCACAATCCAGTAAGTAAAGTTACCTGTATATCAGCTGCGATCAATATCCCTTTCACCACCATCTCTTAACAAACTCTTAACATAACTTTCTGGGTGTGAACTCTTGTCCACAATTGTAAAGAGTTGCCCTATGTTCAGGCATGTATCTATAGTTCTTCCTCCATTAGGCCAAAATATATCTTATGGAATGCAAAAATAAAAATAAAACCTTAAAAGCCAGTTTTACTATGTAATGATGCCATTATTTATAGGATTCTGGTGTAACCATTTCATTGTTTATAAATGAACTAGGTTAGTGGAATGAAAATGCTGTATTTTGGCTAAAAATTACAAAATTGAGTAACTTTAAACCTCACTTCAAGTGGAAGAGTTATGTGTGTACTTAGTTGAAACCAATAGAGCTTAAAATGCTGTGCACTTTCATTCTTGCCTACTTTATGGTGTCTTGTGTGTTTTGCATTCTACACAGGCAGAACAATTCTAAAATTGGGGAAGATTCTGCGGTGGTGGAACTGCTGCTTCCCAAGCCCTGCTGCTCACTCTAGCTAGAGGGAAATGGGGTGGGATGCAGCACTTTCTCACTTAAAAGAGGGCAATTAACTACACGAGCTGCAAGTCTGGTATAATTCTTTGCCCCTTTATCACAGTATGCTAAGACCCCTCATCTAAACCCCCTCAACTGCCCCTCGCTAACTTCATTGTCCAAGAGTAAATCCTTACATTTCATTCAATCCATTCATTTCAAAAATGACACATCTTTGGTTTAGGGGTTTTAAAACGCTGTATTGCTTTTGTGTAACAAATAAATAACCATATAAAGTCATAATATTAACAAAACAAAGTAATTATTGACCATACGTCTTAAGAACCAAAGAAAACCTGGCCAACAAATATCACTTGAAAAACAAGCATGCATTTAAACAAAACTTTAAACAAATACAAACATTGGGAGACTTCAGACTGGTAATTTGGGAAATTAGGTAACATTTGTCTCAAGTGGACACTCTTCACACTGAGTCAGACATCTGTAATAACGTGAATGTGAAATAATTCAAGCAGGAAGAGTAGCTGGATTAAAAAACAAGAATAGCGAGTCAGTTGATTGTGATAGTACTGAGAGAATTCATTTCCAGGCCCTTGGTGTGATGTACCAGTGCCACCTGAAGTAAATGTTGCCATCCTGGACTATCTTTCCCTCTCTCCTTTTTCTCTCCAGGTCTGAATATTTTAGTTGATTCCTGCAGACCAACCACTTGGGGTGTATTAGATCCAAAGTTTCCCTTGACTTCAAGAAAAGTGCTAGCTCTGGTACAGCTGCAAATGTACCTGAAAGAGATGATAAAATGCACACAATCCCAATCACATTTTCCTCACCAGAAATCTATGCATTTTTTTTCTAATTTGTATTCAGCTGTAATTGTAGAAATACCCCACCCCAAGTCCTTTGAGGCTAAATACTGGAGAGCAGACATACCCTAGGAGCATGGCCAGTGGTGAGGGATGAGGGGAACTGTATTCCAACAACACTTGCATAGCTTCACACTGGCTACCCTTGCTGTAAGAGTAGCAGTGGCAGGCAATGGCTGCTTATTTACATTTTTTACTCATTTTAACCCAGGAACCTCCAGGTTTGAAAACCACTTCAGGGTGGCAGGTTGCTGTGGCTTGCAAGAGAGAAACAAGCCACAGTTCCTAGTTCAGAAGTAACACAAAACCAACCCTTTTCTTGTCCTGCTTGCACTAGGAGTGAAGAAAGAGCAATTGGGCATTTACCAGCATGCTACGAATGCTCAGTAAACCTTCCTCCCATCTGGTGAATATGTTTCTGCCTCAGTCACACATACACAAACACCTTCCTCCCAGACAGACAGACACACACACACACAATCTGAGCACTCTTCCTCCTCCCCCCCCCCTTTCCAAGGGGCAGGGAAGGAAGGTTCAAATCCCCTCTGGGCCATGAAGCTCACTGGGTAATCACGAGCCCTTCCTCTCTCTGCCTAACCTACCTCATAGGGTTGTTGTGGGGATGAAATGAGTAAAGGGAGAACTGTACGCTATCAAGCTCCTTGGAAGAAAGTAGGCGAATATAAATGGGAGTAAATATAATAATAATAAACTGCCAGGCGCACACACACACACACATACAGGAGGTGTGAGCTAGGATGAAAAGTAACTCATTCGGCAGCGGAATGTCGCTCAATCACTCTTGGAGGACGAATAATAATAATAGTAGTAGTAGTAGTAGTAGTTATTCTTTATACATTGAATCCACCTTAGTCTTACTCAGACCCACTAAAGATCACAAACTTAGCCCTGTTCATTTCAATGGGTTTACTTTGAGTAAAAGTTACTAGGATACAAAACGGTGACAATGATGCCCACAGAACTAAACTCCCACCTTCCAACTCTCCATCCGCCTCCTTTTCCTTCCCCGACCCCAGGGGGCCGGCCTTCTCCTAAACACCCAGACAAGGTAGTGGGATTTCAGAGTTTGCTTTTCAGATGCGCTTAACAAACAGGCGGCCTGGGGTGGTGGGGATAGAAAGAGGAAGAATACTTACGGTACCACCAGGTTGGAACCTTTGCTGCTGAAAGAGAAAACGAGAGAGAGAGAGAATAATATTCCCCTTCCCACCTTTTTATTTTTTAAGTTTTAGGATAGGCTGGCTTCGTTTTGAAGTGGCTTGCCTTCTTCCCGGCCGAATTCCGGATGCAGCTGTAGACGGACGTGTAGCCCTTGTTGGTTAAAGGGCAGAACTTCCTCGTGTGCGCCCGATCCTGAGATGCCCCGCACTGAGGGCAAGTGTAACTTCTCAGGATCGGGCACTGCACCCTCCCGGCTGAGTCCTTCAGCGCGTGCGACGCGTAGATGGCCCTCGACTCGCCGTTGTGCTTGCAGAAGGCGCAGTGGCGCGCCGGCCTGCTGACCCCGGCAGGGGGCGCCTCCTTGCGCTGCAGCGGCGGCGCCTGGTCCGCGAAAGCCCCCGGCCAGCTGCTCCTCGCGCTCCGCCAGCGCATCTCTTGCACCACGCGCGCCAGCTGGAAATAGTCCCTCCACAATTGGAAAGCCGCCATGATCGCCGCAGCCTGAGCTGGTCGCCGGAGCCCTGGGCGCTCCTAAATGCAGCCATGTGCCGTTGGGGCCTCCGCCCAGAGCCAATAGCCTGGGAAGCTCTTCCCACTGCCCCCCACCGTCAAGGAGCCTGGAGCCAAGAAGTCTGGCTCGCCCCACGGCCCCCCACCCCGCCGCTTGTGGGTCGCCATCCTGGCAAAGTTGAGGGCGTGGCTGCGAAGCCGCAGAAAAGTGTCTCTCGCCGAATGTTAAACGATCTGCAAAGAAGACTATGAATTGAAAGTGGAGGCAAGAGATGTATGTACCTTTCCCCGTCTCTCTGTTTGCTTTGTAACACAGATAAACGTAAGACTGAATGGAGGTGGGGGGAGAGAGAGAATCGCCAACTAAGAAGCGCAGCCTTTGGCTTCAAGAGTTGCTTCTTTATTGCAACTTGCAAAGTTGCAAGTTGGAAGTGTCTGTGGGAGTCTCTCTCTCTCTCTCTCTCTCTCTCACACACACACACACAGTGCCGGATTTAAGCATAAACTGAACAAGCTCTAGTTTAGGGACCCACTCTCTTGGCCCCCCCCCAAAAAAAATAAAGGAAAAAAACTGGATGTACTTTGATAAAATACATATTTTGTTCTGTGCAAATGGCTTTAGGTCCATAAGTTAAAGGTAAAGGGACCCCTGACCATTAGGTCCAGTCGTGACCGACTCTGGAGTTGCGGCACTCATCTTGCTTTATTGGCCGAGGGAGCCAGCGCACAGCTTCCAGGTCATGTGGCCAGCATGACTCAGCCGCTTCTGGCGAACCAGTGCAGTGCACGGAAATGCCGTTTACCTTCCCGCCGGAGCGGTACCTATTTATCTACTTGCACTTTGACATGCTTTTGAACTGCTAGGTTGGCAGGAGCAGGGACCAAGCAATGGGAGCTCACCCTGTGGATTCGAACCGCCGACCTTGCATAGCTTGTCAAAATCATTTCTCCTGCACATTCCCCCTCTTACCTTAATACCACATGTCAATTTGTTATTAATAGCTTCATCCTCTTTTTTTAAGCCATCCAAATTGCTGGCTATGCCATGCTAACTGCTGGCGCTCAGTCGGGGTAATAAGCTGGCCTTTCAACAGCAAAGGAAAACACAGCAATGCACAGCTGCATTGTATTCAGGTCTGGTTGGTGGCAAAGCACAATAAAAGCATCCACATTGGAAGGCGAATGGTTTGGCTCTGTGCCAGAAACTAAGCAGACTAGCAATTACCCTTTTTTTTTTTTTTGTGCCACCATGAATATACTGTACATGAGGTTAGTTAGGTCCTGACCATTTTAGCTGCACTTCGTTATCATTGGCACCAACAGAGTTTAATTTAGTCCTTATTAAATTTCCAGACAATTACAATGTTAGCTTAACTGGATTGAAGTTTGGATTCAACCTGTAGCATCTGACGGGGTTTTAGAAGCAAATGAAATAAAATGAGGGCATAATTCATGATCCTGTCACTTAAGGAGCTTAAATGCAACAGCAGGGAAGAGATTGTGACAGGGTGGGGAGGGGGAAGCAAGGGGTTAATGTGAGCAGATGCAGTTGCAGGAACTTTTAAAGTTACCAATGTAAACTGACCTGTCCTGTACACAGTACACTGTAAACTGTACTGTTCAAATATAATAATGGTGCAATTCATTTTTTAAATGTATACAATTATTACCATAACATTAATGTGGGGCACAAGCTAGCCAAAATTTAGCATTTTAAAAGTACACTTTATTGAAATACTTAGAAGTGGCTTAATCAAGTGCTGAAAAGTTATGAGACCTCCTGCCTGAACCTAAGCTGAGTGGAATTAATTCCTTTTATTTATGTATGTATTCCTTATTGAAAATGTTGAATTATAACCAAAAAGGCAGACAAATTAACAAGGTGTGTAATCTTATATCTCGAATTATACAGAACAGTGCAGCCCTGCTAATATCATGTATTGTGCATTATTTTGATTGGTACGGGTTGCAACAGAATGGAATTAATTCTCCAGAGAGTGTGTTGGGTTTGCAACCTTCACAAAGACTTACGTTTGACTGGATCCTGAGCCTGTTTTTTCTGTGCAAGGAGCCTCAGATTTTAGTTTTAAGGCACAGCTAAAGTGGCGCTGTGGTCTAAACCACTGAGCCTCTTGGGCTTGCCGATGGAAGGTCAGCGGTTCGAATCCCCCTGACGGGGTGAGCTCCCATTGCTTGGTCCCTGCCAACCTAGCAGTTCGAAAGCACACCAAAAAGTGCAAGTAGATAAATAGGTACCACTCTGGCAGGATGGTAAATGGCATTTCCGTGTGCTGCTCTGGTTTCGCCAGAAGCGGCTTGGTCGTGCTGGCCACATGACCCAGAAAAACTCCCGAAAAACATCGGGAGCGCCGCAACCCCAGAGTCATTCGCGACTGGACTTAACCGTCAGGGGTCCTTTACCTTTACCTTAAAGTTAAAGGGTCTTGGTTGTAAGCTGCAGTCGTAAGATCTTTGATGTCAAAAGGGGGGGGGTAGAATTTTGTACACTGAAAAGCAGCTTCGGATGCTCATCAGCATTTTCTTGGCTCATGGTATTCCCTTCTTATGGGAATACTTTCACTAATTGTACAATGCTGAGTGGAGAATGCCTCTGTTTCGTCTCTCCCACAGCAAGGGCAAGGAGCCTTTTCTACAATGATTTCACTAAAATGTAGCAAAGCTGGAATGCTCACACACCTCAGAACTGAGCAGGGGCATGAAAACTGTAATTTTCAAAATTACAGCCAGAATTTTCATTGGAGTGTTTATATTAAAATAACAATTGCTCCCCCCCCCCCCCGATTCTCTTGATATGTTGCTTTATACTGTTCATTAATAAATGAGTTTGGATTTTATTGTTTAATATTATAGATATGCAAATAACTGAGCAGGAATCATTTGTAGGAGGGGGTGGAATTACAGGATTAAGGACATGCAAATTGCCTGTACTTTAACACAGGACATTTGAGGCGGCTCAGGGAACACCACAAAGGCAAAAATCAGAAGGGGTTTTGTGTGTGTGTGTGTGTGTGTGTGTGTGTGTGTGTTTGTCTGTCTGTTTAAATGGAAAACTACCCCGAAGTGCCATATCTGCCAAATCAGGAGACACTCAGAGGTCCATGGGCCAGGAGTTAGTCACCCAGCACTAAATGAATGGTCAATACACATTTATTTGTTTATTCAAACTACAATGTGGAGAACTTGGCCAATAACACTTTCAATACACTGAGAGGTGAGTGGTGGTGGCAGCAGGGGGGGAGCTCCTGTGTGAATAAACCTGGGGGTCTTGTAGGAAATGTGCTAAAAACAGCAAATACAAGGAAATCAAGTGGGGAAATTGAATATCATGGTTCAGGAAAGCTTTTTACCAGGTTAACTGGGTTCAAATCCATTTGTGAAATGGAGCAGTGAAATGTATGAACCACAGAGACGGGTTCCTTTTGTTATTGAATAGTTATTGTAAGAGTACTCCATTGGGGTATTCTGATTTTTATTTCCCCCCCGCTTGCCCCTTGCTTTGTGTAACATATTGCCCAGTGAAGAGCTCTGGAGAACCAGGAAGCTTGCTTTGCTTTTGTGAGATTTTTGGTCTGTTCCATACCTCATATTACGTCCGCTTCATGTTACGTTCTTTTAGGTTACGTCCCGCGGCGACCTGGAAGTACCAGAACGGGTTACTTCCGGGTTTCGCCGCTTGCGCAGATGCGCAAAATGACATCACACACATGCGCAGAAGCGGTGAATCACAACCCACGCTTGCGCAGACACGCCGCTGCGGATTGCGTTCTTTTCATGTTGCAAACGGGCCTCCAGAAAGGATCCTGTTCGCAACCAGAGGTACCACTGTATTGCATCACTCCAAATAGTGGTGGGGGAGAGGTGCCCTCCAGACACTGCCATTATTGCTCCTTACCTGCATGATGATTGGGGAAGGTCAGGGGTAGGCAACCTAAGGCCCGGGGGCCGGATACAGCCCAATCGCCTTCTCAATCCAGCCCGCGGACGGTCCGGGAATCAGCTTGTTTTTACATTTCTTTTCTAACAAATCCTTATATCTTATCCAAACATTAAACAATGCTTTTCTAACAATATGATTTTTAAATGCTTTATGTGCTTTTACCTTATCGTACCACAAATATGCATGCCAGCCAAATAATAATAATAATAATAATAATTTATTATTTATACCCCGCCCATCTGGCTGGGCTTCCCCGGCCACTCTGGGCGGCTTCCAAAAGAATATTAAAATACTATAATACATCAAACATTAAAAGCTTCCCGAAACAGGGCTGCCTTCAGATGTCTTCTAAAAGCCTGGTAGTTGTTGTTCTCTTTGACATCTGGTGGGAGGGTGTTCCACAGGGAAGGCGCCACTACCGAGAAGGCCCTCTGCCTGGTTCCCTGTAACTTGGCTTCTCGCAGTGAGGGAACCGCCAGAAGGCCCTCAGTGCTGGACCTCAGTGTCCGGGTAGAACGATGGGGGAGGAGACGCTCCTTCAATAAATGCATTATTGAAACCTAGATCCAACACGTCAGTGTTTTCAAGAAGCAGCCATTCTCTCAGCCAGCAAAAAGCAGCTGATTCATAATAAAGTTTAAGATCTGGCAGGGCAAATCCACCTCTTTCTTTAGCTTCAGTTAATATCTTAAATTTTATTCGAGGCTTCTTGCCCTGCCAAACAAATCTGGAAATATCTTTCTGCCACTTCTTGAAACAATCCATCTTATCCAAAATTTGCAATGTTTGAAACAAAGACAACATCCTTGGCAACACATTCATTTTTATCACAGCCCACCCCCCCAATATTCTTAATATTACGACTGAGCTATTTGCTGTATTATGCCTCAGTAAATCTCCAAAACATGCAAAATTGTTGGTAGAGCCATAGGGATCCATTAGGGAAGAAAGTGAAACAACCAAAGCCACAATATGGTGCTATATTTACTAGTATAACTAAAAAGGTTACAAATAGTTAAGA